TGTTTTTACAATGGGTAAAAGTTGGATAACATAAGTTCAATAATTGATATGCATAATATTATAAAGTTTTTTCTATTTTTGAGTAATCTTAATCTTGTTGATTAGATTATACGTGTTTGTAGTCGACAAATTTAATGAGCAAAAGCTGGCATTTTGCCATTTATTTTTACTTCTGATTTCATAACTAATATTTTAATGTGAAACAAACGACGTATTCGGTGATAAAAGTATTTAGACAAATTCTTGTTAATCATTTATATGACTATAAAACAAACTTTATTTTGTAATTGTAAATGACGCGACGATGATTACCTGAGGACCCCAGGCTATTATGTTCATTAACATAGAATAGAGATTAGACGGAATGACAGGCTGAGCGCGGCCCAGTAAGACGATGACAAATGTTACTGGGCCGCGCTCAGCCAGCATGAGCCAGGAGCCTGTCATTCCGCCGAATCTCTATGATTACTGATTATGAACATAAATATAATAGCCTGATGTCCCCAGTACAGGTAATGACAAATGAGGATCACGACGTGAGACAAATTTTTTAATTGAAATTTGCATTATGTCTTGATTTACGCCAATCCTTCAACATTCAAAACTCGTTTTAGGTTTATACCCGTCTAGGACGCGCGCCGAGTTGGACTCATCGACGGTCGTGAAATATTTGAAACAAATATTTTACAAGTATCACTCGTTAACAAAACTCGTAGCGGCCATTAACGCATTGCTACTATTATTATATACATTGCTACTATTATTATATACAAGTAGGGGGTGCACGATAAAAATAAACTTGCTCGGAGTTATAAAATTTTTGTACCACTGTTTTCTAGAGACTGAGAATTTTCACAACACCAAATTTGTCATACCTTTTTGTGTTTTGGAAAAATCAGTGAGTTTCGCATAGATGCATGCCATATTTGATGGTGCGCGGCTTTTGGAGCAAAAGTAGCTGTAAAAGTCGCGTAATTTGACCATTGACCAAATTCGTTGATTTTTCGAGCGTAATAAATCACTCTACAGTCGATCTTCGGGCTTTTACTAATTCGCTCGCCCAAAAATTTCACGTGACTTTGGTTTTTTATGGTTTTGCAGCCGTACAAAACGGTTTTACATAAACCCTAATCCCAACCCTAACCCTAACCATAACCCCGAAGCTAACCATAACTCTTACCACAACCCTAACCCTAACCCGGGCCCTAAACAATCGAATTCGTATTTTACTAGCCTGTCACGTGACCAAAACGGTTTTTTGCCCATAACTCCCCAGGGAAACATTTTAACCCTACGTCATGGGGGGTGATTCGGAATCAGCGTCCAAAAATACACCGATCTGGATCACTTTCATGCCCAAAGGGCCTTTTCACAAGAATTTTCTTAAAATTTGGGCGAGCGATTTAGTAGGAGCGCGATCTTCGAGATTGTTCTAAAAGGGCTCCCGACAGTTGAAACCAACTTCAATCGATGTATTTTCGGACGCTGATTCCGAATCATCCCCCATGACATAGGGTTAAAATGCTCCCCTGACGAGATATTGGCGAAAAACTGTCTCGATCACGTGATACTATCCAGTATTATAGAATTTATATATAACTTAACTGGTGATACTCGTTTCAAATATTATCGTCGACGTCGGACGAGTCCAACTCGGCGCGCGTCCTGGTAGGTTATAAACCTACAATATATAACATGACACTTAATTGACAGCTATAACAGCAACAATCATAACAGCAAATATTGTTTATTCACGATGTCAATCCTTCTCATCTCGCCGATCTGCATTAACAATTGTTAATGGTCTGGCCCAGCTACTTCGAAGAAATTTAGACGAGTAACATCCGCGCCGTCAACTATCTGCGGCGCGGCCCAGTAGTGCATCGCGCTACAACAAATAGTGCATCTCACGTCGCTCAAATATTAAAAATAAAACCGGCCTTTGTATTGGAATTTGGGCACTGGGCATGCAAATTATTGCAATCCAGTAAAACTAAACATTTTTAAATATCTTTTTGACAGATGTTACTCGTCTAAATTTCTTCGAAGTAGCGCACGCCGCTTTCTTCTCGAAATGAAGTGCTACGAAGTAGCGCGCGCCGGGCCAAATCATTAACAATGGTCAAATATCTTTTTGATATCCAATATATCGTTTCTTATATTATAAACTTTTAGCTCAATTTAAAAGTCAAATTATTTTAAAAGACACTCAAAATGTTAAATTATCTTTTTGATATCGTTTTGAGCTAAAATTTTATGTACGCCGCGCATATTTTTAAAGGTGCGCCGCGCTCATTTTATTTCGTATTTTAACTGATCTGTATTGTGAAAATCGAGCGCTACATGGACACCCCCGTCGCGTTATCGTGGTGTCACAAAGCAAAACATGCATTATCCTCCGCATACATGTGCTTCTTCATAAATGTACTCATAGCGTAAAAAGTGGATTTTGGTAATGCTGCGCCTTAAGTTCAAGCCAGGTTCAAGGGATGTAACTTCAATCGATCATAATTGCAATGAATTCAGTATTTCATTATTATCATAGCTACAGTATGCGAAACAATTTCGAAAACAGTTGCCAGCTGCGATTACAAAAACGAAATTTAAAAAGCAAACTGATCGCAATCAAATCCAACATTTTTATCATTTTCTTGACTAAGTAGTAAGTACAGAACATAAAACTAGATTTTGAGAATAACAAAACATATGTCCGAAGAACGTAGCCATCATCGTAAACCGATAACATCACTTTACAATTGTAGAATTGTGCACTTAACACAGGAGGGGCTAAGTGCAAAGAAACTGCTGCTAACTGCTGCTCACTGCTGCTCACTGCTGCTCACTGCTGCTCACTGCTGCTCACAGCAGTGAGCAGCAGTGAGCAGCAGTTAGTAGCAGTGAGCAGCAGTGAGCAGCAGTTAGCAACAGTTTCTTTGCACTTAGCCCCTCCTGTGTTAAAATGACGCAAATCGCTGCTCAGCGGTACGCATGGCTGGCGATCATACTTTCAACGAAAGCAAACAGAACAGAACGCAACTAAATTGTCCGATTACATGCGCGTGAATTTCCTTTAAAAACTGCCTGCGTCGCAATACGTGCCATTATTCCATATATGGTCATGCGAATCGAAATCAGGACGGGTATAAGATTTAGTTAGTAATGTGAATGTGACTTTGTTATTGGTGAGTCCCCAAATAATGTACCATATTTACCGACCGATCTGTCAAGTGAAAGGTCAGCTGTTGAAAATAACACAGCTAACCAGTGAATGTAGTCATACTGCAAATTAATCGCGATGCATATATTATATTCGAACGAATTTTAATAAGTATTATGATATAGAAATGTAATTATAGGATCAATAAATGTTTTTGCCATGAAACGGACCAAACTGATCCTAACTCATATTCCACTCATCATAGCATATCGCTTCAGCATGTACAAAGGGCATAACCTCAATCAGTTTAATGTAGTGAAATGACTGGTGTGAATGAAGTAGTGTACTAATACAAGTTGGAGAGGATCAGGTAAGCTTAGTCAGCATCCATGATGTTACAAACCCTCTGGGACATTACTGCGCCCAGTCTCCAAAGTTACAGTAAATTCCTACTACGGACAAACAAACACAGACAAAACACCAACAAGAAACTGATATACACTAGCTAGCTCAGAGAGGAAATGAGTACCGGCTCAGGAGGTATGTCAAAACAGGGCGCCCTTTCGAACACTACTCGGGCTAGAATCAGTGCAATTCGGACACTACTATGCAACTGAACCATGCAAAACTATATAAGTACACCTATGCTGGCAAGGCAATAGGTCAGACTGCCAGTCCTGAAATTAATTATAGGACTTAAAAAGACAGTTGATGGAAATTTAGCGTCCGCCTATGGGCTAACGGGCGCAATTCTTGTTATATTTACATGTAATGATCATGGATTCGGTTTGCAACTTTCAGGGATAGTATTTACAACACAGTCATAATTTCGTTAAAAGAAACGACATCACAAAGCAGCAACTAGGATAAAAAGTGTTCGTTAAAGTAAGGAATGCTTGCAAAGTTGTACAAGTTTTTGAGAATATTTGATACTGAATTTATGTCACCAGTTATAAAAAAAGTTCGGTTTTCAGCAGAACCTTATTCAAATTGTAGGTCTGTAATTCCTACCAAGTTCTTAACTGTCTGGAGATGGGCTGTTGAAACCCTGCTTCTGTGAGCTGTTTTGAAGCTTTGAATGAGTTAGAGTACTCCATCTCGACTCTGCTGTCTATGTGCAGAATACTCAGACCACCCATTCTTGCAGGAGGTGAAGCCATCTCCCTTATCTAGCCAGGCGCAAATCTTTCGCCCATGATAGCTGGTATGAAGTTTGTGTGTTTTCAGGTGATTGGGCTGTATCATTTGGCACCAAAGCTTTCTGGCCAATTGTGCAACTGCTTAATTTAGAAGTTCAGGCTTTTTCTTGAATTTCTTAGAGCATAGTATCTGCATCTGTTCATAGTAGGACCAAGGTTTCGCTGACCATTTTTGAAAAATATTAAATATTCAAATTACAGGTGGCCACATGTCTTTGTGCAAACGTTTGAGCTTTCATGTTTAATAACTTTGTAACTAACTGTGAATGAAAGAAAGCATTTTTATCCCATTTACATCAACAGCCAATATCACGAAAAAAAATAAATTGTTGATGTCAAAGTGGCAAACTTGGTGAACAATGTAATAATTTAAACTCTGGATTGGCACACTTAATATTATCAGTGATTGTAAGATGATAATAGTGGCCAACAAATTTATTATCTAGCTGCTGTAGCTACAAAAATCATCCAACATGAACTGGTGCAACACGGTCAATCACATAACAATCTTGGGGCCAGCTCAAGGGGGCCTGGTATATCGAGGTACCTTGTATAGAGAGGCACAGTATACTAAAGAGAGGTTTTACTATGTAACACATAATTTTATTGATTATCAGATAAAAGATTCAATGATGTAATTTTAATCAACATAAACTTCTAACAATTAACTTATTTTAGGGAGCCATGTTTCTATACCACCTCACCCTTCAAAGAGCAAGTAGCATCTACACTTGTATCCATGGCAACTTTGCAGGAACCAAACAGCAAGAGGTGGTCGTCAGTAGAGGTTTGTAACAATAGTGCTTTACTGTTTGAATCGAAATCAAACAGATTTTTGTCGTTTTTACATCTGCCCAACTGAAATTCTCCCAAAAAAGTTCTAAAGTTATAAATAACATTTTTATAAGATGATTATTTATTTACTAGGTAAGATCCTGGAGATCTTGAGGATAGACCAGAACACAGGGAAAGTTATACAGCTCTTCTCTACTGAGGTGTTCGGAACCATCAGATCTCTCATACCCTTCAGACTCACAGGTATTACAGCTTCTACTGTATTAAATATATAATATAAGCTGACTATGCCACTAATTTTGGTTTTAATAAGCCAAGGCTGAGAGCTGATTGGTTAATATCTGGTTACAGGTGGATCTAAAGACTACATAGTTGTCGGCTCGGACTCAGGGAAGATAACAATACTAGAGTACAACCCTCAGAAGAATATATTTGATAGAGTTCACATGGAAACTTTTGGAAAATCTGGCTGTAGAAGGATCGTTCCTGGTGAGTTTTAATCCAATTTAGTTAATTCTGCTTAAGGTTTTAACCGTTAGTGTGACCGATAAAACCTTAATTGTTAATAATTTCCTTTATGTGACATAGCTTAGCAGTATAACTGGTTGCTGTCCACAGACTTGGTTACAAGCAGAAGCTTGTACAATCCCTGCCCTATCTGAGTGAACTGCAGAATCCAGTATAATATATCACCTAGCAGTAACCATGGTAACCTCAGGTCAGTACCTAGCAGTGGACCCTAAAGGACGAGCAGTGATGATTGCTGCAATAGAGAAACAGAAACTAGTTTACATTATGAACAGGGATGACCAGGCCCGCCTCACTATTTCCTCGCCTTTAGAGGCTCACAAAGCTAATACTATTGTGTTTGATTGTTGTGGGGTGGATGTGGGATTTGAGAACCCTACCTTTGCTTGCTTAGGTGGGTTTTGTATGATAAATTGATTTAAATTGATACTGTATTACATTCTTTTAATAGAGGTCTCTAGACTTGATTATATTATTTGTATTATTTCAGAATGCCCTGCTAATTGATTAAATGTATGCGTTGTTCATTCCAATTAGGGCAAACATTTTTCAATTTGAGTGCGAGTTATTTGTAAGTTTGTTGTTGGTTGCTGTTAGCAAATATATAACCAGAGTCCCTCCCACACCAGAACTTGACTACGAAGAAGCGGACGGAGACCCGACAGGAGAAGCAGCCCAAATGGCACAACAAACCCTAACCTACTACGAGCTGGATCTGGGCCTGAACCACGTGGTGAGGAAGTACAGTGAACCTCTGGAGGACCATGCTAACATGCTTATTAGTGTTCCAGGGGGTAATGAGGGGCCTAGTGGGGTGCTGATTTGTAGTGAGAATTATATCACGTACAAGAACTTCGGGGATCAGCCTGATATTAGATGTCCTATACCAAGGTGAGTTTACTTTCACTTTCACTTTCAGATGTCTTTTGCCCTGGTGGGTTTACTTTCACTTCCAGATACCCCATTATATGTATCTTGTTGGGTTCCCTAAAATTGTAGTTTAGGCTCAACTTTAAAAACTTGATCTAATGTGCATATATTTATATTTGATTGTAATTAAAGATTTTAAGGCGTTAGTACCGAGTAATACCTCTGGGTAGTGCTCCTCAATCAATCAATCATGATTTATAAAGGGGAAGGTTAGAGTGAGTTGTTATTCGCACTTTCACATTAAAATACATTGTGACGTCATGTTGTAATGTATTGTAATTGCGTATAAGCCTTACTGTGTACACTCAAGTTGTGTAATGAGTACTACAGTTACTGGACTGATTAATTATAATTTACACAGGGTTTATAATATCGTGCAGCTAACCCGGAAAGTGTACACATTTCAAAAAAACCTTTTGTGTGCACTTTTAAATTTGTAATTTATATATTATATATAGTTAGATAGGGTGGAGTCTCTCGCTTTATCTATAAATATCTTTTAATATTTATATTGCAGAAACATTATTAAGAAACAATGTTTCCAGGAGAAAGAATACTTATATATTATGACCTTTGAAAAGAGAAAATTGATTAAGTTAATAAAAAGAAAATTGATAAATAATACAGTTTTGATAAATTAATTACTAATAAAGTTGATAACTAATAAAGTTTTAAAATGGACTGATTTTGACAATCTGGTTCACATGGCTCATAACAGATTATTATGGAATATGTAGTAGTATGAAAAATGCGTGACTACTCGGCCACCTGATTTATTTCTCGTGTTTGCTGTATTTAGTTTTATAATAATAAAATATGTACAATAATAATGTTTTCAGGAGAAGGAATGATCTGGACGATCACGAGCGGGGAATGTTGTTTGTGTGTACAGCTACTCACAAGACAAAGTCCATGTTCTTCTTCCTAGCACAGACCGAACAGGGGGACGTGTTTAAAATCACACTAGAAGTTGACGAGGACTCTGTAACTGAGATTAAGTTGAAATATTTCGACACAGCTCCTGTGTGTTCCTCGTTTGTAGTGCTGAAGACAGGGTTCCTGTTCCTTGCCTCTGAGTTTGGTAATCATTATCTCTACCAGATTGCTCATCTTGGGGAGGATGATGATGAGCCGGAGTTTTCTAGTGCTATGCCATTGGATGAGGGGGAAACCTTCTTTTTCCAGCCTCGACCCCTAAAAAACTTGGTGTTAGTAGACGAAATGGAGTCTCTAGCTCCAATCCTCCACTGTAACATAACAGATTTAGCTAACGAGGACACTCCCCAACTGTACAGCGTCTGTGGGCGAGGACCTCGTTCTACTCTACGAGTGCTGAGACACGGACTGGAGGTTTCTGAGATGGCTGTGTCAGATTTACCTGGTAGTCCCAATGCTGTGTGGACGGTAAGAAAGAGTATTCACGAGGAGTATGACTCTTATATTATAGTCTCCTTCGTGAATGCTACCTTGGTGTTGAGTATCGGGGAGACAGTTGAGGAGGTGACCGACTCAGGGTTCCTGGGAACCACGCCCACTCTCTCCTGCTCTTCTATTGGTAATGACGCCCTTCTCCAGATCTACCCTGACGGAATCAGACACATTCGCAGTGACAGACGAATCAACGAGTGGAAAACTCCCGGTAAGAAGTACATAGTGAAATGTGCTGTAAACCAGAGACAAGTAGTAATAGCGCTGACAGGAGGAGAGCTGGTTTACTTTGAGATGGACCAGACTGGACAACTTAACGAGTACACGGAAAGGAAGGATATGAACAGTGAGGTGATCTGCATGGCACTGCCCAGAGTACCACCTGGTGAGCAGAGAGCTAGGTTCCTGGCTGTGGGTCTAGCTGATGAAACAGTGAGGATTATCTCGCTGGATACGTCTGATTGTTTGAGTCCGCTCAGTACACAAGCTCTGCCAGCTAGGCCAGAGTCACTGTGCATTGTTGAGATGGGGCAGCAGGAAGAGGGTGGCACTAACTCCTCCACCATGTTCCTCAACATTGGGCTATCTATTGGCGTGCTGACCAGGACGGTAATGGATACTGTTACAGGAGAACTTTCTGATACCAGAACCAGATATCTTGGTACCAGAGCTGTGAAACTGTTCCGTATCCCAGTACACGGAGTGGACGCAGTTCTAGCTATATCCAGTAGAACTTGGCTCAGTTATTTCTACCAGAGCAGGTTCCACTTATCACCACTGTCGTACGACACTTTGGAGTACGCTTGTGGGTTCAGCAGTGAACAGTGTACTCAGGGTGTTGTAGCTATCTCGACCAATACTCTGCGGATCTTAGCGCTGGAGAAGTTAGGAGCAGTGTTTAACCAGGTGACCATGCCGCTCAAATACACTCCTAGGAAGTTTGTTATAGACGAGGAGTCAAGTAACATGATACTTATTGAGACTGATCACAACACGTTCACTGAGAACTCCAAGAACCAGAGAAAGCAACAGATAGCAGAAGAGATGGTGGAAACAGCAGATGATGAGAGTAAGATGGAGGCCGCTAAGCTAGCTGAACAGTTTCTGTCTGAGGATCTCCCTGAAGAGATATTCTCCTCTCCTAAAGCTGGAAATGGAATGTGGGCCTCTCAGATCAGGATTCTGAGTCCTATCAAGCAGGAAACTCTGGAGATTATCAAGTTCGAGCAGAACGAAGCAGCCTTCTCTGTCTGTATCTGTCAGTTTAACAACTCCCCAGTTCCGGGACTGACCTACGTTGTAATTGGTACCTCCAGAGACTTGTCCCTAGCTCCCAGGCAATGTTCCGGAGGGTTCCTCTACACTTACAGACTTGTAGATGATGGCTCTCATATGGAGCTGGTGCACAAGACTCCAGTAGATGATGTCCCCACTGCTTTGTGTCCCTTCCAAGGCAGACTGCTAGTGGGCGTCGGTAAACTACTCAGGATCTACGATTTAGGGAAAAAGAAACTACTGAGAAAATGTGAAAATAAACACATTCCTAACCTAATAGTGGGTATAAAATGCTCAGGTAACAGGATCCTAGCTTCAGATAACCAGGAATCAATACACTTTGTCAAGTATAAAGCTGGTGAGAACTCTCTGGTAGCGTTTGCTGACGACACCTTCCCACGTTGGGTTACTCAGGCCACCATGTTGGACTACTACACTGCTGCAGTGGGTGATAAGTTCGGTAACCTGGCCGTGCTCCGCCTCCCCCAGGATAGCAAGGATAATGTGGAGGATGATCCCACCGGAAACAAGGCTATCTGGGACAGGGGTCTCCTGAATGGAGCCTCCCAGAAGTTAGACATGATAAACATGTTCCATATTGGTGAGTCTCTGACCTATCTGGAGTTAGCTACTCTGATACCAGGTGGTAACGAAGCCCTTGTTTACACAACGCTCTCTGGAACGATAGGAATGTTCGTGCCCTTCACCTCGCGCGAGGATATCGACTTCTTCCAGCATCTGGAGATGCACATGAGGAACGAGGCACCACCACTGTGTGGACGCGACCATCTCTCGTACAGGTCCTCCTACATTCCTGTTAAAGCTACAATAGACGGGGATTTGTGCGAACAATACAACAGTTTGGAGCCGTCTAAACGTAAGGCTATCGCAGACGAGCTGGACCGGTCACCCAGTGAGGTGTCTAAGAAACTAGAGGACATGAGGACCACTTACGCTTTCTAAACTTGGACTAATTGATTGAATAATTAATTAAATGTTGATTTTTAGAAGCTATTTTTATTATGATCCCTAATTTATCACAGTATGGATGGATCTGAACTGTTCCCGGCCCAATTAAATGTAGAAATGAAAAACTTACGGACTTGCTTAATTTAAATGGTTAAACGCTGGCATTTTTCCAAATTGTCTGCAATTTATCTTGATAGACTTTTAAATAACATGATATTTTCTTATCGCAGACAACCGACTATGTGTACGTGCGTTTATTATTTTATCCTATATTTTATTCTACATCTCATAGCGCTTTACTGCTTCTATCATTTATATTCTGTCTATATTCCACAAGTTCTCTTCAGAAAATTTATCAACTTTTTCTTAGCCAAGAACATAATAATCTAATGAAGTGAAGTATTTTAAAGACTTATCTCTAGTGGTTTGGTATTTATTTTAATCAACTTATTTTCATGCTTCTCATTTATAATATTTTCCAACATTTCCTCTTTTATCGAATAGCCTTAACACTCTCAACGTACGGATACTAACACTTCCCAACCCTAAGGTAGCATGACAGAATTACAAGAGATAAAGTTAGGGTACTCAGTAACCTCTGCTCCTCGCACCACTGTAACAGTAGATACTAACTGTGGTTAGTAACTTAGTAATAATCCCAATAGTATTGATTATAATATTTAAAGCAGAATTTCCCATTGAACCTTGATTTGAGATGGCTACTATAACGTATAAAGTATAAACATTGTATTAATTGATAAATTTACCTAATTAATTAATTAGTATTAGCTTTGTAAGTAACAAATAATAACATTGCACAGGACCTGTATCAGTTACAATAGTAGGAGAGCGAACTAACAACAAACTCTTCCCCCTGATCACACTGCACGACTTTGCGTTTGATCACGTGTCCCAGTTCCGGTCTCTTGAGAGGTCTTGTGAGGATGCTGCTAAGTTCTTCTCACAGTTCGTAACATATCACATCGACCTGCCAGGTATGCTACTTTCACTTTCACTTGACACTTTCACTCAGTTCCTTTCTACATTAGAAAAGGAGTCCTCACTTGCACTCTCCTCACGTCCAACAATGGCGGTTCTCTTGTCGCTATTATGATTTAATGACGTAGAATGTATGCTTATTGCTTTTAGTTTTTTCTCATTTTACAAGCTCACAGATAGTCATTACTCTATTAATGTCTTTAAACTATGTTCTGAGAGTCCTAACTCTCTACAATTCACGTATCTCTACACGTCTCTACACGTCTCCTATCTCAGGGTGTGAGGAAGGAGCAGGAGATGTCACGTCACAGTACGCCAGTTTAGATGATCTGGCGAGTATTATAGCGCACGTGCGCTCAGCGCTCAACATAACTGATATGATGGTGCTACTTGGGGTGGGGGCTGGTGCTAATATCGGTCAGTTACCCTTCAAATCAGCTACATTATATTAGTGAGGTTTAATCGTAGTCTAGTGGTTATTTGTTCCTATAAATGTTAATTTCCCCTCATGACGTCACACCCCCTGATGACGTCACGCCCCCTAATGACGTCACACTTCCTCAGCTATGAGGTATATGGTAAAACACACGAAGACAGTTTTGGGTATGATACTGGTGGAGGTTACTAACGACAGTGAAACATGGACCAAGTGGACCCAGGACAAAATCACTGACTTGGTAGGTATAACTGGTCTTAATTGGTTTTGACCACAAGCACGCTGAGCTGCGCTATTTTAAATTTGGTTAAAAACTTGAGTCTTTTTATATTCAAAAGATGAAACCAGTATGACAAATACTCATTAAATGTACTTTAATTTAGCAGATAATTGAGGTGAAAACGATATAAGCTATAAATTAATAATGATTTAAAGAACCCATGATTCTCCGTTGTCAGGTTATGAAGCCAAGTGATATTGTAGGACTGCGCTCCAAAACCCCAGAAGAACTAGCCTCCAGCCTCCTTGACAAGCACTTTGGTAGAACAGCTTGCCCTACCCACATTCTTACCGACTGCAGGCAGTACTTAACCCAACGACTGTTAACATCACAGAACATGAAGAACGTTAGCTTGTATCAACAGTCGCATTATCAGAGGACTCCTATCCCAACTGCTGATCTCAACGGTAAATATCTCTGTTTATTTCACAACATTCCTTCCTAAATTTCAGACATGACCTCAGAAATAGCTCGCTCTTTCAAAGCAGGCGATAGAAAAGATGAAATGTTTTAGTTTCAATCTCTGATAGACTTACTCTGTGATGAGTCATGTTATATCATGATAAATTATATGACTTATAAAGCTATAAAAATCTTATAAAATTAATGCCGAGTTTGAAAATCCTCTAATTTTCAGCGAATACTGTGGTACCAACCCTTATTATCTCTGGCAAACAATCATGGAGAAATGATGCTTCAATAGAAGCGAGAGCAGAACTTACTCCCTCCGGCAAGGACATCACATTACTTGAACCTAGTCCTTGCTACTTACTGCCGCTCGAAGAGGCTGGCAAGAAATGTGCTATATCTATGATGCTTTTCATTCAGAGTGAGTTATTTCACACTACAGCGCATTTTCTTTTAAGTTACACTGACGTTCAGTTTTATATCTTTGTTCAGTTTGATATGAAATTTTGAGTTGCCAACATTTTCAGGTATAGGATTAGGATTGTCTGCTGGACTGACTAGTGGGTACAATCTACAAGATGCTTATCAGAGAGTGGAGAATGTTGCTGAAATGAAAGACCCGGCTCTTGTTTGAGTGCAATATCGGCTCCCGCGTTTACCGACCACTACTGGTCACTATAAATTTGTGCTGTTCTGTGACGCGCAATGCGTCAAATAAACTCAAAGTATTTGTAAATCGCGCGGCTCACAATTAAGTGTGTTCACGCGCGCTACAAATCTTGAATGGTGTTCTTCAATTCCCTTGGTACTCATGTTCTTCGTAAATTCTGCCTCGGGACTATCAAGTATCAACTATGCCAATTGAGAGTTGATTACACTTAAATAATTACTTAGTGTACGTTAATTTATACCTAATTATCGGTATAATACGAACTACGAAGCATCTTGAATTTAATTAAATTCGTGCACACTTTTTTTCATAAAGCATGTTAATTATTATACATATATCATTCCTATACTAATATTAGCTGAATTTTTTCATTAATTTGTGGTTAAGCAATAATTTTGTATTTCAAATTTGTATGAGCAAGTCTGCGACTTGAATAAAATTAAGACAGATGTTTTTCTAGCCGATCAAGAGATTATTTTGGTATTTATGTTAACCATAGTTTGTTCAAGATTGAAATGAATGTTGTTGTCACCGAAAATTTATTTTTTAATTGACTGTGTTTAAGTTGAGTATATGTGATGGATATATTCTTATCAGCTTGTAATATGCCAGTGTTACAGTCAAATTTCCACAGAATGTGTTAGAATATTCTCACTCTAACAGTTACCTATCATTTAGGGGGGCATGTTGTCTGGAGATCTGTCTATTGGTGAGCTGTTGCAACTTAGAGAAACTGTAGGCAAGTTTTATTTAGCTAAATTTTTTTAAAAACATTTATGTTTGCCTAATGCCTATATTTCATTTTTACACTCTTGTGGTACTACATACAAGATAATTAATATCAGACATAATTCAGGAACGAAGAAGTTTGAAGCTTTGACCACTCCAAAGCAAGAACCTAATGACGCAGAACCCACCTCTATTCCTTCCAAACCTGATCCAAAAAGTATAGACTATAAACGATCTAACAAACGTGCTCCTCGTGAAATGACCTCAAAACGAAAAGTTTCTGTTATCAGAGAGCAAACTACTGGTAAACGGACAACACGCGATCCCCGTTTTGACGATCTTTCTGGAACGTTCGATGATAATGTTTTCCAGGATTCATATGGGTTTATAAAAGACATCAGATCAGAAGAGAAGACTAAACTTCAGGGTGAACTAAAAAAATGTAAGGATCCTAGGAAGAGAGATAAATTTATCAGACTTATCAACCAAATGAACACGTCAGAACAAGCCAATCAGATTAAAACAGAGCGACAAAAACTGAAAGTTGAGAGCAGGAAAAAAGCTATGGGTAATGTTAAGGATGGTAAGAATCCTTACTTTGCTAAAAAGAGCGAGCTCAGGAAGTCTGAGTTGAAGAATAAGTTTGAGCAGCTCAAAAAAGAAGGCAAAGTTGAAAAGTATTTGGCCAAACGTAGGAAGCATAATCTGCAAAAAGACAAGAAGTCTTTGTAACATTTTGTTAGTTTTGGGCTAAACGTCGGAAACTCAATCTGCAGAAAGACAAGAAATCTTTGTAACATTTTGGCGTCATGTGAACTTTGTGTAGGATCAAATATTGAATTAAGTTATGGGGATTAAGATTTATATTTACTCTTTTATAGAATTTCGAATTAATTTGATTCAAAGGAGTTACGAAGTTGCGTGTATAGTTTTCATTTTATTGAGTCATTTGAAATTATATATATTAATCCATTCTGATGACGCTAAAAAGATTTGATCTGTAGTATATTTCTATTTTAGTTAACCCTTTTCATAACCGTAGCTCATGGGTAGAGCTAAAGACAGATCACTGATAGGCAAGGACAAGGGTCCTGGCAGAAAATCCAAGAAGCAGGCAGATCCCATTCATCTTGTAGAAGAAAAAGGTTTGGAGATTGGCGGTTTTGATATTAAAACTTTTAGTGGCTCTTTATTTGATGTTACTTCACTGCGTTTTGTCGTTATACAGACCTGGATTAACATTTAACAAGCTTGTACTTTTCAGAGGCCAAGCCGAAGAAAAGGCGCAAAAGTAAAGTCGAAGATGGCGCCAAGGAATTGAAAAAGAAGAAAAGGAAAGAAATTAAACTCTCAGACGAGACCCCTGAGGAAGTGAGTGTTGAAGTACAGCTAGAAGAGGAGGAGGACAAGGAGAGCAAACTTGAGGATCTGAATATACTTCAAGAAACTCTTCTTAAGGAAACTGTTCTGGAGAAAGCTACTGGTATGTAGGGTCTTTTAGTATTGTTGAAGCACTAGATAGTGTATTGAAGCACTAGATAGTGTGTTAGATTGTATAGATTTAGTCTTTAAAGTTGAAAAGATAAGAAAACTATACAAAAAATAATACGTCCTACAACTCATAATACATTTTTGTTTTACATTAATGAATTAAATTATCCGACATTACAAGAAGAATGTCGGATTTCTAAATTTTTCTTTCAGTTATGAACTCTGCATAATGATCTTATTAATCTTAATCGGAGATGTTTAAATTCATTTAGGATTATTATCATACTCCAATTATGTCTTAATGTGTTTGCAGAAAATGCAGTCGCTTCATGCATGAATGATCTCCAATGCCAGATAAAGTGCATTGTGATAATGTTCCAGACAGCCCGTCTCCGATAATCAGTTTAGGGGACAATTCCTCTGAGTCGAAACATGAATAACGCCTAAATACCAGAGCTCGGAAGCCATCCTGGCCCGATTAAATAGGAATAACACCTGCACTAATTAGAATTGACACCTACACTAATTAGAATTATCCTATTAACACTAATTAGAATTATCATAACACTAATTAGAATTAACACTTACACTAATTAGAATTATCATAACACTAATTAGAATTATCATAACACTGATTAGAATTATCATAACACTAATTAGAATTATCATAACACTAATTGGTACTCTCCCGCGTGAATACAGTTAGTTTGAGGACTAATCAACTAATGGACTCCCTTATCTAAATATTCTCCAGGTTTTGAGGATAACAAGAACTGGTTAACAGCTACAAATGGGGAGGAAGATGATGATGATATGGGTATTATGGGTAAGTCATTATGTAATGCACCTGGAACAAGCAGACCAATCTTTATCTGGCAATTATGTATTTATCATAACTACTGTTTTCTCATAATATGCTGAAATAAATCTGATAAAATATGAGTAATGGGTGGTTCCCCGCCCCCCCCCCCCCCCGGCCCCCACATCCAACAGTGCTCACTGCCCAGGAGATGATTTTGAAGGAGCAGATGACAAAGTGAAGGAAGGAAGTGAAGATGAGATGATGGGTGACGAGTTCCCTCACGACTCAGACGAAGAAGTTGTTGACGAGACCAAGGTATTTATCGGATCGCTTCTGCTGATTTCTCTGTTTGGAAGTTACGAATTTACAATTGAGACACTGTTTGTGACGTTTAATACTCATTTTCTAAACAGACTACGAAGACGCAGTGTGATGTTAAAAGTACAACTGTCTGTCATCCTAATATTATCTGTCACCCTAGGAAGCTGCTGCTGATGAGGCAGAGAGACAAGAAGCTGCTAAGAGAATACAAACCTTTATACTCCCTACTCCTGAAGAGCTGGAGGAAGAAGGTATGCGTTTCCTAGCAACCATTTCACCTCTACTAATGTGAACATTCTCTGAGATTGTGATTTGGTGCGTTAGTTTTGTGAAGTATTGTAATAACCCGGCATATCTGCAGGAATCATATCCCGAGAAGATAGGAACGAGCGGATAAGATCAGTTTTAGCAACTCTCGCAGACTTCAAGACACTCCGACAGGAAGAAAGAAACAGAAGAGAGTACAGGTGAGCAACATTTATTTTGATTAAAAACCTCCGCATGCAATTAGTTATCCAACATCTTAAGTCAGGTAAATTGTCTAACAGAACGTAGGGGCATAATGGTGGCTAGGTAACAAATGGCGTTCTACCGCTGATCCATCATGTTACTAACAACCACGGCTGTAACGCTACCATTTGTTATCTATAACATCACAGTGTACACCGCCACCATATGTTACCATAAAAACACAGTTTACACGGCCACTGTTATAGCAACTCCGAGTGTACACGCTACCATATTGTTACCATAAACAAACACCTGTGTACACTGCTACCATATGTTCAATAAACAAACACCAGTGTGAGCGGTACCATTTTACCCTTTAACAACCACCAGTGAACACGTCTACATTTGTTACCGTAACAACCACCAGTGTACACGGCTACCATATGTTACCATAACAACCACCAGTGTACACGGCTACCATATGTTACCATAACAACCACCAGTGTACACGGCTACCATATGTTACCATAACAACCACCAGTGTACACGGCTACCATATGTTACCATAACAACCACCAGTGTACACGGCTACCATATGTTACCATAACAACCACCAGTGTACACGGCTACCATATGTTACCATAACAACCACCAGTGTACACGGCTACCATATGTTACCATAACAACCACCAGTGTACACCGCCACCATATGTTACCATAACAACCACCAGTGTACACCGCCACCATATGTTACCATAACAACCACCAGTGTACACGGCTACCATGTGTTACCATAACAACCACCAGTGTACACGGCTACCATGTGTTACCATAACAACCACCAGTGTACACGGCTACCATATGTTACCATAACAACCACCAGTGTACACGGCTACCATATGTTACCATAACAACCACCAGTGTACACGGCTACCATATGTTACCATAACAACCACCAGTGTACACGGCTACCATATGTTACCATAACAACCACCAGTGTACACGGCTACCATATGTTACCATAACAACCACCAGTGTACACGGCTACCATATGTTACCATAACAACCACCAGTGTACACGGCTACCATATGTTACCATAACAACCACCAGTGTACACGGCTACCATATGTTACCATAACAACCACCAGTGTACACGGCTACCATATGTTACCATAACAACCACCAGTGTACACGGCTACCATATGTTACCATAACAACCACCAGTGTACACGGCTACCATATGTTACCATAACAACCACCAGTGTACACGGCTACCATATGTTACCATAACAACCACCAGTGTACACGGCTACCATATGTTACCATAACAACCACCAGTGTACACGGCTACCATATGTTACCATAACAACCACCAGTGTACACGGCTACCATATGTTACCATAACAACCACCAGTGTACACGGCTACCATATGTTACCATAACAACCACCAGTGTACACGGCCACCATATGTTACCATAACAACCACCAGTGTACACGGCTACCATATGTTACCATAACAACCACCAGTGTACACGGCTACCATATGTTACCATAACAACCACCAGTGTACACGGCTACCATATGTTACCATAACAACCACCAGTGTACACGGCTACCATATGTTACCATAACAACCACCAGTGTACACGGCTACCATATGTTACCATAACAACCACCAGTGTACACGGCTACCATATGTTACCATAACAACCACCAGTGTACACGGCTACCATATGTTACCATAACAACCACCAGTGTACACGGCTACCATATGTTACCATAACAACCACCAGTGTACACGGCCACCATATGTTACCATAACAACCACCAGTGTACACGGCTACCATATGTTACCATAACAACCACCAGTGTACACGGCTACCATATGTTACCATAACAACCACCAGTGTACACGGCTACCATATGTTACCATAACAACCACCAGTGTACACGGCTACCATATGTTACCATAACAACCACCAGTGTACACGGCTACCATATGTTACCATAACAACCACCAGTGTACACGGCTACCATATGTTACCATAACAACCACCAGTGTACACGGCTACCATATGTTACCATAACAACCACCAGTGTACACGGCTACCATATGTTACCATAACAACCACCAGTGTACACGGCTACCATATGTTACCATAACAACCACCAGTGTACACGGCTACCATATGTTACCATAACAACCACCAGTGTACACGGCCACCATATGTTACCATAACAACCACCAGTGTACACGGCCACCATATGTTACCATAACAACCACCAGTGTACACGGCTACCATATGTTACCATAACAACCACCAGTGTACACGGCTACCATATGTTACCATAACAACCACCAGTGTACACGGCTACCATATGTTACCATAACAACCACCAGTGTACACGGCTACCATATGTTACCATAACAACCACCAGTGTACACGGCTACCATATGTTACCATAACAACCACCAGTGTACACGGCTACCATATGTTACCATAACAACCACCAGTGTACACGGCCACCATATGTTACCATAACAACCACCAGTGTACACGGCCACCATATGTTACCATAACAACCACCAGTGTACACGGCTACCATATGTTACCATAACAACCACCAGTGTACACGGCTACCATATGTTACCATAACAACCACCAGTGTACACGGCTACCATATGTTACCATAACAACCACCAGTGTACACGGCTACCATATGTTACCATAACAACCACCAGTGTACACGGCTACCATGTGTTACCATAACAACCACCAGTGTACACGGCTACCATATGTTACCATAACAACCACCAGTGTACACGGCTACCATATGTTACCATAACAACCACCAGTGTACACGGCTACCATATGTTACCATAACAACCACCAGTGTACACGGCTACCATATGTTACCATAACAACCACCAGTGTACACGGCTACCATATGTTACCATAACAACCACCAGTGTACACGGCTACCATATGTTACCATAACAACCACCAATGTACACGGCTACCATATGTTACCATAACAACCACCAGTGTACACGGCCACCCTATGTTACCATAACAACCACCAGTGTACACGGCTACCATATGTTACCATAACAACCACCAGTGTACACGGCTACCATATGTCTTCTCCATGGCCACCAGGAGGAACAAGTTATGGTTTCAGATAAACAAAATATTATCCTGACAAATATATGCTAGTCTAGTTGTCCACATTTGTAAAAAAAATCAATGTAGCCTGATTAATTACATTGCTGGGAGCTGTAGCCTGGAGGCAAGCTCTGTTTTTTTAATACGTAGATTAATTCACGGATTTCGCTGGCGTAATCACTGTCATGTGTTATGGTAACTATAGCTCAACTTCTTTGGAATCTTCTCTAACAAAATAAAATTACATTTTGATATCAAATATATTTAACCATATTTTTCAACACAATATGCATAATACAAAAGTAAAAATTAATAAAGTTCTCAATTTAATCTTCTGGCTCCGAAAGCAAATTTTCCTCTGAATTCTTATAGAAGACTCTCAGATTCAAAAGACTGAATATTCGTTCTCCTGTTCAATGTTCCGAGTCAGCCTACAACTCTTCGGCTGAAGCTTCTTTCGATTATGCTGGAGTCTGCAAAGTTATTATATTTAAACCTCCAACATGGTCCAGTGAGAATTCGAGCCATAGTTGCAAACAATTATAGTAATATTCATTATTGTATATAACTTAAATTATAGTAAACTAGAAAGCCCGTGGTAACAGGGACGAAGCTAGTAGTATTCTTTGAAAGAAAGTTTTAATCGCATTAAAAAATATCCATCCCAACCGAAGATACAGCCGATTTAAATATAAAACACTTTAAACACAACGTAATTACCACAAAACCGATCAAAATGACGTTAAAACAATCTTTGCACGTGCATGTGTACTTAAAACACCGTTGCTATGGAACGTTTTGGTTGTTACCTAAATTCCTATTTTTCATCTAATGTGCACGTGGGCGGTCGTACATACAGACAACAAAAACAATTCTCTGAATTATAGTAGAGATAACTAATTGTATTAATAACATTAGTGTAATAAGCTATGATGATATCATGCCAACCTGTAAGAACTTGTCCTGCTCCGGGTCAGCAACTGCTTTCTCTTCTAGTTTCCGTGAGGGGCTCTTGTCCAGGAATGCAAAACTAATGCATCCCACCACACAAGTAACTGTTAGTATACCTGTAAATTATAGTGGTATACTTTTGTAGTATTGTAGTATTGTATACCTGTTAATTATAGTGGTATACTTTTGTAGTATTGTAGTATTGTATACCTGTAAATTATAGTGGTATACTTTTGTAGTATAATTGTAGTATTGTATACCTGTTAATTATAGTGGTATACTTTTGTAGTATTGTAGTATTGTATACCTGTAAATTATAGTGGTATACTTTTGTCGTATTGTAGTATTGTATACCTGTAAATTATAGTGGTATACTTTTGTAGTATTGTAGTATTGTATACCTGTAAATTATAGTGGTATACTTTTGTAGTATTGTAGTATTGTATGTACCTGTAAATTATAGTGGTATACTTTTGTAGTATAATTGTAGTATTGTATACCTGTTAATTATAGTGGTATACTTTTGTAGTATTGTAGTATTGTATACCTGTAAATTATAGTGGTATACTTTTGTCGTATTGTAGTATTGTATACCTGTAAATTATAGTGGTATACTTTTGTAGTATTGTAGTATTGTATACCTGTAAATTATAGTGGTATACTTTTGTAGTATTGTAGTATTGTATGTACCTGTAAATTATAGTGGTATACTTTTGTAGTATTGTAGTATTGTATACCTGTTAATTATAGTGGTATACTTTTGTAGTATTGTAGTATTGTATACCTGTAAATTATAGTGGTATACTTTTGTAGTATTGTAGTATTGTATGTACCTGTAAATTATAGTGGTATACTTTTGTAGTATTGTAGTATTGTATACCTGTAAATTATAGTGGTATACTTTTGTAGTATTGTAGTATTGTATACCTGTAAATTATAGTGGTATACTTTTGTAGTATTGTAGTATTGTATACCTGTAAATTATAGTGGTATACTTTTGTAGTATTGTAGTATTGTATACCTGTAAATTATAGTGGTATACTTTTGTCGTATTGTAGTATTGTATACCTGTAAATTATAGTGGTATACTTTTGTAGTATTGTAGTATTGTATACCTGTAAATTATAATGGTAAACTTTTGTAGTATTGTAGGGGAAGCCAAGGGGTATTTTGGGGTATTATTGGGAATGCCTGAATGAATTTTGGAAATCCCCCATAATAAAGTACCCCAAAATGCCCCTTGGCTTCCCCCTATTGTAGTATTGTATACCTAAACAATACACTTGTCTTTATCCTGATAAAATTAATTGATAATATAAAACATTCAGTTATAATATCACTTCTCTTTGCCCTCCTCCTAAAGTCTTATCATAATCAATTAATCTCCTTCACCCCCGGCCCCCACCCCCGGCCCCCACCCCCGGCCCCCACTCCACCTCTACCACATTTTGAGAGTATACCTAGTTGATAAGGCACCCCCGGCCCCACCCCCGGCCCCCACTCCACCTCTACCACATATTGAGAGTATACCTAGTTGATAAGGCAGGATGAGATGACCACAGTAGACGAAGGCAGCTGCTCCAACCGAACTCTGTACAAACTTGAACATAGCAAACGCTGGAGCTGGATTACTCTCGAATATTGTACCTGGTTTAATATTATGTTGAGATTTGGGAATAAGACTCTGATATATTGTAATTTAGAGGATTCTGTTATTGTGCTTTAATATTGGGTTCAAATGTAGATATACATATCAAAGTCTGATATATAAAAGAAACAATTTCAATACATTCTCCCCCTCATCTCTCAAGTCTCCTCTCTCTTAGGCTCACTTACCAACTGCAGCGTAGATAGAAACATTGAAACCCCCGTCCCCCAGTCCCAGCAACACTCCCAGCCCCAGAGCTAGGTAAATGCTGCTAGGTATGATGGGTGTCTCTTCTGCTACTGCTGCCTGGACACAGGTCATATTAGCAATCCAATAGCCCATTACCTCCTAGTAGTATTTATTGAGATACATATCCTTATCTTGATAAATAGGTGTTGCTTGGTTTCCCAGTGTATAATACTGGAACTTACTGTAGTAGTGGCAGCATCAGATGGGAAGCTGATAAAACAGAGAACGAAGAGAAAAATGTTGATTATAGTACTAGCTATAATAACTCCATGTCTCCCTATCTTGTTAGTTAACCGACCCCAGATAAACCTGGAGAGATTACATTACACCAGTAGTACTAATAAAGATTACATTACACCAGTAGTACTAATAAAGATTACATTACTATTACCTAATATATTCAACTATATAATGAGATTACATTACAGAACCGATGAAAGTTTCTATAGACCTTTTATTTGGCCAATTTTTAACCCCATCCCCCCTCCGTAATCAGTTTCACACATAGCTATTGTGTCAAAATTACACTAGCGTACTCATTTGGAAACCTCCTCCGCCTCCCCCCTCAGCTAAATTATATATATATTATCTACCCTGCTGCTATTTCCCCCACTCCAGTACTGATTCCTCCCAAGGCGAGGTAACTCCTGTTTGGGAACACGTTCCCAACCGAGGTGATGAAGACGGAGCTCCAGTAGTTCAGTGACACGCCTGAGGAGGAGTTATCAGTCCATTAATAGCATTAATTAATTAATTAATTAGTCAATTAATTAATTAATTAGTCAATTAATAGCAGTCTTTCAGTGGGAATGAGAGGAGAAGTAGCTGTAGTTATCAATTCATTTGTTGGGGAACCATTTATTTACTTCTTTATTCCGAGTTTTTAATATCATTTCTTGATGGTCAGTATATGTAGGATTATTCAATAGAGAGTTGACATAACATAGTTACAACAGTAGAGTTACAGTGCAGCAATGGTTCACATCACTTGTCTCTAATTTAAAGCGGTTGACATATCTTATATCTCTAATTTAAAGACCCTTGGTTCCCCACCTGTGAAAATGATGGGAAGGTACAGTAAACACATCTCCCTAGTTTTACAGAACCTAGCAGCATCTACAATCGGTTGCAGTACTGACTGTGGTTTTCCTTCAGTTTTCTCCTCGATAGCGTTCTCTCTTTCTACGTCGTTGCTAACACATGTTTTTCTAGTAAAGATCAGGAAGAATGGGACAATGGACGCGTCTTCTTCTGATTTCTGAGGAGACATGAACTTCATTAAATCTCAGTAAATACTAGATTACATTAACTCTTATTTAGATACTGGACTATTCAACAACAGAATGATCATAACAAATAAACAGTTATGCTTAGTAAAATAGTGCTACAAAGGTGTTACATGAAGTAAAGGTGTTACATAAAGGTGTTACATGAAGTAAAGGTGTTACATACTGTAGGTTCATCAGGGACAGGCGCTAGCAGAAGGAAGGTGAACATGCCCAGAGTGCACAGTACTCCTAGCACTTGGTATATCACGTATCTTTTAGTGTCACTGATCTTCGCGGAGTCCCCTGAATAGTGGATCGTTAAAAAACCCTTTATATTCCTGAAGAGTAGAGAGTTAAAACCTCTTCAGTCCTAAATCCTGATCTGGTTCTGGAGCAAGAAAACTCAACCAGACTATTATCAATGTGCTCTTGTGAGATGTGTTAACCTAGGTAAAAGTACAGGAAGACGAGCAATGTGCTCTTGTGAGATGTGTTAACCTAGGTAAAAGTAGAGGAAGACGAGCAATGTGCTCTTGTGAGATGTGTTAACCTAGGTAAAAGTACAGGAAGACGAGCAATGTGCTCTTGTGAGATGTGTTAACCTAGGTAAAAGTAGAGAAAGACGTTTCCCAGAAGCATGCTGCTGTTGAACCACGACCAGAATATACCAGTGTTCTTTGCTTTAGTGTCTCCAGGGGAGTTCTTTGAAATCACCTGAAACATTCTAATAGTTTACCGGCCACACTGTATAGTTTATGAATCATTTTATAATTTATAGGTGTTTGTATTTGATAGAAATAATCTCAATATCACTTCTTAGCTTTAGGGGAGGCTTTGTATCTTTGTAAGTGACGTGTTGAAAGTTCATTATTTTTACTAGTAGCTGTAAGTTACCATATATTAAAGGCTTTGTCAGTGAACATGTAAGTTGCCCTAGATAATACAAATGTACAAATGTACAGATTTACTAATGTACAGATGTACAGATGTACAGATGTACAGATGCACAAACCTCCCCACAAGCAGTCCAGAGCACAGCACCACCAAAACCAAGCAGTGCCGAGAGAGTAAACACACTCCACATGTAAGGTTCTATCATGCAGTATATAAACCCAGTGTAGGGAATTGAAGACAGGAATAAGGACAGTTCTGGTCCTGAGGAAGTATTGTGAAGTTTATAATTTTTAGGGTTTTCTAATCTCTGGCGATATATTCTCTGAAGCATCGCTCGGTTGTGGAAATAGTTTAAACTACAACAGTACCTACCTAGTTTCTTGACAACAGCAGGAGAGAACCAGTTAGCCAGTCCCAAACAGGCGTATATAATAGACAGACTGTAGAACCCTGTAACATAAAGCAATAATAGACAGACTGTAGAACCCTGTAACATAAAGCAATAATAGACAGACTGTAGAACCCTGTAACATAAAGCAATAATAGACAGACTGTAGAACCCTGTAACATAAAGCAATAATAGACAGACTGTAGAACACTGTAAAATAAAGCAATAATAGACAGACTGTAGAACCCTGTAACATAAAGCAATAATAGACAGACTGTAGAACACTGTAAAAGAAAGCAATAATAGACAGACTGTAGAACCCTGTAAAATAAAGCAATAATAGACAGACTGTAGAACACTGTAGAAGAAAGCAATAATAGACAGACTGTAGAACACTGTAAAAGAAAGCAATAATAGACAGACTGTAGAACCCTGTAAAATAAAGCAATAATAGACAGACTGTAGAACCCTGTAAAATAAAGCAATTATAGACAGACTGTAGAACCCTGTAAAATAAAGCAATAATAGACAGACTGTAGAACCCTGTAAAATAAAGCAATAATAGACAGACTGTAGAACACTGTAAAATAAAGCAATAATAGACAGACTGTAGAACCCTGTAAAATAAAGCAATAATAGACAGACTGTAGAACCCTGTAAAATAAAGCAATAATAGACAGACTGTAGAACCCTGTAAAATAAAGCAATAATAGACAGACTGTAGAACCCTGTAAAATAAAGCAATAATAGACAGACTGTAGAACCCTGTAAAATAAAGCAATAATAGACAGACTGTAGAACCCTGTAAAATAAAGCAATAATAGACAGACTGTAGAACCCTGTAAAATAAAGCAATAATAGACAGACTGTAGAACACTGTAAAATAAAGCAATAATAGACAGACTGTAGAACCCTGTAAAATAAAGCAATAATAGACAGACTGTAGAACCCTGTAAAAGAAAGCAATGTCAGCTCACATTATCCTTTATAATTAACAGTTTCAAAGACTCACTCGAAGTCTAATTAATGAAGGATCTGTAAACAACAACTCTACAAATGTTCCTGTTAATTCTAGTATTCTAGTATTCAATATAATGCTAAATTGCTAGTAAAGCAACATGTTCCTAAGATCTCACCAGTCTTGCTGTCAATGCCGTTGCTGTTGAAGTCTTTGAGCACAATGGCGGATATAAAGCCAGCTGTGATGAACGCTGAGAAGACGAACATAAAGCCGATACCCAGAATGTGGATATTGTACAGGTTCCTGTTCATCTTGTCCGAGTATGTACTATGTACTATGTACTAGAGAGATTTGTGTCAAGAAATGAATCAGCGAACGCTACGTATCTAAGCTGTCACCTAGCTGAGAGTATATAGACTAAGTAATCTTCCGGCAAAATTCATGATGGCCGGAATATATACCAGAGAGGCTTAACAGTTGCTGGAATCTATTATTGCACTTATTGTAAGGTGTTATAGAAAGAATTATGTGGGGTTGGAATGATCAAAGCAACGTAAACGATGGTAAATACTGTACATTATATGATAGGGTGCGCGTGGCAACTAGACTAGAGTGACGTCACGGCCCGCAGTTTATATCAGCCAATAGGAGCGCGGCGTGGTATTTCGTGGTTCTGTAGTCTGTACACTTTCACCGGACATAAATGCGAATATTTGTAAGTCGATCCTAAGCTTCCTTCAATCTTCATCCTTTAACAAAACATATTTGGCGTTTTTACCGTTTTTACCAAAATTATTACGTAAAACAAAATTAATAAAGGTTCCCAGAAACAATTGAGCCACTCTAAATGAGCCCTCTAGAAAGGGTCCTAGTTTAATGATAACTCATTTGTTCCAGTCAGTTGTAACAACGGATTATTAGTGTGAGGCTGAATATCCGCTCCACGCCGTCTCTTGATTAGCTTATCAGGGAAGAAGAGTACCGACAGTAATAACACTTTCTGCAACTTTGCACCATTTTTAATTGGGGAACTGCACTGTTGGTTATAAAATTTAATCAATCTCAGTCTGGATGATTAGTTGGTCCCCTGATAAAGATAATTTATCCTGATTATGACTTGTTTTTTTGCTGACTTAAAGCGTCCAGAATCCGAGCCAAAATTTATTATCCTAATTATAATCCACAACAAATTGGAGCCAATAAATTGAGTTTGATTTGTATGTAGGGGATATTTTTTAGGGGAGTGCCCCCTTAATACCCACACTTCTGAAAGTAGCCGGTGTACCAGGGTCCTCTCAGACCACACCAAGTCCTAAATAGCATTTCTCAGCAAGAATAGCCAAGCATCAGCAACTCTTATGTTTCTCCCATGAAGTAACAACCCCACTTACCCTCGTAAATTTCAGGAGTTTGTTGATGTCCGATCTCTGTAAACACTACGAGTACAACGAGTTTCTAATGGGTCAACTAATGGAGATAATGCCCTATGGAGAACTAATTGATCTACTAGGTAAGTTCATGACAAATAGCAAGTGTAAAATGGGCAGTGTTAAGTTCACTTAAGTTGATCATATTCGGATTATTGTAACGGTTGCTATAGTAACACCATGATAACCTTGGTAACATCACGGTAACACCATGATAACCACGGTAACATCACGGTAACGCCATGATAACCATGGTAACATCACGGTAACACCATGATAACCACGGTAACATCACGGTAATATCACGGTAACACCATGATAACCATGGTAACATCACTGTAATATCACGGTAACACCACGGTAACACCATGATAACCACGGTAACATCACGGTAACACCATGATAACCACGGTAATATCACGGTAACACCATGATAACCACGGTAACATCACGGTAATATCACGGTAACACCATGATAACCACGGTAATATCACGGTAACACCATGATAACCATGGTAACATCACTGTAATATCACGGTAACACCACGGTAACACCATGATAACCACGGTAACATCACGGTAACTGTTCAGACGCCCAAGAGACACGCAGACCGGTGACTATCAGAGCAAACTCTCTGAAGACAAGACGGAGAGACCTGGCCCAGACTCTTATTAACAGAGGAGTTAACCTGGACCCCATCGGAAAATGGAGCAAGGTACGTGGTACACTTATTAAATTACGCGTTATTATGTGTACGTGTTATTCATCTTCAACATTTTAAACTTATCAATTAAATAAAACTCGCCGGTTTAATAACGGACCCTGTTATCAGTTAATCACACCGCCCTGAACTCTGATAAGGGGTCAACATGCTTTTGTGAAACGTGAAATATTGTGGTTGTGCATGTGCCCTATAATGGGGGGCGGGGGGGGGGGGGGTGCACTACACCATGCCCTACGATACCTTGCTCGACTGTGATAGGATCAGTTATGAATATTATCACCTAGAGTAACTCTGTTTAGTTGTGTCAAGTGAAGGTTAAATTTGATAGACAAGGTAAGTTTTGTTAAATAACATATAAAAACCTGATATATAATACCAAAATCAGGTGGGTCTAGTAGTGTACAACACATCGGTACCCCTCGGAGCCACTCCGGAGTACCTAGCTGGACACTATATGTTACAGGGAGCTAGTTCTTTTATACCTGTCATGGCTCTACATCCTAAACCCGGTACTTTTACTTATTAACTTATTAACTTATTATTAACTTATTATTAACTCATATAAATTGATGCATTCTTGTGTAAATTTGTATTGATCCCGTTTGATGGGACAAGGAAAAATGCTCTTATCAGGAAAGGAATTACTCGAGCATTTTTCCTTGTCGCATCAAACGGGATCAATACAAATTTACACAAGAATACATTGCAACCATGCGACTCATAATACTCCAATCCGAATTTTATAAGAATTGACTGATTAATTAATTAACTAATTGACTAATTAACTAATTACCAGGTGAGAGAGTGTTGGACATGTGTGCGGCCCCTGGTGGCAAGAGTGCTTATCTAGCTGCACTGATGAAAAACACAGGAATGTTGCTGTCTAATGACGCCAGTAAGGACCGAACTAAAGCTCTTACTGCTAACTTACACAGACTCGGTGAGAATTTAATGTGTTTTTATCAATGGAACGTGTTTTCATGTACGATGACATTAATCATATAAATAGGTGGACAACTTGGTCCTGGAGGATTATTTGTTCATTAATTTGATTGTTTTCTAAAGAAACGCAGATTTGTTTGTAAACTAAATGTTGACTAACATCACAGGAGTGAACAATGCGATAGTATGTAACTATGACGGTTTAGCGTTCCCCAAAGTTATGGGAAACTTTGACAGAGTATTATTAGATGCGCCTTGTAGTGGCAGTGGAGTGGTAAGTTAACTTTTATATAGAGGTTAGATGGAGGTTAGATAGAGGTAGATAGAGGTTAGATAGAGGTAGATAGAGGTTAGATAGAGGTAGATAGAGGTAGATAGAGGTTAGATAGAGGTTAGATGGAGGTAAATAGAGGTTAGACAGAGGTTAGATAGAGGTAGATAGAGGTTAGATAGAGGTAAATGGAGGTTAGATAGAGGTTATATAGAGGTATATAGAGGTTAGATGGAGGGTAGATAGAGGTTATATAGAGGTATATAGAGGTTAGATAGAGGTTAGATAGAGGTTAGATAGAGGTTAGATAGAGGTAAATGGAGGTTAGATAGAGGTTATATAGAGGTATATAGAGGTTAGATGGAGGGTAGATAGAGGTTATATAGAGGTATATAGAGGTTAGATAGAGGTTAGATAGAGGTTAGACAGAGGTAGATAGAGGTTAGATAGAGGTAGATAGAGGTTAGATAGAGGTAGATAGAGGTTAGATGGAGGGTAGATAGAGGTTATATAGAGGTATATAGAGGTTAGATGGAGGGTAGATAGAGGTAGATAGAGGTTAGATAGAGGTAGATAGAGGTTAGATAGAGGTTAGATAGAGGTAGATAGAGGTTAGATGGAGGGTAGATAGAGGTTATATAGAGGTATATAGAGGTTAGATGGAGGGTAGATAGAGGTTATATAGAGGTATATAGAGGTTAGATGGAGGGTAGATAGAGGTTATATAGAGGTATATAGAGGTTAGATGGAGGGTAGATAAGTAGATAGAGGTTAGATAGAGGTTATATAGAGGTATATAGAGGTAGATAGAGGTTAAATAGAGGTTAGATAGAGGTTATATAGAGGTATATAGAGGTTAGATGGAGGGTAGATAGAGGTTATATAGAGGTATATAGAGGTTAGATGGAGGGTAGATAAGTAGATAGAGGTTAGATAGAGGTATATAGAGGTAGATAGAGTTAGACAGAGGTTAGATAGAGGTTAGATAGAGGTTAGATAGAGGTTAGACAGAGGTTATATAGAGATAGACAGAGGTTAGACGGAGGTTATATAGAGATAGACAGAGGTTAGACAGAGGTAGATAGAGGTTAGACAGAGGTTAGACAGAGGTAGATAGAGGTAGATAGAGTTAGACAGAGGTTAGATAGAGGTTAGATAGAGGTTAGATAGAGGTTAGATAGAGGTTATATAGAGGTAGATTGAGGTTAGATAAAGGTAGATAGAGGTAGACAGAGGCTACTTGATAGCGATCTGTAAGATGTTGAAGAAGTAACAAATGCTCATATTCAAGCTTTTCATTTAGAATTAAAACAAGTAATTAATATTATTGAGCCAGGGTGTGGACTGGTTGCACCTGGCTAAAGGTACCATTCAATTACGTAATAGTACAGAAACACAACAAAGTTACAATAAAATATGTTATCATAATACTATAATCAACAAAATATATTTAATCATCGAATCTCGGATTTACAAATCAGTGAAACATAAACATACTATGCGGGGGGACTACAGACCCCCTCAAAGTCCTTTTCAACGTTACTGCCAGGTTACCTATATAGCACTGAAAATCAATAACATCAGAAATTCAAATTCAAAGCAATGCAGTCATAGTATTACAAAGCCCCAAAACGCATCACTGCTTCAAACTCTATTATAACATGAGCATGCAAATAACATAAATCATCTAAAAACTAGAAAGGGTAAAATAAAATAAGAATATAAACTAAGTCAGCTAAACAGTAATACAACAACTAATCTCACCAAAGAGATCCCTAGATACGCACAAAATATCTCAAATAGTAGGAAGCACATACCAACGCAGCTAGCAGCTTTCTTCAGAGCTTGATGAGTTAAGATCTCGTCTAATATACGTGTAATTATGGTGTTTTCTGCAGTTAACGTTTCTAAAACCCAGGTCAGTAAAGATCCGTCAGTGAAACAGTCTAAAGACGAGCAAGAGATTCTGAAGATCGCTGAAGTTCAGAAGAAGCTTCTTTTAGCAGCAATAGACTCTGCTGATCACAGCTCTAAAACTGGAGGTACGTTGGAACTTGGAATGTTGTTTAGGGGGAGAGGAATGTTGTTTAGAGGGGGTTATGTTGTTAATTTTAAGATAGTACTTTACTAAACTGTTAAGAGTAGGACCGGCAATATGAATTGAGCTCTTTAACCCCTAACCCGTCCAATATCAAATATTTAATCACGTGACACTAATCTGTGATCACGTGACACTAACCTGTGATCACGTGACACTAACCTGTGATCACGTGACACTAACCTGTGATCACGTGACACTAACCTGTGATCACGTGACACTAACCTGTGATCACGCGACACTAACCTGTGATCACGTGACACTAACCTGTGATCACGTGACACTAACCTGTGATCACGTGACACTAACCTGTGATCACGTGACACTAACCTGTGATCACGTGACACTAACCTGTGATCACGTGACACTAACCTGTGATCACGTGACACTAACCTGTGATCACGTGACACTAACCTGTGATCACGTGACACTAACCTGTGATCACGTGACACTAACCTGTGATCACGTGACACTAACCTGTGATCACGTGACACTAACCTGTGATCACGTGACACTAACCTGTGATCACGTGACACTAACCTGTGATCACGTGACACTAACCTGTGATCACGTGACACTAACCTGTGATCACGTGACACTAACCTGTGATCACGTGACACTAACCTGTGATCACGTGACACTAACCTGCGATCACGTGACACTAACCTGTGATCACGTGACACTAACCTGTGATCACGTGACACTAACCTGTGATCACGTGACACTAACCTGTGATCACGTGACACTAACCTGTGATCACGTGACACTAACTTGTGATCACGTGACACTAACTTGTGATCACGTGACACTAACTTGTGACCCTCCAATCAGGCTACATAGTTTACTCGACCTGCAGTGTGTTAGTCCAGGAGAACGAGTGGGTCGTGGACTACGTTCTCAAGAGAAGACATGTGAAACTGGTACCACTGGGTCTGGACATCGGCAAAGCGGGGTTCACAAGGTAAGTGAAACTGGTAATAATGGGGTTGAAATTGGGAAAGATTTATTTATTTATTAATTAACGAAGTAAGATCAGGAAATTAATCTGATCTACGATTATTTTACCATAAATAAAGTTTCTGTTTTTGATTGAATAATTCCTCCCAGGATCAACAAGTACAGATTTGATAAGTCCATGTCCCTCACTAAGAGATATTACCCCCACACTCATAATATGGACGGGTTCTTCGTGGCTAAATTTAAGAAAACATCTAATGCTATCAAAAGTGAGTGTTATCTTTAACTAGTATCTTACTATTTATTATACTTGGTTTTGTGTTTAGGCTTGTGTTTAAATTTAAACTTGGTGTGATCTTGCGGAATAGCAGTAATTAGCAGTACTGTTGCTTTAAGATATATTACAATTTTCACAAGAAAATTAGTATACATTTCTTAGTAATATTTACAAAAAATAACTCAAATAAACTTCTTTTGATAAGTTTACAAATTCTTAACTATTTCAGCTGTTAAGGACGATTCACCAGAAGTCAAACTATCAGACGATGAAGATGAAGAAGATGATGAAGACATGAATGATGATGTTGTAGATGGTGACGAAGAGATGGAAGGTGGTTTAACCGATACAGACGAAGAAGATGAAAGTAAGGATGCAGGTCCTAAAGATGAGGAAATGGAGTGTATTACCGAGACCAAGGAAAACGGAACTGAGGAAGAGAATTCAGAAAAAGCCGACCAGGAAAAATCAGAGGAAGTCAGTTCAGTGCAACCTAAGAAATTGAAACGGAAGAAAAAGAAAACTAAAAATGCCACTTAGATTTGTTAAGTTTTACGGGATTTGTCTGATTTATAATACACCTGGGATCTGTCTGATATGTTTCATTTTCACCAGATTTTCTCGCTCTTTGTTCCCAAACATGATCAAGGTGGGGGCTTTGACTTTGAGACTTTGAGTTTTAAAACCTATAATTTATTATGTAATTTATTTGCTTTTAACGACCGTTTACGTTTTAGAAATAATTTGTTTCATTGTCTTTAAACCAGTTTTCATCTTAGAGGTGTAAATTAAAGAAAGGCTTTAAACCTGAAAGGAAGCTTTTGTCATAATATCCTAAAAAGTTAGGTTAACCAAGTTTTGAGCTCATAATTTCGCGGTTAATGAGCACATCAGTGTAATTGTAACGTTAAAATTTAACACAATAGTCTCATCAGTCATTATATTTGAACTTATATATATAGTTCAAACTCACCGAGTTACACAATAACATTCTGTGCTCTACTGCTGCACTGTAGTTTCAACTATTTAGCGAGCTCGCCGGCCCAATTATCACCGTATTTATCCCCATCTCACAAGTTCGAACCAATCATGATACCTAACAAGGCTGTGAAGCTCTCCATATTTGGTGAGGTGAGGGTATGTTATTACCATATTAATTATTAGGTGGTTAACTTCTCCCAGAATAGTGTAACTACTAGAGCAGCTAATCCAGGGTGCTGTACAGCTGCTGGGGACTGTGATGAGAGGTTGATTTAGATTTCGAAAAAGACCAGAACTTTTTGTTGATAAGATTTCTGTTATCATCATCTTCAAAGTTTGCGTCCAATTTTGCATCAACGAGATTTTTAAAATCCCTCCTAGCTTTGGAAAATTTTAATTATCTATTTGGATTAGAAGACTGTTTCCATTCGTCATGTAGTCGTTCTTTTTTTCTACATAAACTAAAGACATCTGAGTCAAACCATGGGGGTTGAAATTCGGGGAGACAGATATCTTAGGAATATGGGAATCACAATGAGAAGTGAATATAGTATTGAAAACTGACCAGGCCTCTTCGACTGGCTTACCACTAAGTAGATATTCTCAGTTTTCAGAATTTAATGTATTATTTAAATTGGTCCAATTGGCCCTTTTGAAGCTATAGATTTTTCGTTTGGTACATTTTTCTTATAGCGTTAAGTCTTATGTCCAATCTTGAAAAATAAATAAATTATAAAAAACCTCTCTTATATTCACAATACTATTTACCCCCTTTACTATTTACCCCCTTTACTATTTACCCCCTTTACTATTTACCCCCCTTACTGTTTACCCCCATTCTAATTCGATGTTAAAGATGACAGGAATAAAAAATAGTTATATGGAGGTTTTTAAGAAATTTGCGCAAAATACGCGCCAGCATGTTATACGAAATTAGGTAAAAACCCCAAAATCGCCATATTCAGGTGCCTTAAAAACCATGTTAAAATTGAGTTAGAGATCTGAAACTTTGCAGGGCGTCTAGACCTTGTCCAAATCGACTGTAAACAAAATTTCATGTTTCAGCAGTATCGGCAAGTGGGTTTTCTGGAACCCCTGTTTTGCAACAGATTGTCGTGAAGGATATATATATATATTTCATGGCTGGACTTCTACACAATAAAAGAAAGCGGTTGTGATTAGATCTTCGAAAGTCTTTGCATCGTTTATTTACATCAATTCTGAGAAATTATATCATTAAAGTAACTACAACAAATACGAATCATATACAATTGAGAATAAATACAAACTAAAAGCAGTGGGAAAATCTGATGAACTGAAATTTAAAAAAGAAACTGAAAGCCGTTAAAAATGTACTCTTATCTTATCTCTTATCTAAATACTGATAACTGATTCTCGGAAAATCACTTAAAATCACAACAAAAACCTGTAAAATTTATATTTAAGTAAAAAATGTAATATGCACGTCTCTGGAATAATGGTATAACTAAATAAAATCTACAAAATATACTAAAACTAAAACTAAGCTCCGGCAGATTTAAAAAGTAGATGGTTACTATCAAGGGTGTTCATACCCCCAAACCGTTCAAGGGTTTTCAATTGGGTCTGGTAGAACCCCTCTCTAGCTTCCATAGCCTTTTCTTTGTCTGCTTTACTAATATTAGGCTCAAATACTAAAGCGTCTACTATAATGACAGAAAGGTGCTTACTAAGTGAGGAATTATAGCAGGCTATGGTACTAAAATCTAAATCATGATCAATATCTAAAAAATGGTTAACTAATTTACAACTTCTTATACCTTTCTTTATGTGACTCTTATGGTTAGAGAATCTCTTAGGGAGATTTGAGGTAGTATAACCGACATACGACTGTTTACAAGTCTTACACTCCATTAAATAAATGAGGTTATAACTCTGACAAGATATATACTTAGTTATAGGGAAAACTTGTTTAGAATGGTGACTACTAAAATTGGAACAGGGGGACAGGAAATTTTGCTTACAAACATAACATTTACCACAAGCATGGCACCCTGGGTCGACAGCCCCGGGAACCGCCCTTAGACTTTCGGAGTCTGGTTCCTGGATCTGGCTTGCAGTTGTTTCTCTCTCATTATCACAGTTTAAAGTTCCACTGGCACGGTACTTATTGTGTACAAGCATGCCACCGATAGTTTGATTCTTTCGATGACTCACGAATACACTGTCCGCACGTACCAGCTTCTTCAGGGCCGGATCAAGGTTGAGAAGGTGCTTATACTTATGGATAATGCCCCCCATGTTGGGAAGTGCTGGATTTTGATCCATCACCATGGGTATTACTATTATATGTATGTATAGACGCTTTGGCAGTCAATTGTAGCCTACATTTAAGTGTCCGTAGACTCAAAAGTATAAATGATACAGTCATCTCGAACCACAGGTTTTAAAGATAATCGTTTAAGCTTTAGTTTAGATTGTATTGAAAAATAATTTAAGGTCGTCATCATCACTTGATGACGTCATCAAATTAAGTGTTTTTAAAACTTGATTTTTGACAAAGTAACAACTTTTCAAATCGATTTTACACCACTAAGAAGTAATTTTATTCAAAATCTGAGGACATTATCATCTTAGATAATTGTTCAAGCATTCCGAAAATCTACCGGAAAATTTTCCTACCTTGCTCCTTCATAAAGATATTTGCTATTGAAGTTAGCGCTTTTTTGAAGAATAATTTTATAAAAACACAAAAGTTGTGAATTAGTATTCTCTGGTGTTGGGCCATCCCTTGGATTGTGGAGCTCAATTTTGCTTCCTAAAGGTCTAAATTGTGTTATAGGCTAGTTTTAAAGTTGAAAATCGAAAAGTTGCACACGTGGGGTCACGCCCAAATTGATTTAAAATTGCTAAAATCACTGAAAATTGTTATTTTCATGATTTTTATCAACTTTGGAGTCCCGTTGTGATCCAAGTTCTTTTTGAAATCTTCTGAAACTTTGCATGCTTATCAAACTATATATAAAATACCACTATGCAAAAATTTACGGTGATTCATTGTTGTATGCGCACGGAACGTTCGCTCAAAGTTTGCACGTGCGAAAGGTGATAATTGTGCTCCTGTATGATTTCGTTTAGATTCTACTTTTCCACAACAGTAGAACAATATATTATATGAATTTGATACCAACTTGAAAGAATTTAAATTGACATATTCAGTCAATGATCGACAGATATGCTACTTCAAACACAAGGAAATGTTTTAAGGCAATTTTAAAGCGTTGAAATTACATCCTTATAATTATTAACTTACAACTTATTAATTAAGTTATCAGTTGACCCTGACATTGAACAAAAAGAGATGATCGTTTACCAAAACTCATAATAAATAATTATGGGTATAGTTATATCTGTTACTGGAAACTGGTGTAAACACTAATTGATAACCGAAACTAGAATGTCGAGTTCACGCTTTTACAATTTTCAAACTCGAAATACGTCTACTAAGTGACTTAAGATAAGGTTGACGAAAACTGTGACGTTATGGTTCCTCACAACTATGACGTAAATTGATTAGTAACAAGTTAAATTCCATTGCTTATCGCCTTACAAAATACCCCCGACAATTCTCGCCTACGTCAGAGATAACCTGTTAGTGTTGAATTCTCATGGGTATCTTTGTTAGACATGTAAAATGAAACCTATATGGACCGTGGTGTTAATTTTTTAGTACAAATTACGTAACAGCAAGAGTACTGATAAACCATATATGGTGGCGATTCAAGAACAAACTTTTAATTTTATAATGTCGTCATATAATTACTGATGATGTGTGACGCGATTGTGACGCAAAGTGACGCAAAATGTTGGGAGTTTCCTGGCAGTTAATTAAGCTCTACCAGATTGTAGCATGAAGTATAAAAACCCACCTGTCGCCTCAGTGCTATAAAGATTTTTTCAAGTTGTGTACTTCGTTATAAAAGCTTTGAAATACTTAGTTTGCTCATTTTCCCTTGTAAGTAATGATTTTTGGCCTTGTGTCTGTCTAAGTCAAAAATGATTTCACGGCTTCGCATACACCGGGCACCTTCTTTGTCTGCCTATACGTGGCATAAATGTGAAACAAAATCATATTACTGAAGCTTTATTGCGACCCTTATAACATTATACTTCATTTAATTGATTTGATTATCTTAGTCTTTGCGTCAGTCATTTTCAGTTTTCCAAATAAATTATTTCATACGGTCATGTCACGTGATCGAAACAACATTTTAAACCTGTGTCCTGTTGGCTGTTTGGTGATACGGAGTCAGTGTTCAGAGATGCATGTTTTAAGTTGGTTTTAATTGTCGGGGGCCCTTGCAGTTTGCACTTTTAGAAAAAACCTTATAGCTCGACTGGAGATCGTGGCTAAGCTATAAATGATATCATTGGATCAACTGAAACAAGTTATTTCATAAGTACTAGTTCTGGCTAAATCGCATAATGGCATTATTTTCTTCTGGAATTTTATGATGTCCGTTAACATAATATTCGGTAAAATCACATATGATAAGTAAAGGGGTTGTCCTCTTTTTTCATCCGTATACTGTTAAATATATAAAGATAGGAGATTTTCAGTAACCAATAATTTATTTTATGTAGTGGATAACATTTGCATCGTGCAATAGCTGACATGTCAGGACCCAGAGCTCAACTTATAACGGCCTGTTCAGAGAGAATAAAAATCCAGGTATGTCCAATTATAATTATATCGACAGAATACTGCATCGTATTTATATTCATAGCAGACATTTATTATATAGGTATAATAATTGTAGTTTTGAGTAAACATTTTTGTTGCACATTTTGTTCAAACTTTGTGTCTATGTGTACTCGTTGAGTTATTGAGTACTACCCAAGACTCACGCATAGCAGTTGATAATACAACATTCCATTTCCAATGCTAGAGAGTCACGGAATTCATTACGCATAGTATTGGTACAAATAATGGTGAGCAGTGCATCTGTATAAGCTGTCTAGTACAAACTCCAGTGGTTTCAGGCTGGGTGAGTAAACTCTCAACTATATAGATTTTCATTTTGTAAGTTTTCGTAAATTTAAGGGACCATAGTTATATGTTATAAATCTTTGTATATATTTTGGTCTTGTGTAAATGTAATTGAAATACATTGCAGATGTTCAGCTTCTTTGAATTTTAAAATTATAAAGTACCGTAGTGTCATTGAAACTATCCTGATGGTGTTGCTGTATCTATATTTCATAGTAAAAATATATTAGAAGCTCCTGAATTTTCAGAATATGGACAGTGATATTGATTATTAATTGAATTATTACAACCTCTTTGTCTAAATCAGTTAACACTTTTTCAAAAAGGTGACACTCGTTTAATTATAATAATTTTTCAGGGGATTGAAAATGAAAACATACTTGAAAATTATGAAAACGAGTTTCCGCCACTTATCGAAGCTGAACTTGCACCTAAACCCCATAATCAGGTTTTTAATGACAAAATCACAATTATTTTATCATGTTGTTGCACGGTTAATTGGCTGTATTGTGGATAAATATTTTATTTCCGGAAAAAATATTTGAAGACGTTTTATAAATAGCATGTTTTACAGGAACTTTGGAGTCAAGTTGTCTCAAATCCAACACTCATTTATGGGTTGGCATCCTCTGAAGCTCCTGAAAATTGTTATGTCCAGAGGGTGAGTAAAACTGTTAATTCAATGATTACCCCATTTTATCGGATCCTTTTTTATTAAATTCAGGTTGCTGTAGACAAAAACACAAAATATATTAGTAATAGTGTCACTCTCGAGTTGATTTAGATTATAAGACAAAGCTTTTTTAAGTCGATGAAAATTACAGGAAAATGATTACTCATGTGAAAAGACGACAACTGGGGTTGGAGTTCTTATACTGAAACAGAAAAACAGTAAATGTAAAACAACACAAGCTCAGAGATTCAAGGAGAAAGAAAAAAAACAAAAAGTTTGTAACTTGACTTTAATATAAAAAAGGCTTATCAAAGTGCGATTACTTCCTTAAAATTAATGATAATAACAATCAATTGATTTTTACTTTCTATACAATTACGATAAGCATTGGCAGGCTTATAAAGCTAAGGTGAGTAAAAACAAACATGGACAATGCAGAACAGAATCCCTATCATTTGGAATTAATTTACACAACGGATTCGAAAGACTAAGCCTACGAGAACAGCTGTGCAACAATTCAAAAAATGTAAGATTATAATTATTTGCATCCATAACTGTTCGTCTCTGACTTGTAATTAATTATCTGACATTTTCTTTTTATTTAGCTGTATAATTGTGCAGCGTAAATCCATTTTAGGTCGCGTAAAATTTACACTTTACCAATACCACATACTTATTTGTCCCGCAGAAGAAAATTGTTTCAAATATATGTTATATCAACATAATATTTACATTAATTATGATATTGTACAAAATTGCAGGAAGAATGTCATTCATACGAAAATAGGACAACAGGGGATGAAGCTGTCGCACCAAAAAAGAAACCCATTAGAAAAACAAGAGCTCAGCGAAACAAAAAGAAAGAAGAAAAACGAAAAGTTTGTAAAATTCATTTTTTGAAATATTGTGATGTTTTTGATTAAATCTTTTTATTGCGCATTCAATGCAGACTAATTGGCACTCCTTCCTAAAGAAATAAATTAGTATACGATGTGTAGCGATTAAAATATATCAAAAGGTACTTAAACATCGATATTGTAACGAATTACATGAAGAACAATTTGCAGGCTAAGGCTTTACAGTTAGAGATACAATTACTAAAGCAGTTTGACGAAATAGAAATTATACAAAGATCAATATCTATCGAAGAAGAAGAAAAACATGAAAAAAGGACTGCAAAAAGAAGAAAGAAAGCAGCTAAAGTAAGTCTAGTCGTGAATTTATTTAAAGCTCATAATTATAATTATTTGCATGACCAACTTCTTATATACGACAACTTGGTTCATTTTGAGGTTTCTTATACTTCATTCCCAGTGCGAAATCATCAAAGACATTAGTGGAGGAGGAACAGACAAACAATTCACAAAGAGTTTCAAAAGAAATTCGAAGAGAAAACGAATAGGAAGGAAATATAAAAAGCAAACTTCTGAGTCTTCCGTACACAAAAAAGGTAAGAAAATGTTATAAGAGTTGTGTTTATAAGTTGAGGATATAATTACTTTTACAATGTGGTGATTTTTTAAAAGAGCAGCTTTCTGTCCGCAGGTCTTATTGATAATTTAGTATTATGATCCTCAATGTCTGGCATTAGAAGGCTTTCGTAACCTTCGAGACTGCTTCGACTTGTTTTAGTCATTATTTTCAATCTACAGCCGCACTTTTCAGCTTTAATTAGAAATATTATAGTTTAACGTGCATGATGCAATCATAGACGTCACAAAATATTCCACAATTTGTTAATTATAATCCCTTCTTTCACTTTGAAATGTTATTTTCATTGCACATTTTCGAAATACATGCCACTTCTAAACACAAAAATAATCAACACATTGGCCAAAAAGTACGCACTGTACGAATTTTTTAATAATTACGTACGCATATTGTTTGAGCTTAAATTATAATATCCGGTCAATTATTACATATTCCACAGTCTCAATATGAACGTAAATCCTCCATGTAACGATACTTAGCCTTTATCTAATACTTTGCGATCAGAAGGTAAACAAAGTCATTAAAAATAGATAAGATCATGTGGGTGCTATCAATCACATTGCTATTTGAATTTTATAAGTTTCTGCGCGAATAGCTAGCCTCGCTGCACAGCTGTAGTATGTGAGGCCAATATATCTTACTACATGTACGATTCGGTACTTTATTATTTTAGATCCCGAGAATGTGAATATATTTGAGACTCGCACCAAATCTTTTCACCAGCCTGTTTGTTATAATCGTAATAATAATAACGATTATATTCTTTATGCAGTTCTTGTTAAAAAATTTCTGTACATTGTATTTCAGATTTGCCCGAAGAAGACAGTCTCGAAAGCAGCAGGAATTCTTCATTCAAAGATAATCAGAGAGATGATCAGCCTTTCGAAAGGGAAAGTGAAAGTGAAAGACAAAGTTCTCCTCCAGATGATGGAATAACAATGGATGTAGAATACTTAATGAATGAGAAGCAAGATGTTAAGGAAAGTCAAAGACAGAGCTCTCCTTCAGATGATGGAATGACAATGGATGAAGAATCCCTAATGAATGAAGAGCAAGATCCTAAGGAAAATGAAAAATATCTACTAAGAAAAATGAAGCGTGCATTAAGAAACATTCGCTATCACTCTTCTCCCGGTGGCAGATCTGCGCTAAACAAAGCAAAAAGCAAGTACCACTCTTCTCCCGGCGGCAAATCTGTGCTAAACAAAGCAAAAAGCCAGTACCACTCTTCTCCCGGCGGCAGATCTGTGCTAAACAAAGCACAAAGTATGTACTTCTCTTCTCCCGGCGGCAGATCTGCACTAAACAAAGCACAAAGTAGGTACCACTCTTCTCCCGGCGGCAAATCTGCACTAAACAAAGCACAAAGTAGGTACCACTCTTCTCCCGGCGGCAGATCTGCACTAAACAAAGCACAAAGTAGGTACTACTCTTCTCCCGGCGGCAAATCTGTGCTAAACAAAGCACAAAGTAGGTACTACTCTTCTCCCGGCGGCAGATCTGCACTAAACAAAGCACAAAGTATGTACTTCTCTTCTCCCGATGGCAGATCTGCGCTAAACAAAGCAAAAAGCCAGTACCACTCTTCTCCCGGCGGCAAATCTGTGCTAAACAAACAAAAAGCCAGTACCACTCTTCTCCCGGCGGCAGATCTGTGCTAAACAAAGCAAAAAGCAAGTACCACTCTTCTCCCGGTGGCAGATCTGCGCTAAACAAAGCAAAAAGCAAGTACCACTCTTCTCCCGGTGGCAGATCTGCGCTAAACAAAGCAAAAAGCCAGTACCACTCTTCTCCCGGCGGCAGATCTGTGCTAAACAAAGCACAAAGCCACTCTTCTCCCGGCGGCAGATCTGTGCTAAACAAAGCACAAAGTAGGTACTACTCTTCTCCCGGCGGCAGATCTGTGCTAAACAAAGCACAAAGTAGGTACCACTCTTCTCCCGGCGGCAGATCTGCACTAAACAAAGCACAAAGTAGGTACTACTCTTCTCCCGGCGGCAGATCTGTGCTAAACAAAGCACAAAGTAGGTACTACTCTTCTCCCGGCGGCAGATCTGCGCTAAACAAAGCACAAAGTAGGTACTACTCTTCTCCCGGCGGCAGATCTGTGCTAAACAAAACACAAAGTATGTACTTCTCTTCTCCCGCCGGCAGATCTGCACTAAACAAAGCACAAAGTAGGTACTACTCTTCTCCCGGCGGCAGATCTGCACTTCATAAAGCAGCTAAGAAATATAAATCAGTCCCACATGTGATCGATCGAAATAAGGAAGGACAAAAACCAGATACCAGGCAAAAACGGAAGGATTATGAAGATTCGAAGAAAGAAAAACTGTCGCAGTCTAGAAGAACTCGGTATCGCCGAAGCAGATTGTTTGAAGAATTTGGGGACGATTTTGACGATGACATAGATTATTGCTTGAAAAGGAAGCAGGCCATGAAACAGATAAGGACGCACATGACCCGCAACAATAAAAAATTGCAATTCCTGTTACACAAGGAGAGGATCAAGGGATTCAGAAAAAGTGTCTTCCTCCCCAATCTTCCCTATGTTTCAAAAAGAGGAACTTTCAAATCAAAAACGTTCATGAGGTCAAAGAGCAGGATGACATGGAAAAATGCCGTTATTCGATTGATGATGGAGCATTTGAATGATCAATTTACCAACAGCATCATTAAAAAATGGTACCCGTCTCTCAATTTTAAAGGAAAAACAAACCATTACAAAAAGAATTTTGTCGCATCACAGCTTCAGAGGAGAATTTTGAACAGCCGTGATCTGTGGATCAAAGTTTTGTATGGCCGTTGTCATAAGTTGAACTTGACATCGGAGCAGCTTCTTAACAAAGAAAAGTTGGACACATCTGAGACTGAAGAGAAGCGCCATGACAGCATCCTTGGCTATAAATGTCACAGAAAAGGTACGGAACCTTACTTTCCTATGTACAGCTTTCTCAGTGGGGAGCCATTCACATTTCGTTACAACAAGGCTTCAAAGAAGAGCAGAGAGGAAACGAGAAAAAGTGAACGATGTACTACCGACTGCATTCCTGCTGGGGGTTTTGCAGTAACTCGCTTCAAAGACTTCTTGGCAAGTTGCAAAAATTTAGAAGTGAGAAATTCCAGAACCTTCGTTCAGGAGTCAAACAAGTGTGGCAATTTCAAAGCAAATGAAATCTACAGCTTGATAGTCGAGCAGCGTAATCATCCCGAAATCTGTTTAAGGAGGGAGGCGAAGAACAAGTGCTCAAGTGACTTAGTTCTGCTGAGACAATTGAGCGTCCACTCCAAAAATGCTCGATCTATCTATAAGACTGTCAATGAAATGAAAACAGCCGACCAATTTGTGTCAGACTTGGATACGGCAACTGCAACAGGGGATATCGAGTATTTGATTAAACTGCTGCAATACGAACCCCTGATTGCAGAAAAAACATTCAGGTTGAGAGACCGGAACAAATCATTAATGAGCAGTTTATGGAAGAAAACTTTCCTAAACAGTATTTAGAATTTCTGACTGCAGTCAACGCCAACCATACAGTGCCTTGCATTTCTTGTCGAAGGCTGACTGAGGATGATCCTAAGAAATGCAAGACCATAACATCTCGATGGAAGAAGGTGAACATCGTCAACTCAGAATACATGCTTCTTCTGCACTATCTGCAGTCAGATGAATGGCTTAAAATGGGAGGTGTTTATGTTGACACGTTGGTGGGCAAAAGAATTTGCAACTACTGTCACACTAAAATGGACAAAGGGGAAGTTCCACGGATATCAGTGAGGAACGGGATGAACGAAGGGATCGTTCCCATGGAAATAGCTGATTTGTCCCAGTTTGAGTGTATGTTCATTCGACAAATTTCAATGTTCCAAACGTTTTTGAAGCTGGGACCAAGTGTTGGAAATCGGCCGAACAATGAAAAAATGGCGGCAGTCAAAGGATTTAGTGTCCACATCCCGGTCCCAATACAGGCGAACGTTGAGCAATTAGCGGGAGGAGTGCCTCATGGACTGTTGAATCCAAAGAATTTTATTGTCCTTCATGGTCTGCCAAACAAAAACAGGAAGGTTTGGCAATCTTTGATTAATGTGGAGAAAGTCATTAAAGCAATAAAATGGCTCGTGAAGAACAACCCTCTTTATGAAAAAATAAACGTTCCAACAAAGGGTGAGATTCTTGACATGATGTGTGAGGTTGATAGTGATATTGAAGATGGAGAGGGAGCGATTCCAAAAGACTTCTTTGATAGCTTTGATTGCTCTGACAATAAGAAAGCTCAAGATCCCTCCGATTCATCCTCTGCTACTTCTAGCGCTGGTTCGAGTATCAAACCGTCTACTAAGAGAGCTTGCCATAAGAACAGTTACACGTCTGAAGACATGGACATGTCATTGCCTGAAATGCTACCTGCGGAAAAGAAAGAAGATGTTGCCGATATAAATGACGAATATCTTGACAATTTATGTGAAATGGAAAGCGGCAGCAACGATGATAAATCAAGCAATAGCTCCATATTTTCACTTCGTAGTACATTGAAAAAATCAGCTAAATTACCTAATGACTCAACAGACATGGAAAGTGATATCAGTGTTGATGAGGAACCACGCCAATCATGTGACAGTGAAATTAGTTTCAATGAGAATGAGACCATAGATAAGGGCGGTAATTGTCATATAAAACCGTTCAAGAGCGTGACCAGTGTCGACTTTAAAGACATGGAATTGAGTCTTGACGAAGAAGATCCCTCCTATAAGAGTTTATGGAAGTTTTCTGCAACAGTCAGCAATGAAGAAATGGCCCGGATAAAAAATATCTCTAGTAGTAACAGCAGGAGGAAGTTGATTGCGCTAAAATGTGTGGTGCATATGGCTAGGATGCTAAACAGCAATGGTTCCCTCTGCGTTCGTTGCCATCAAGATGTCAAAAATTACAGAGATAGAGTCATTAATCTGTTGCGATTGGGAAAGAACACACTAGGCTACCAGCTGCTTCACATCCAAGCGATCCTAACGTCGTTTGCAAAGATGAGATCAGCATTGCTTGCAGAAGATGACTCGATCAAAACCAACAAGTGCTCCTTCTGTGTCCTAAATAAAGTCTCTGAAAATCCCCTCAAGAAGAAAGCTAGGCGTAACACAAAAGGCAGCGTAAAAGCAGTTTCGAATAGCCATCAATTGAGAGCAAGCTGGGGAGCCAAATTTTTTTATAGCACAAAAGTAAAAACCTTGTCCCTGTTAGATTCTATGAAAGAGGAAAGGCAGTTATGTGACGGATGCTACGAGGACGTTGAGAAAAAGTCAAGCAAAGGCATATCACACTTTACGAAACCCTCACGATCTCTAACACTCAAATACAAAAAAGGTCTACAGCTTTGTATGACTCGTACTGTGAAGTACAGGGGCTATATGCAAATGCTAATGATAATGAGGTCACGTAGAGATGGTATGTGCATAAAGTGTGATCACCATATTTCCCTCTGCCAGGATATCCTCGATAAGAGGTTCGAGGATTTGGAATTACCTGCAGAGGAAATGAAATGTTCTGAGGTTATCGGCTTGAAAGATAAGGAAGAAACTAGGCTTCTCACGGAGAACTTCCCTGAAAATATTTCTGCTAAAGAAAGGTCCACTTTAAGATCCAAAACAAGTTCTATAGCGACCATATTCTTCGCCATATTGGCATCGCTTTAGTCAAGTCCATCCATTGTCAACATTGCAAGAAACATCTCAAAGCAACTATAGCAGCCTTTAAAAGACTCGCGAAGTACAAAAAGCCGTCATCTAAGAATCAACCCGTAAATCTTGAAGACTGTGATCCCAGTGTACTCCAAAGTTTAGACGTTTTCTACTCTGAGCGATTGGCAAACTCACTTTTACATGGGTGCTGCTTCAAGTGCGAGAAATCACTCGACTTAATTGGAGGCGGAACAGAAAGTAGTGATGATTCCTCTGATATGACATCAGCTTCAGGTTCATCTGCCAAGATTTCTTCAGCAGCAGAGGAGTATTCAAGTCCAAATATTTTCTTCGAGGACGTGAAATCAGATGATGGAGATAAAAAGGGGTCTAAGAAAATGATGGAAGAGATGACTGAGGAAGACTACAAGAACTTAATCGAAGAATTCACTGTCACTGGTATGGATATCCTTGATGATAATCCTGAGTTAATGGATGATCTATACAGGTTGTTGAGATTAGATGATGATCCTGTAGATCTGACAGACACAAAGCTGGACCTGCTGGCTTTTCCTGAGATCTTCAGCTGGGGTGTTGGTGGAAGGAAGGGTTTTAGAGGCGAAGAAGCGAAGCCCTTGCAATACGAAAAGTGTAGACTGATGTCCAGCAATGGGCCAACTCGAAGAAATGTACAGCATTTGTTTCACTTAGCAGGGGAGAATGAGCGTAGAAAAATCCGTTCTAGCATCTTCGCCACGCTAAAAAATGTACAAGGCATGGGACACCTAGATGCAGCGACTTTGCTCAACAAAATCAAAATGAAAGATCCAACATTATTGAAAAGAATAAACAAAGTATTGAGGTTGGTTCCGAACACACAAGCTTATTGGGAAAGTGCCCGCGCAAAACTTAAAGCGCAAATTGAAAAGTTTGGTCCCCCAACCTTTTTCGCCACATTTAGCCCCAATGAGTAGGACCTAATTCAACATTTAAAAGATGTCAACAGTGACATACCTAATATAGATGACCTGTCTCCTTCTGCTTTGCTGAATAAGGACCCTGTATTGACATCAATTTACATCCACAAAAAGTTTGATGCTCTTTTAAGTTTATAATTGATGCAGAACCTTTGGGGAAGTCAAGTCATACTTTGTGAGACATGAATATCAATCTCGAGGTACTATTCACTTTCACACATTTATTTGGATTGATAAAAGTCCCCTGATCGGCAAAAGTTCTGATGCAGAGGTTGCAAGCTTCATCCAAAAACACATCACTTGCAAACTCCCTGATCCAGTGAATGAAGCAACATTGTTTGATGTAGTGGGTAGCTACCAAAATCATTCGTGTAGACCGTATTGCTTAAGAACATTTAAAAAGACCAAAAATCCTTCAAAGGCCAACAAAACTAGTTCAAAAACGCAAGTCGCCTGTAGATTTGGTTTCCCAAGACCAAAATCACAGAAATTCATCCTTCATGATGTTCTCTCGAGTGTGATTGGAAGAAAAACAAAGCAGATGAAGCAACGATTGTATGATTTGCCAAGAAGTGAAGAAGAAAGAAGGATAAATGACTATAACCCAATATTATCCTTCCTCTGGAAAGGTAATATGGACATCCAATTCCTTGCGGAAGACAGTCACTCGATCACGCAGTATGTTACCAAATACATAACTAAGGGAGAAACGAGTGTTGTAGACATTGATGAAGCAGACTTGAAAGATCTGTCCAAAACATCGTATCAGAATCTTTCCAAGTTTGCGTTCCAGCTTCTTAAATCCCGCGAGATGGGGGCACATGAAGCAGCTGATAGGATCCTTCAAAACAGTGGCGAACTATGGAGATCCTCAGAGACTTTTTTGTGGCTCCCATCCACCACTCCAGATCGTAGGACTAGGGTTATGAGGAACCTTAGTGACTTACAGAATCAGAAGCCTGACAGCACTAATCTATTCTTTGACGATTGGGTACACGTTTTTTATCCCAATAGGCCTCGAACAAAGGATTTTGAAAGCATGACGCTCTACGACTTTGTCTCCAAGTACGAAAAGCGATAGGGAAACCTGAAAAATTTGAAAAGAAAGACGAGGACAAGTATATCAAGATCAAAAGTGAAGATGGAAATATATACGAACTCTTCAACGGAGAAAAAAAGAACCCGTTATATACCATCACAACTATTCCTTAAATACTGACCCTGAGCTGTTTTATTACAGCATGTTATCTCTTTATAAGCCTTGGCGAGATGAAGCGGACATCGCAAGCTCTCACGACAAATACAGCGATGCGTATTTTGATGCCGCGAGGACTTTACACAGCTCAAGGAAATGTCGAGCAAGAAGATCAATATTGAAAAGGCTAAAGAGAAGATGGAAAAGGAAGCAGAAGCAAAAATGGCAGCATCTGGTACAGCTACTCCTTCACAGGTTGAGGATGACATCGATCTCGGAAATCAAGGTCTTAGATCCGGCCTACGAGATTTTGAGATAGTCAACAATAGAAGCGAAATAAAGTCTCATGGGGAACTTGAATCGTTCGTCAAAACATTGAACGAAGATCAAAAAAGAGTGTACGTCAAAGTCACCAAACATATTGAGCATATGGTTCGACACAGGGACAAAGAATGCACGGGTAAGGAGTGCAGTCGACCTCTCAATTTATATGTAAGTGGGTTTGGCGGAACAGGAAAATCTTATTTGATAAAAGCTCTTCAAGGGTATCTTTGGGTGCAAAAAAACCTCTTCGATGAATCAACTGATATTGCGTTGACTGCACCAACGGGGCTTGCTGCAGCAAATGTGGGAGGACAAACGCTCCATAGTCTTTTTAGTTTGCCAGTTGAGCATGGTGAAAAACTGCCCAAGTATACCGCACTCAAGAAGAATTCGATGCAGCAAACAAGGACTGTACTCAAAGACTTAGCATTGCTTGTTATCGATGAGATTAGCATGGTGTCGGCAGAGATGTTGATGTCAATAAACTTAAGATTGCAAGAGATCTTCGGTGCTGATGATTTGTTCGGCGGAAAAACCGTTGTTGTCTTTGGAGATCTTCTACAGTTGCCGCCTGTTCATGGCAAACGGCCATTTCAGGATTTGTCTGGGGATGATGTCCATAAGTTAACTGGAGGCCTTAGAATCCCGAGTCACCTTTGGAAGAACTTTGAGTTTGATGAACTCACTATAAATCAACGGCAACATGGAGATGCTAACGAAAAATGGAGTGGTATGCTTGGCAGGATTCGTATTGGCCGTCAGAGTCTAGAAGACATTAACATTCTGCAAGAGCGGCTTATCCCAGTCAGACCATGCGAACTGCCTAGCCAACACTTGGATCAAATCGTTGATTACTACCTCAGTTTACAGAAACAGTTCCCTACCACTGTCTGTCTATTACCCAAACGAAACATGATGGAATCTTTTAACGCCACAGTCATGAAAAAACTCTTTCCTGATACAATTAAAGTTGAAGCAGACGATGAAGTCGACGGCAGAACTAAAAATGACAAAAAACGGGCATTAGATGCAGTTCTGAAGATTGATAAATTGGGTGATTCTCGAAATACAGCCGACCTTGAAAAGTGCCTCATTTTGAGCGAGGGTGTCCGAATAATGCTCAGAAAAAACATTGATACCGCGAAAGGGCTTGTGAATGGTGCTATGGGAATAGTCAAACAAATCGTGCGGCAGTCCGACGACCCAAACTCAATCGTTGAGAAACTTTTAGTGCAATTTGGCGGAGTCGACGGCGATGTTGCAATAACGAGGGATACTCGCAAAGTGAAGTTGTTCGAAGAGTCATACCTCCATCGTCGACAGTTTCCTATCAGCACCGGGTACGCCCTCACCATCCACAAAGCGCAGGGCATGTCTCTGAGTCACGTGTTTTGCGATTTAGGCACTATGATCTTTGCAACTGGTCAGATTTATGTCGCTTTAAGCAGGTGCAAGACTCTTGAGGGACTTTATTTGGTAAACATAGATGAGTCCCGGATTAAAGTTGACCATCTAGCTATCAATGAATATGTCCGACTAAAGAGTAAGCCAATTATAGCAGCAGGTATAAATTTCATGACTGATGGTCAGCCAGATTCGAGCAAAAAAGGCAAGAAAAGAAAGCCGAAGAAAAAGACGGAACGCATCTGGTACGAAACTGACGCAGCAAAAAAAGCAAAAGCGACCTTCGACGATATTTTGAAGAATCTCACAGATGACCAGACAAAAGCTCCTAAGAAAAAGCAGTCCACCAAATCAAAGAAAAAGAAGCCAACTGCTGAGAGGAACTCCAATTTATCTGCAGCTAACATCAGCACACACATAAATCAAATTCACGCTGGAATTCCTGACGAATTCATTCCAACTGCTGATATTGTGAGCGGCTCAGAAATGATGGAGGTATACAGGAGAGCTCTGGTACCCTGTTTTAGAGCCAACTCCCCAAACAGCTTCATTTTGAGATCTGCTTTAGAGTTGGACCCCGACCCATTCAACTGTAGACAGACCCGTGATCTCTGGTTGACCGGGTCTACCATTGCAAAGTATATTGCGGTGATCAAAGATGGTTTGGCTGAGGACGCTGGTCCAACTCTGTACAGTATGGGACCTTACTGTGGTGCTTATCGGAGTGTGCGTGGGCGTCGCCGTCAATCTGGATTGCTTGAAGATTTCATAAGGAACACATTTGCCGAGAGGCCGTTCACTCGACTTAGGTATAGTAAATTTGACGTTTTGTCTATCAATTCTTTGACACTTTTGTCCATTTATTTCGTAATTATAGCAACCACTGTTCTTGTGTTGGTAAATTAACTGATAAAAAGTGTAAGGTATGCAAAAATCGAATGCAATTCCTAAACCCATATATTTCAGGCAGTTCAAAGTTCTCCCCTTCACTCCTAGGGATCACTTAATACAATACGGAGATCCGATGACGTATGATATAATTGCTATGGTCGGCAACCCTGGTAATCATTGGTATACGGTCATCATCGACAACAGAACTCGACAGGTATGCTTTATTCAAAATATTATACAGGGTGGGCCGAAGGTCAGTGTGCAAACGTTTATAAAATCAATTCAAACGGAGAAGCTTTTGCGATTGGTCTGATCAGGCACGTAGCCAGGGGGTGGGGGGATTGAACCCCAGAAAAATAAGCCCCCTAGTTCCCATGGACGCCTGGTAACTGGGCTGTGTTTATGACTGCAGTCTGCTTTTTAAAAATATACAAAATCAATTTAAACTGAGAAGATCTTACGATTAGTATGACAGCAATTTAAAATATCTCAGCGTTTATCGGTATTAATCGTGGTTCCTTGTACAGGTTCTGCACTTTGACTCCCAAAATTGCTCAACCGTAACCATGAAAGATCGTTGCCACTCACATTTAAGGCTACTTAAAGACTTCCGACAATACCAGAGGTGAGTTTAACGTTTAACACAAATGAAATATAAGTCAAAGTGTTCTATTTGCTAGTCACATTTTATTGTTACTGTTAGAATGGGCATTGCTTTGTTCACACTGATAGTCTAAAATCGCACATTATTTTCAGAGAAAAGCTACCTATTGTTGTCAATGGAGATTTGAATACTGATGACTATACATTTGTTGATGGTCAATCCAGTATTCAAAGAAATGGTTATGACTGTGGTGTCTTCTCTCTGATGAACATCGAAAAATATATAACTGCCAGACCATTCAATCATCGTATAGTACAACCTTTGATGAAACTATTTAGACTTAGAATATTAGCAAAACTTTATCACCAAAGTGTCATATCAGGATTAGGGGGTTAAATGTTCTCAGAAGATGGAATCAATTTTTCACCTTATCTACCTTTAATGATATAATGTAAGATGGGCTGCTTGTGATAGCGTAATGCCTCTCTCGGCTCGCAGTCTGTCAATTATTCTTATTATGGAAAGTTTCTGGCAATTAAAAATGTTGTAATTTGTGTCGGAGCAAATTGATATCAATTTACGATTTTGATGTATATCTGCCTCTAATGATATCATGTAAGATGGGCTGCTTGTGATAGCGTAATGCATCTCTCGGCTCGCAGTCTGTCATTTATTCTTATTATGGAAAGTTTCTGGCAACAAATATGTTTTAATTTGTTTCGGAGCAAATTATGATATCAATTTACGATTTTGATGTATTAATTCTTCGTGCAATTTGTTGTTATTTACTGTTATTATGTAATATTATGTTGATGTTTGTTTTGATTTATTTGTGATGTTTTAAATTATTTCTTGTTGTTGAATTTTGCATAAGTAATATTTCTTGGTGTTCAGTAATCTTTTAGAATGTTTTGTGATTTTTATTTCGTATTTAAATTTGTTCATAACGTTACAGAAGGTATTTATTTAATGTAGTTCGAGGAGCCCTAACTCGCAACCTACGTGGCGCCTCTTTGTGTTTCACTCAGATCACGGCCTGCTATATTGTTAATTGTAGTTATTCCTTTTATAATGATTTACTGTTTATTACTTCTTGTTATTCATATTGTTTTTTACTACGAATAGTGATTTTATGAATATCAAAAATATACATGTGTATTCATGAGTCGCTTGAAGACCAAAAAAGGCTGATATTTAACCAAAACCCAATAAATTGGGTAGGATGAACCGTCGCCTCAAGTCAGTTATTGAAATTATAATGCTACTTATCAGCTACGTTACACAAAGCTGCGCAATAATAGTATAATAAAACGAGTCAAAGATGTGATATAAAAAAGTGACCGTTCTTGTCCCGTAACAGCGCGGTCGCTTGCTTTGACCGTCATGTCACCAAATCACGAAATTTAGACTTTTGAATCTTCTTTAGCATTAAATACAAAAACACGTATTTGTTATTTACAACAACGTCAAGTTTGAACTATAAACTACCACTTTGTCTTTATTACGTGGCCGTCCCTATACTTTAAGTTTATTAATTTCCGCAAACTACACGTTTATTGATTTCCACAAACAACAAATGAGTTATAATTAAACTGCGTACGCCGTGCAACTACATGCATGATGGAAGCTTTATCTGCTTTGATCAGTTTATACGGTCATGAGGCTCAGAGTGCAATTACGAATAAAATACAAAACGATGACAGTTATGTCTTTCGAAACAAAATATTTAATGGACAAGTTTTGCTTGAATTTGAAATAAATGAACGGCAGTGTAAAACATAAATTGAAAGTGAAACTCACGTCTTGCAGTCTTTACTTACTAATACTGATGGTAATAGTAAACAAAATTCTTACTTATTTCCGCGCGGTATATATTTAGAGTTTAAGTTTCGTAATACTAATTACTATCATTATACACTTAAAGTTAATCATATTTTATCTGTTCGAGATGGCCAGGCCTACTCTCATGCTGTCTATATGTGATGATTAACTCTGAAAAACTAGGGACAACTGGGGAATGATCCCAGAACCTCGAGATTTCGCGTCTCTTGCTCTACCAATTGAGCTACTGACCCTGATTCTCAGAGCGAAATCACCACTCATATACAGCACAATTTCATGCTTTGTGTGGAATATAATTTTATCAGTTATTTAGAATATATATATATCACGTTGTACGTGTAATGTAAATATAGTGTGGATAAATGCGAATATATATTCTAAATAACTGATATTTTATCTGCATAATACAAATTAAAATTATTCTGGTTTAGTTTCACTTTCAGCGCTACTTTTATTAGAACAATTAAATCACTACAATTCTGTTGCATTTATCAAGGAATGAATATTGAATACAATTTAGTTATATGTTGTTTGTAATGAATTTCCAGCTGTCTTGCTTGTTATCGGCCATCGCGTTCAAAATTTATTTACGTCTGTTTGTTACATAAAATATGCATGTTCATGATATATATGTGATACAGCCTTCATTATTTTCTGGCATTGTTACCGACTATGTGATTGTTCAGGATAAAATATCGTAAACTTTAATTTGCCTACTTAATTTAAAGACGAACCAGTTCTAAGTTTCAACTGTAATATCAATATTTAAACTTAATCTAAATTAACAATGTTTATGAGTGATTTGGTGACATGACGGTCAAAGCAAGCGACCGCGCTGTTACGGGACAAGAACGGTCACTTTTTTATATCACATCTTTGACTCGTTTTATTATACTATTATTGCGCAGCTTTGTGTAACGTAGCTGATAAGTAGCATTATAATTTCAATAACTGACTTGAGGCGACGGTTCATCCTACCCAATTTATTGGGTTTTGGTTAAATACATAATATATAAATAGATATTCTCAGTTTTCATAATTTAATGCATTATTTAAATTGGTCCAATTGGCCCTTTTAAAACTATAGATTTTTCGTTTGGTACATTTTTTCTTATATAGCGTTAAGTCTTATGTCTAATCTTGACGGATGTTACTCGTCTAAATTTCTTCGAAGTAGCGCGCGCCGCTTTCTTCTCGAAATGGCCCGACGGCAAGTGCTACGAAGTAGCGCGCGCCGGGCCAAACCATTAACAATGGTCAAGTCCAATCTTGAAAAATAGATAAATTATAAAAAAACCTCTCATTATAACATCGAGTAGATCACTATTATAATACTGAGTTCCTCTATAATTACAGGGTGAGTTGAAAATAGTGTGTAGAATGCAAATGTAAAAATCGATAAAATTTTTATGAAGGAGCCAATTTTGAAAGGTGAATTGCTATCAGTTCATAAACGTTACAAATTTCATTCTTGCCTCTCATTTGATTATAACTCATGATTTGGTTGAATTTTGGCAGTTTTCCAAAAATTCGTAAATTCGTCCTAATGGGGTTTTCAAATCATGTGCCCTGAAAATCGAGTCTAAAAATCTATCTTCTCCTACATTTTTTGAGCAATCACCCTAAAACTTTCAGGATATGTTCTAGGGATCATTTAGAAGAGATGAGTTGGACAGAATTTTGAGAGAGGCCTCTTAAAAAAATTTATTCGATTTTGAAAATCGTGAACCTCGAAAAACCATCAAAAAACGAGGTCCAAGATTTTAAAAATCGAATAAACATTTTTTAAATGGCCTATCTCAAAATTCTGTCCAACTCATCTCTTTTAAATGATCCCTAGAACATATCCTGAAAGTTTTAGGGTGATTGCTCAAAAAATGTAGGAGAAGATAGATTTTTAGACTCGATTTTCAGGGCACGCGATCAAAAATCGTTCGCGCAATACAATTACCACACACGCGCTGACCTTTGACCGGCATTAATTTTGGCTAGGAACGATATTTTTCCACGGGATCAAAAGCATCTGATAGATATTACTCCCCTCTATCAGAAACAACTTTGTAGGTTTACAACCTACCAGGACGCGCGCCGAGTTGGACAGATATGGAACAGATATTTTACGAGTATCACCCGTTAAAAACAACTAAAAAGTCGATTTTGAGAACATTTCCATGAATACCCTCCCTGCCCCCTTAATACAGTCAAGTCGGCTATAGACAATTGTCTTACACGTTATCAACATGTCCTAGCTAATAAAGGACGATGGGTTGAGCAAATTATTAATTATTAAGTATTTTTATTGTATTATTATAATATTTATATATTTTCATTACCTAAATATGCAAAAATTAAGTGGAAATTTCGTTTGTCAAAACAATTAGAGCCATTTACATTCTACACACTATTTTCAACTCACCCTGTAGGTCCCTCTATAATATTAGGCCCTATATAAGCTAAGGCTATAAATACTCTCTTACTCTTACTCTGACAGTGTAATGTATGTGTGTGTGTCTGAAATATTCGTTGCATAATATTATGGAATATGGATAATATGTAATTACATTTCTATGTCATGGTGCTCTTCGCTAGCTCCATGCGTTAATGTGATGTCCTTACTCCTCACTCGTTCGAGTAACAAAATATCGTTCATTGGCAGTTCGTATGTTCATCCCAGTTTTAACTTTAGAGAACCACATGTTCTCTAAATTGTGTGATTTCTAGTCCACGAATCTAAATTGTGTGATTTCTAGCCCACGAAGCTAAATTGTGTGATTTGTAGTTTACGAATCTAAATTGTGTGATTTGTAGTCCACGCAGCTAAATTGTGTGATTTGTAGTCCACGAAGCTAAATTGTCATGCTTGACGTCCGATTAAATTTCTTACCGATCATGGGCCAGCTCTCATTGATTTTGAACTATGATAGCTGTGAGTTTTGCTGTCAAAGTTTCAGTTATAGTTATGTTTAAACAATTATTTTCATAATTATCTTTTCGTCTAACTCTATATACTGGCCCTCTTCTTTTTCCCCAACTTTTAGTTGATTAGCTCGTATAATTGACAATTGTGCAGGAAATGTGATTTATCATAGCTCACATGGTATCTATTATAATGGTGATTTGAACACATATATCTAGCTGTATTCCATCATTATAAGTGCTTATAAAGTTATAAAGTCCCACCCTCCGATTGGCCCGGTAAATAATAGAGAGATAGAGGCTTGACTGTATATGAAATATATATGTATGAGTATTACTAATAATATTAGTAATATTAGTAATATTAGTAACATTACTAATAATAGTAACATTACTAATATTAGTAATATTAGTAATATTACTAATATTAGTAATATTAATAATATTACTAATATTACTAATATTACTAATATTACTAATATTACTAATATTACTAATATTACTATTATTATAAGTGATATAAGTAATATTAGTAATATTGAATTTTGTACGGGTAACATGTTAAAAGAATGATTTAACAGGAATGTTAAGTGAATGTCTTTTCACTGGGTTCTTCGTCACTGTTGGCTGCATGACCAACATGACTAGTCTGCCGAACACTGCAAACATGACCAAATGGCGATGCTGCCACAAAAAGTGTGAAACATTCCCAAACGTATTCGAATCCTGTGACCAAGAGGTAAATACCTGTAGAAAATGGAATGGAAATGCATTTCCAGAGTGTATCAAAGGGTATGCTGATAATGTTGATGCTGGTTGCACATATTGCAACAGCTCCTTAGATTGTACAACTGACGCCCGCACTGGTCAGGCGAGTTGTGGTGCTGCTGTAAAGAACACTTCGAATGACAAACATGATTCCTCAGATTTAAGTGAAGTACAGATAGGCGGAATAGTTGTTGGTGCTGTTTTCGGGGTTGTCATTATAAGCGTTTTAGGCGTCGCTTGCTTCAGTAAGGGAGCTCCAGGGAGAACTGGCCACAGAGGATCAATCAGTACACCGTTAGTTGAGGCGGATGAGGCTGCTCGCGAGGAGGAAGCAGCATCAGATACTTGCTACCCTCCACACCAGTATGCTAGTGATCAGATGTATGGAGGGTACGCGCCTTCCCAACCCCCACCTGTTCAGTACCCTCTTGCTCAATATCCTGGTGCTCAGTATTCACCTGGTGCACAATATCCACCTGGTGCACAATATCCACCTGGTGCACAATATCCACCTGGTGCACAATATCCACCTGGTACACAGTATCCACCTGGTGCTCAGTACCCACCTGGTGCTCAGTACCCACCTGGTGTACAGTACCCACCTGGTGCACAATATCCTGGAGCTCAGCACCTAGCTGGTGCTCAATATCCTGGTGCACAATATCCACCCCCAGCCCACCCAACTGTAGAAATTGAAAATCCTACTGCAACTTCTCCACCATCAGCCGGGTCTTATCCAGCAGCCACCTTTGTTCCTACGGAGGAGACACTTATTCAGTTGAGAAATGAGATGGAAGAAGAAACTACCAAAGCAATGGAGGAAAGGCGCAAACTGGAGGAGGAGCGTAATATGCAGGAAAAGCGCAAAATGGAGGAGGAGACACTTATTCAGTTGAGAAATGAGATGGAAGAAGAAACTACCAAAGCAATGGAGGAAAGGTGCAAACTGGAGGAGGAGCGTGAAATGGAGGAAAAGCGCAAAATGGAGGAGGAGCGTAAAATGGAGGAAAAGCGCAGAATAGAAGAAAAGCGCAAAATGGAGGAGGAGACACTTATTCAGTTGAGAAATGAGATGGAAGAAGAAACTACCAAAGCAATGGAGGAAAGGCGCAAACTGGAGGAGGAGCGTGAAATGGAGGAAAAGCGCAGAATAGAAGAAAAGCGCAAAATGGAGGAGGAGACACTTATTCAGTTGAGAAATGAGATGGAAGAAGAAACTACCAAAGCAATGGAGGAAAGGTGCAAACTGGAGGAGGAGCGTAAAATGCAGGAAAAGCGCAAAATGGAGGAGGAGCGTAAAATGCAGGAAAAGCGCAAAATGGAGGAAAAGCGCAGAATAGAAGAAAAGCGCAAACTGGAGGAGGAGCGTAAAATGGAGGAAAAGCGCAGAATAGAAGAAAAGCGCAAACTGGAGGAGGAGCGTAAAATGCAGGAAAAGCGCAAAATGGAGGAAAAGCGCAGAATAGAAGAAAAGCGCAAACTGGAGGAGGAGCGTAAAATGGAGGAAAAGCGCAGAATAGAAGAAAAGCGCAAACTGGAGGAGGAGCGTAAAATGCAGGAAAAGCGCAAAATGGAGGAGGAGCGTAAAATGGAGGAAAAGCGCAAAATGGAGGAAAAGCGCAAACTGGAGGAGGAGCGTAAAATGGAGGAAAAGCGCAAAATGGAGGAGGAGCGTAAAATGGAGGAAAAGCGCAAAATGGAGGAAAAGCGCAAACTGGAGGAGGAGCGTAAAATGGAGGAAAAGCGCAAAATGGAGGAAAAGCGCAACACGAAAGAAAGAAAAAATAAGGAAAAAAATGCTCCAGCAAAATCGAAACCAGTTGAAGGTGAGGTCAAAAATAGATTAAGAATAATTTAAAATGTGTAACATAACAGGTATAGATGATTTGTTTGGTTAAAATTAAATTGATTCATTTTGTGTTTTACACCACTTGGTGTCAAAGACAAAATGATATCATCTGATAAATATAACTTCACAGTTTGCATTGTTTAATTGTGGTGTTGAACTTGAATGAACTATTTATATTCCATAATGAAGCTAAATTGTTAAGAATACACTAATAATTAATAATGATTAAGAAACACTGTATCCTCTCCTTTTTCAGTTCATCTGTTGCCCCTTATTGTTACTAATATTAATAATATTACTAATATTACTGATATTATTAATATTATTAATATTATTAATATTACTAATATGACTAATAATTAAGAATAATTAAGAAACACTGCATCCTCTCCTTTTTCAGTTCATCTGTTGCTCCTTATTGTTACTTATATTACTAATATTACTGATATAACTAATATTACTGATATTATTAATATTATTAATATTACTAATATTACTAATAATTAAGAATAATTAAGAAACACTGCATCCTCTCCTTTTTTCAGTTCATCTGTTGCTCCTTATTGTTACTTATATTACTAATATTACTGATATAACTAATATTACTGATATTATTAATATTATTAATATTACTAATATTACTAATATTACTAATAATTAAGAATAATTAAGAAACACTGCATCCTCTCCTTTTTTCAGTTCATCTGTTGCTCCTTATTGTTACTTATATTACTAATATTACTGATATAACTAATATTACTGATATTATTAATATTATTAATATTACTAATATTACTAATATTACTAATAATTAAGAATAATTAACAAACACTGTATCCTCTCCTTTTTTCAGTTCATCTGTTGCTCCTTATTATTGTTGTATATCAGATACATCTCATTCATGATATCTAGATATGCTACTCGTTGTTGCCTCTAAATCATGTCTTATCACTGCAACGCACTCGCAGGTCATCTGTTGTGAACAACACCAAGCCTACTTCTTTTTTATCATTGTGTGCGTATTGCGTAAGGTACTTAGCTGCGATGTAATTTGATATCTTTAAATTTAATTTATAAATTAAAGTATATAAATCTCACTATATAAATATCACTATTCAAATTTATGCTATGTTGGTTATATTTGTCATGTTTATTGGCCACTCTCCAATGTCCGGTTATTAAACAGACTCAGCATCTACCGTAACAATATGGGTATCACCTCATCATAACAGGTTAACTATCAGTCACAGGGGGACTATAGTGCAAAGAAACGATCAGTGTTTCCCACGTCGGGCCAGCTCTCATTGATCTTTAATTATTCTGCGGCTTGGGAGATTTGCTGTCAGTTACTTTAGAATATTTAGGTTTATCATTACATTGTTTTTTCGTCTATAATTGTTTTGTATACATTTCAAATACTACAGTACAGTCAAACCTTTATATACCGGGTACCTCGATATACCACAGGGTACCACAATATACTACCGGGAACCTCGATATACCGGGTACCTCGATATAACGAGTACCTCGATATACCAGGTACCTCAATAAACCGGGTACCTCGATATACCGGGTGCCTCAATATACCGGGTGCCTCAATATACCGGATACCTCGATATACCGGGTACCTCAATATATATTGGGTACCTCGATATACCGGGTACCTCAATATACCGGGTACCTCAATATACCGAATACCTCGATATACCAGGTACCTCGATATACCGGGTACCTCAATATACCAGGTACCTCGATATACCGAGTACCTCGATATACCAGGTACCTCAATATACCGAATACCTCGATATACCAGGTACCTCGATATACCAGGTACCTCGATATACCGGGTGCCTCAATATACCGGGTACCTCGATATACCGGGTACCTCAATATACCGAATACCTCGATATACCAGGTACCTCAATATACCGGGTACCTCGATATACCGGGTACCTCGATATACCGGGTACCTCAATATACCGGGTACCTCGATATACAAGGTACCTCGATATACCGGGTACCTCGATATACCAGGTACCTCGATATACCGGGTACCTCAATTTATACCGGGTACCTCAATATACCGGGTATAATCAGGGATCTGAGAATATTCCCGTATACACGTCTTCCGCCCCGAGGTTTGAGACCTGCAACGGCTCAATAGACCCCTCAGAAACAAATTAGGCTTGGGTAGACTTTCTGAATATGGGGCAGTTTTGGGCAATTGACCACACCCTTTTTTGGCGCTTTCGCGATATCTAAACCCACATATCTCAACTTCTGATCGGAGAAAAGAGATCAACTTGGGTATGATAATGGTCATAATCAACATATTTAGAGAGGTAGAACATGATTTCAAAGTCCTCACACTTAAGTTTGATGAGTATAATATGAATACAACCTTTTGCGGTCTCGCGAGTAACAATTATCACACTTATTTCAGGATATCTCAGCTTCTAATTGGAGCTAAATAAAACGCTCTTATTGGGTATTGAAATGGTCAGAATCATCACATTGAGTGGGGTAGAGAGTGGTTTTAAAATCTACAGACTTCAGGTTTTTGAGTTATTAGGTCAAACCCTTTTTTTTGAGGTTGCAAGTGATTCTTCTTGGCCGCGAATGCAAAAGAAAAATCACTAATCTACTTCCACCTAAGGCGACAGAACTAGAAGCATCTGGAGACATTTTTTCATTTATTTTCCAGTGTTCACTACTTCGGTCACTTGGCATGTCGTCAAGATGTATAGTTCACATTACTTTCCTATAACTCTCTTTTATTAAACATACACACTTAACTCATGGGGTATCTTAACTCATTGTGTCTGTCTTTTGTTTGTTTGTGACCTATATATTTATTGTGTGACCTATATATTCAAGAAAATTAAAATTGTTTCATTCATATGATTAATCAATACCTTAGGAAATTTAGGAATTTACTCTTTGTTACTCTTTGTTAGACTTTCTACGTTTATTTCTTAAAGATGTCAATGACTGCTTTCTCTTAGGTGGGCCTCCATATTTGTCCATGTTGCAACAAATATTTTGACAGACACAATAAGCATTGCAAAGCACACCTTTCTTTGAGCATTTGCATCTGCCCCCACACCTTTTGTCGATATCTTTGTTCTTACATGAACATGTAACCGTTAGTTCTTCAGGAAGAGGATGAAGATGTTTTACCGGTAAAAGTTCTTCACTTTCTAGTACCCATTGAAAACCACAAGGATCTAGGGGTATACTGTTTCTATTTAGGATATTGGACTGGTCCTTTACGAGAGTCAAACATAGAATCATTATTTCTATATTGATTATAGGCTCTTAACATGTCAAATGTCTGTTATAAGCTTGAAACCTTCACCAAGTATTCCTCGCATTTCTTGACCAGTGCTTTATCGAGTTCTCCTTTACCAAAGCCTTCAAGGTACATTCCAGGAATAGCATTCAATGACGCAAATTTGGTACCTATTCTTGACGGAGTGTCATATCCTGTGGCAATATGGGCTGCAAGTAAAACTTTTACCAATGGTCGGGGCATCCTGTTATATAGGTGATTTATTGAGATTAACATATCAGTGTAGCTTGTGTTGCAAATATCGAGCTCTCTTATCTTTTGTAAATTTGCAATAAGTTCAGTTTGCTGCTACCGCGTAGTTTACCTTTGCGTGTGTACTTGTACATTACTATACAAGTACACTATGGCGGATGACCCAACTTTGACCCGATCCCAGGAGTTGATTAAGGAGTTCAACTATGATCAACAGGAAGATGTGGAAGGCTGTGTTGCACGCTGGTCCATTCAGTTAGAAAAAGACCTGCATATTGACTACCGTGAAATTGACTACGAAAGTCGTGAAAAGATCAAGACTAAGGATAAACTGACTCTGTCTGGCTGGATTGTGGATGCAGTGGACCTTGTTCGTCGGCAGAGTAGTCAGATGTATCTCTTGAAGGAGATCATCGAGTGCTTCAAGACGGAAGCACTAGCAGACAAAGAAAAGGTGATCAGACTGCAGGGCCAGCTGCTGATGCAGAAGGACGAACAACTACAGTTGCTTAAGACGTCTGTTGAGGAGACAGTACAAACAACGGTGGAGTCTGGGATTCAGAACTATAGTGCAGCTGTTCAACAGAACAGTGCAAGTGGTACGGTCTGTAACAGTAAAATCCTGAAGAAGGTGATGAAGAGTGTGGCTGCAGAGGAGGACAGGAGCAAGAACCTGATCGTGTTTGGGCTGAAAGAAGAGTAGGAAGAACAGCTTCCAGCGCTAGTTACCGCAGTTTTGGAGGAGATCGGGGAGAAACCTCACTTCGAAGCGACTAGAGTCGGTTGGAAGAGGCCAGGTAGTACGGCTATCCGACCAGTCAAGATCACCGTCCCAAGCTCAACAGCGGTTCATCAGATTCTGATGAAAACAGGGAGACTGAGGGAGACGCACAAAGATGTATGGATATGTCCAGACAGATCCAGCGAAGAACGAGCAACAAGGAAGCATCTGGTCACTGACCTGAAGAAAAAGAGGGCTGAACAGACTCATCTCGACCACTACATCCGGTACGGGAAGGTATGTAGCCGTGATAAGAAGTCATCATGAGTTATTCATGTCTCTTGGACACTGATCAGTATATGAAGGAGTGATGATTATTTTAAGAATTTTCAGACGTTATCTGTATTTAAAAGACAACTATATATATTGAATATTTTATTATTTGATTGTTTCACACTTTTCATATTTCATAATTTTATTACTAGGTGGAGGTGATGTTATTGAGACTTTGGGCGGCCATAAAACTCCTGTTTTGAAAGTTGTCCTCTGTACTTGTTTCACTGACCCACGCTTTATAGCATTTATACATTTCGGCCCATTTTATATGTTTGTTCGATTTGCTGTACATTTGTATATTTGCTATTTTGTAAAAGTTTCAAATCAAATCATACTCTTAGCACCACTACCTATCCGTATCCATATCCTTTCAACTCCATTATACTTAAATTGTCTGTAAGTGTAATAGTGCAGTGTATGGACATAGATCACCTTCAAAATATAATAATAAAGTATAAGCGTGATGCCTTAACGTGTATTATTTTACCCATAGGTGATATTGTTGCTTGATCAATTAGGCTATTGATAGATGAATCGGGTAATTTTAAAGTGCCAAAGTCAGAACTTTCTCTACAAGTTTTATGTTTTTACTTATTGCTTGTAGATAGTGCAAGCATACTCTACCCAACTCAATGTGACGATTCTGACCATTTTAATGCCCAAGATGAGCGCTTAGCTCCCATCAGAAGCTGAGATATTTTGTGGTAAGTACATTAATTGCGACTCACAAGAGTATAAAAATACGGTTTGACCTAATAACTCAACAACCTGAAGTCTGTAGACTTTAAAACCATTCTCTACCCCACTCAATGTAATGATTCTGACCATTTTAAGGGGGGGGGGGGGGGGGGGGGGGGGGGGGTTCACCCTGATTTTTTTGTGAAACTTGGTTTCGAGATAGCAGTTGACAAACAAACTAGGACCAGTGACCAAACTTTTGAGGGGGTCCCGGACCCCAACCGCCAAACGGTGCCCGCGGGGCAGCCACGCCCATATTTGGTCCAAATTAGGCCCAATTTAGCCAAATACCCTGAACATGCCCAAAATATGGTCATATGGTTGTTTGATCATAACTCAGTCAGTTTTTGTCCAATCTTGATGAAAATTCATATACGAGTTTAGGGGACCCCTAGCCACAAGTAGAGCACCCAAAATCTGGGTTTTGGGCATGTTCAGGGTATTTGGCTAAGTTGGGCCTAATTTGGACAAAATATGGGCGTGGCTGCCCCGCGAGCACCGTTTGGCGGTTGGGGTCCGGGACCCCCTCAAAAGTTCGGTCATTGGTCCTAGTTTGTTGGTCAACTACTCTCTCGAAACCAAGTTTCACAAAAAAATCAGGGTGAACCCCCCCCCCCCCCCCCCTTAATGCCAAGATGAGCGTTTAGCTCCAATTAGAAGCTGAGATATCCTGAAATAAGTGTGATAATTGTTACTCGCGAGACCGCAAAAGGGTGTGGTCATATAACTCATCAAACTTAAGTGTGAGGACTTTGAAACCATGTTCTACCTCTCTAAATATGTTGATTATGACCAATTTCATACCCAAGTTGATCTCTTTTCTCCAATCAGAGGTTGAGATATGTGGGTTTAGATATCGCAAAAGCGCCAAAAAAGGGCGTGGTCAATTGCCCAAAACTGCCCTATATTCAGAAAGTCTACCCAAGCCAAATTTGTTTCTGAGGGGTCCATTGAGCCGTTCCAGGTCTCAAACCTCGGGGCGGAAGACGTGTCTACGGGAATATTCTCAGATCCTTGATATACCGGGTACCTCGATATACCGGGTACCTAGATATACCAGGTACCTCAATATACCAGGTACCTCGATATACCGGGTACCTCGATATACCGGGTACCTCAATATACCGGGTGCATCAATATACCGGGTACCTCGATATACCACGTACCTCAATATACCAGGTACCTCGATATACCACGTACCTCAATATACTGGGTACCTCAATATACCGGGTACCTCGATATACCACGTACCTCAATATACTGGGTACCTCGATATACCACGTACCTCAATATACCGGGTACCTCAATATACTGGGTACCTCGATATACCACGTACCTCGACCGGGCCTCTTCTTTCCCCCAAACGTGCAGTTAATTAGCTCGTGTTGTGCAATAATATAGATGTTTGACTGTATATTAAAAAATATTTCAGTAACTATTATTAATACTAAAACTACAAGATGTTAAGTGGATGTATTTTTGTGCACTTCATTACTGTTGGGTGGTGCATGACCAACATGCAGAACAGCGCAAACACGAACAGCATAACCAATATGCCGAACACTGCAAACACGACCAAATATCGATGCTGCCACAAAATGTGTGAAACACTTCCGAACGTATTCGACCCCTGTGATCAAGAGTTAAATACCTGTAGAAAATGGGACGCCGCAATTCCCGGATGCATCCCAAAGATCAGGGCTGATAATGTTGATGCTGGTTGCATATATTGCAACAGCTCCTTAGATTGCACAACTGACGCCCGCACTGGTCAGGCGAGTTGTGGTGCTGCTGATGATGACTATTCTTCAGAATCTTCACACTCATTCAGTCCCCTTGAAAAAGTTGGTGTGTTTTTGCTTGCTTGTCTCATTGCCGTTGTTTGGTGTTTATCAAAGCTTAACCCTTTTGGCGGCTTCGAAATACGTATTCCTTGTCGAATTTGTTGTTGTAATTATTGTTGTTGTAAAATCTGTTGTCCTGAAGGAACTGATGAAGGAGGATCGATCAGTACACCCTTAGTTGAGGCGGATGAGGCTGCCTACCCTCCAGGATTGCACCCATCTCAGTATGCTAATGATCAGTACGCGCCTACCCAACCCCCACGTGCTATCTACCTACCACCTGGCGGGTATACTGTACAGTATCCTGTTCAGTACCCTCTTGCTCAATATCCTGGTGCTCAGTACCCACCTGGTGCACAATATCCACCTGGTGCACAATATCCACCTGGTGCACAATATCCACCCCCAGCCCACCCAACTGTAGAAATTGAATATCCTACTGTAACCTCTCCACCATCAGCCGGGTCTTATCCAGCAGCCACCGTTGTTCCTACGGAGGAGACGCTTATTCACTTGGGAAATGAGATGGAAGAACAAAATGCCACAGCAATTAAGGAACAAAATGCCCCCGCAAATCCAGTCGAAGGTATAAGGTCAAAAAGAAATTAGAAAGGTGATAATATAGATAACTTTTCGCAGTTCTTTTATAGCAGTACTGTTGCCCAAATTTTCTGAATGTAAGATATTTTGTTAGTGGCTATCGGAACCCATCGTAGTTTCTAGATTTAACAACTACAAAATGTACTACATCGCTTTTTCACTTCGTTTTGTATATGTTTTTTGTGTACTTAAAAAAGGGGTTTCTAGGATCATAAATGTTCATCTTCCATACAAAACGCATACGTGCTAATTGCTACATTATGCTATTTTATAGAAAAATGCTACTTTAAAGAAAATAAATAACTAGATTAATTCTACAACTTATTCAATTTCAGCTCCACACCCTCTCTCTCCTGGAGCCACAGTCAGGCTAACCTCCAAAGCTCACGGGAAAAATCTGAGGATCAAAAAGGAGGGTGGTATTGACGTGAGTAATTTCAATTTCTCTTCGTTAACACGGTGTCCTAATTTATTAAGGAATTGCTCCAGTGTGGTTAGTTCATAGATTATTATGAAAAGTTAAACAGATTTATCAATCGTGAATCGTGAAACATGTATGAGGGTCGGAACATGAATACAAAATATGAAAATAAACAAACAATCGAAATTTACTCAATAAACTTTCTAAGAGGGTCCGCATAATACGTATATTATTAAATCTTGCTGCTTGAATAATTTGTATATTTAAGCTGGCAAATCATCCAAAAAAGTGGGTTTCTGCCATAAATCTTGACTAATCAACATAATTTTCTTCGAGCAGAAAATAATTTTACTAATTTTACTAAATTTATATGTCTTCATCATTCGATTGAAAGTGTGTTTAAAATTATTTTCAAAACTGTATCTAACAGTACCATTATTGGTCGAAACAAATCGAAACACTTCATTTAAAGTGTCTACACTCTACAGTCTACACTTTACACTCTACAGTCTACACTCTACAGTCTACATGTGTAAATCACGTACCCAGCACATGTCTGCACAGATGGGGTTTACTGCACTTCATTGTGCTCTTCATCCTCCACCTCTCATCCAAACTAGTGTCCTCGTAACAGTTACAATCAGCAGTCTCGTGATGTTGCAGTTTGCCCTCGTAGTCGCAGGAAGGATAGTCAGGAGGGAATGTAGACTGGGTGTATCCTCCCTCGTGTACAATGAAGCCCTGTCCGTCCTCCATGTGCTGGTCCAGGTGGCAGTGCAGGAACCACACACCGGGGTTGTCCGTGTTGAACCTGATGGCGATCGCTCCACCAACTGGGACTATCACAGTGTCTTTCAGAACTCCTTGTCTTGGTCGTGTACTGAGAGCCTCTATGTTTGTGGTGAACACTCTGTCTATATTGGGCAGGTCACATCTACCGTCAGGGCAGTCTTTTCTAAGCCTGGTAGCCACCTCCAGTACTTCAAACTTGTGACCGTGAAGGTGTATTGGGTGAGGAAATGCTGTGACAGAACGTATGATTATAGTTACTGATTTGTTTAGAGGCAGAGTCAGGACATCAGTGTTGGGGTGAAGATCCTCCACTGGGTTGAAACTGTCCGCAATCATGGCTTTATGAGGTAAAACACTTTGTTTCCAAATTCCGTGGTCTATTGACCACAGGTGACCGTATTGGGGCACAAACTGGAACAAGAAATCTGCAATGTGGGTCTCTGATTCCGGTAGTCGAACTCTTTTGATCGTGGAGATCAGATTTGTCACGGAGTTACAGTCATACTGTGGCATCTCGAACATGTCACAGTTCAGAATCTTGGCCTTGGTCATGTCCACTAGTTCCGTCTCTGGCGAGTCTTCTTGGTATGAGATACTTTCGTTCGCACGGATCCTGAGGACACCCATAATCCCTCTCTTCTGCTCTGCAGAAGGAGTCATTGCTCGAATCCAAACATTCTGATGGGGCTGAGTTAAGTTGAAGTTGATCCGGACATCGTACCTTTCTCCAGCGCTGATCAGGATCACATCTGTTTCGTATGGTTCAACTGATCCTCCATCAGTTCCTACGACCGTGAGTTTGTATCCATCAACACTAAAGAAATAGGAAAAGATTCCTCCTCCATTAATAACCCTAAACAAAATCTCCCCGTTTTGAACATCTATTATTGGCTCTGCTTCTCCATTCAAGATACCAGATGTCCACCCGATAGCACCGCTGTGGTAACCCTCAAAATCAGGGAGAGGGCTGCGAACAAGACCTCCCATGGTTAAAGGATGGTCGTAACCAGGAAAGTTCGGAAATAAATCCTTGTAAAAAAGTGATATTTCATTCCCACGAACATAAGACCCAGAAGTTGAATCATCTTTGGCACTGCTCCAACTTGCCGGTTGAACAATAAGAGGACCTCGTATGAAATCATGCCCAACAGGCACCATATTGGAGTGTCCATGCCACCAATACGTCCCTGGTTCTTCATCCACTACAAACTCATAAAGAAAGCTCTCCCCAGGTGCCACAGCACACTGGGTGAGCCCCACCACCCCGTCGTAGTGCTGGACCCCTCTCATCTCAAACCCGTGCCAGTGAAGACTTACTCCGTGGTCCGGTAGCTCGTTTGTAAGTAGAACGGACAGTCTTTCTCCTCTTCTCACGTTAATCGCGGGTCCCTTTATGTTACCGTTTACTGTGTTAACGATCAAAGTCTTCCCGCCGACAATCTGTACATTTCGTTGAATCTTGAAGTGATATCGAGGCGGGTCTGATGTCTTCTCAAATTTCGCCATGCCAACTACCACAGCACAAATAATTACTAATAGCCCAACTATCAATAGTCCAATTATTTGCTTCCGTGTCAAATTCAACTTCATCATGGTCGATCGATTAAGCAAACTAAGCTAACTGAGCAAACAACTGAAACAATGCCAAGATAACCGCTCACGACTGACTTGGTCTTCTCCGGTCTACGTATTTTGTGTCATCAACAATTACAGAATATTACACTACTGTCTTTGTGATACAGTTTGTTCCAAACTATCGCATTTCAAGAATGCCACCAAAGAGCTGCGTTTAAGTCTAATCTAATAATTGCCAAAATAATTTCAATTAGAATGCATTACAAAATTTAGCAGACACTCCTTTTGCAACTCCATTCGCAACGAATTCAGTTAGTCTTCCATTTCCCGAAAATTCCATTTCCCGAAAATTCGCGACTCAAATTCAATTTGATTGATCAAGATATAGCACCACAATTAGGAAGTGCACGATAAAAATAAACTGATCAAATTTTTAAAATTTTTGTACCATTGTTATACCAAATTTGTCATACCTTTTTGAGATGATCAGCGAGTTTCGCCTAGGTGCCATATTCTAATGCAGATGCGTGGCTTTTGGAGCTTCAGTAAGTGTAAAATTAGTCACGTAATTTGACGAAATTTGTTGATTTTCGTCGTATTATTCTGTTATATCATTGGTTCCTGGAATGAGATCATTCTGAAAATTTGTTAAGACCTTCCACTTCCAATCGGACTTTCAAAACTGTCCGAAAAACTTGTATTGGTGGATATCGGAGTTGATATATTTATGAAAATTTGGCAAAAAATTGGATAGAGGGAAAGTTACTCAATATGCATTTGTTTCAAGAATTTTGTGCTGGCCGAAATTAGCGCTAACAAACATCCTACAGTCGGCACGCACGGTTCACTGTCGATGGCGCACTACCTACCACAATCTCACAATGATAGGGTTAGGACTTAGGTTTTAGGGGGGTTTTAGGGGGGGGGGGGGGGGTTTTGGCTCCCGGACCAAAAACGGTCGGATATCAATTTATTTTATGATTCGCCGAGAGAATAATTTTGAGAAGAAAAGAGATCAGTCTCGAACGTAATATAACATAAATAAACTTTATAGTAAAATTGTTTTTAGAACGTATTCTCAAAACATTTTTTGTAAAATGACTCGTCTAGATGCAGTCTTATCTTTAAATTGGAGATAACTCACTAGCTGAACTAGCCCTTATATGTCGGATTAATCTGACCTCCAGCATGCCATTTTTGTACTGTGTACGGCTAATTGCCGTGGATGCTGTGCTAATACGAAAATCGACACCTGCAAACGCCCATACTTACCAGACTTCAATGAAAAATCTGAAGGTGTCACAGGGCCGGTGCAGGTTCGTTCACATGATACTGACGAGGCTAGAACAAACAACTTCACGGAAACGCATAGCAGCAGTTTCTTATTCCCTCTCGATTATACTAGCAGAGAGGGACATGTTTGCGCCACCATGACGAACCAAGAAGTTGTATTTGTTTCAAATATGCAACTACTTTACACAGTCGTACCTAATTTGGATGAATTCAACCTCTATTCCTACAATATTTAGGTATCCCTTCAGAATGCAGATACAAAAGTATATCCCTCCGTTTACTCTCATCATGACGTAGAGCTTAAATTTTATCTGCCTCATTTTTGTGTAGTATCATGCTTGTTACTTAAGTGTTTTGTCTTGTTACTTGTTGTTAACTTAAACTCTTCTTATACGGACGAGGATGCATATGTCGTTTACTAAAAGTAAACGATTTGGTGCCGCTGCATATACTTATATACGAACACATATAAATATATACTTGTAGTTAGCTACGTATATAATTATAATAATACATATAAATATATACTTGTAGTAAGCTACGTATAAAATTATAATGATACATATAAATATATACTTGTAGTAAGCTACGTATAAAATTATAATGATACATATAAATATATACTTGTAGTAAGCTACGTATAAAATTATAATGATACATATAAATATATACTTGTAGTAAGCTACGTATAAAATTATAATGATACATATAAATATATACTTGTAGTAAGCTACGTATAAAATTATAATGATACATATAAATATATACTTGTAGTAAGCTACGTATAAAATTATAATGATACATATAAATATATACTTGTAGTAAGCTATGTATATAATACATATAAATATATACTTTTAGTTAGCTACGTATATAAGAATACATAAAAGGCACTATATCGGAGTGTTAAGTCGATTTAAAACCTTTGCGTTTATTTGATAAATCTGAATTATAGTATAATAAAAATAAATCTACACTATAATGTGGAAGGGTAAAATGACTTATTACTGAAATGGACATTGAAAGAACTAAATACTGATCACTATAATGCATGGATTCATGGAAGTATCCAGATAGCCCAGTTGTTCGCAAACAATTCTGTTCGGGCTATCTGGATACTGCCTAATGCATTATATAATTTAGGGGTGTCGTAACGTACAAAGGGTATTGTTGTTGAATATCGGCTCAACCTCAGTCAACGTGTTCATTACTAATTAAATCTTGTGGGCGAGGTGACGTCACATAATCCCTGTAACAGGTATGGTGACGTCATAGTCACGTGACCTCAGGCTATATCCCTGGCTATACCAATTAGATTTGTTTAATATCATAAGCCCTAGAGATGAACAACAGGAACACTACTAGACTTGTAAGACCCTGTAGAATGCAGGTTTATCAGTTCATTGCAAGGTAAACTGATAAACCTACCTGCCCCGGTCATGTCCCCGCACTCTGTCCCGAACTATTCCGACTGCAGATCCCTGTATATTCCAATAATTAGATTCTAGATATCATGCCCCGCTAGTCTCTACAGCTCTACGAACAACAACAACACTATATAGACACTTAATAGCCAGGTTGGGAACACACCACAAGTTATTCTTCTGCCTCGTATTTAGTCACTGGTACCTGGCCAACTGTTCATCACCAGTTCATTATTAATCATGACCAGTGCAGGTACCTGACTATTCCTCTGTATATCCAACACCCTGACCCTGGCCCCTGTTCGTTAGTACCCCGAACTATTCCGACGCTACAGACCGATCCTCAATCCAGACAAGGTCATTGTCCAGCTGTGCCCTGGGTAGTTCACCCCGTTTAATTAATATTTAGAGCCACTTTATATTTTATGAGATGAACTATAGCGTGATAAGACTTGTACCTGCCCTGATTCTGTTTGTCTTGAGTCTGCTCGGCGTTTTATCACAAATACGATTTTGTCACAGCAAATAATTTGAAGTTGGTTTTCTAATTTTATTTGCTGTCGTCATACGGAGTTGTCTTCAGCTAGAAAAAGCGTCTGTTTGAAGGTTTTACGGGGTTGTATGTGCTCGATTCACGGTCGTATGTGAAAATTTCAAGTACGATCAGACCATTCACTATTAAAAATAATTTATTAATATCAAAATGAGACTGAAAGATTGGACAATAGTGAGTTAATGAATTTAAATTTGTCAAAGTGAGTCGAACGCAATATTTTATGATCATGCCTCTAACAAACTAATGATTCAGACAATTGCGTTGTGTTAGTCATTTGCCTGTATAGACTATAGAGTCGGTCTTATAAATTCTCTACTTCTAAACTGTTGCTCATTACTTTGAGCTCACTGCTCAGTCTAGTTTCTTGTTTGGGCCATTCATCATTTCAATAAATCCAATGATACTACACCAGATTCAGAAAAAACAATAAATAAATTCCAATTCGTCACACTCTTCGCAGCCTTTTATACTATAGTTTCGTCTGTCTTTAAGCAGTCGTCATCAGTAATCCAGCGGCCATGTTGAATGCCATTTACTCAAATCATTTGTTATGTAGTATTGTTGTTATGTAGTAGTGTTGTTATGTAGTAGTGTTGTTTGTTATGTAGTATTAGTAGTGTTGAATGCCATTTACTCAAATCATTTGTTATGTAGTATTAGTAGTGTTAGTGTTGAAAGTATTAAAACCGCTCAGACGAGTCTAGTTTCGTCAAAATTATTGCTTGCTCCTTTACCTTACGTCATGGACATAGAATATACGTGATCTCAATCGGTTAAATTGAATTTTCTCAACAATCTCTGTATAAATATAATTAAATATACCCGACCACGGATTAGTGTAGCGTCATGATATTTTTCTTTATGATTTTTGTATGTGAATAATTTATTACGAGCATACGAATATGTTGGTGATATCTTTTAAATTTTTGTTCTTTTGATTCAGTCCATATTATGTATTTATGCTATTTATTCGACTCTTGGGGCTTGATTCCCATTTTCATCACTTACGATCCAATTTAATTTAGTTTCCTAGATAAGCAGTTAAAATGTAACTGTTAAATGCACACAAGTTTAATGAGAATAAATCGGAATTTATCTTTTAAAAACTCAGGTGCTCTCACTGTTTGTTTAGCACAATGATAAAATTCCTGTTGCTGTTGACCTTCACCACGCTTGTTCGCACTGAAGAAGCCCCCCCAAATTCGGTCTTCCTAAATATGTTTGAAGATAAGTTCAAGATTCCAGAGTCTACCGTGGACACGGAAAGTCTCACTTTGTTTGATTGTGCGGATGCAACTGTGTACGACACAGAGAAGGTTCTAGCTCAAATTGATGAGGAAAGTGAGTATCTGTGTGCTTTTATCGCTTTCCAGATCAACAAAGTGGAGGGTGAAGGTATCCCTAACTACGCTGATGAAGCTGAAGCGACCAAACGATATCCTTTCTTCAAGAAATGTGTGAATGACGTGAAAGGATATAACGCAGAAACAGATCAGACACAGTTCGAAGTAAACTTCTTCTGTGACATGAGCGAGGAGGAGAAAAGCCCCTACTCTAGCGCTAATAATGGAGAAGATAGCTTTGGAGTTGGAGCAGGAATTGGTGCCTCTGGAGTTGGAGCCCCTGGAGAACCTGGATCGGAAACTGAGGAAAAAGCCCCAAATTCTATGTTCGTAGATTTGTTTGGAGATAAGTTCAAGATTCCAGAGTCTACTGTGGATACGGAAAGTTTAATACTGGTTGATTGCGGGGTTACTTCTGTGTACGACACAGAGAAGGTTCTAGCTCAAATTGATGAGGAAAGTGAGTATCTGTGTGCTTTTATCGCTTTCCAGGTCAACAAAGTGGAGGGTGAAGGTATCCCTAACTACGCTGATGAAGCTGAAGCGACCAAACGATATCCTTTCTTCAAGAAATGTGTGGATGATGTGAAGGGGTATAACGCAGAAACCGATCTGACACAGTTCGAAGTAAACTTCTTTTGTGACATGAGCGAGGAGGAGAAGAAGCCCTACTCCAGCCACACTGGTGGAAAAGACAGCTTCGGAGTCGGATCGGGTTACGATGGAGGTAATTTATTATAATTAATTATAATTATTTAAATCCTTTGCATTTTTTTCAAGATTCAGATGTTTGATATGAGAAATCAGGACCACACAGAAATGCCTTGCGTATCACAAAAAACTGAAATTCTTGAAATGGTCAGCACATCTAAACTAACTAATTTTACGTAAAACTGAATTCTTCTCAGGAGCTTCGGAGACAAACGCTGCAGCGGAGACAAAAACCAGTTATATGATCGTTACCGCTGCTTTGGCAATCACTCTGAACCTCGTCCACGCTCTCTAAATTATTAGACAAATCATAGAACTGTTGTAGTCAAACTGTTTGAATAGTTTAACTTTGGACCACTTTCACCGTTTCAATCGAAATGTTTTTATTGTAGTTTTGATTTCATGCAATGAATTCTTGATTAATAATGATTTTAACATTCGATGAATGGTACGTCGATTCAAAATATCATTTTGTAAAAAATGTGTTGATTTATTGAATTGAGGAATATTTATTATAAAAAGTTTTAAAAATAAAAGCTTTTCACTGAGGGTCGAAAAATATAATTTATAACTGTAAATATTATGAACCTCAGATTTGTCAATGAAGGGAGAAATTGTCCAAATTATACAATAATTTTAATAGAAATAAAATTTGCAATATTTGCATACTCTCGTGTACGACACAAAGTTGGCTGTGTTCCAGAATCTTCCAAGCAGCAAGACTTCAACGTGCCCTTACCAGGCAGCACATCCAATTAGACTCCAGTATAGTATACTGTATACGCTATACTGCAATACAGTTTCACCAACATACTCTACCAAGTTTGAATCTACTCGTATAGTTCCATTAGGGGCCATCTACTTAGGACGTCCGGCAAATAGGGAGGGGTGGTTTTGGAATTTCGGACAAATCCGGACAGGGGGAGGGGAAGGGTGGTTTCTGAAAATCCGGACATCCGGAAATTTTGGCAGAATTAACGAAAAAGTCCCATTTATTTCAACTCTTTGACACTAATTACTTTGTTAGTTTAGATCCCTGTATATTGAACGAGTACTTAAATGTACTTAAATATTTAAATGGAACTGTGCTAAATTTGTTCGACACTAAATGTATTATTTTCTATTTAAGTAACTACACATTTTATTAAAAAAAAATTTGAGTTGGTTTTATTTGTACTCTTAAAAGTAGCTGTAAATCCGGACGTCCGGGGGAGGGGGGGGGGGGGGTGGTTTTGAATATTCGGACACACCCGGACAGGGGGAGGCCGGAGGGGGTGGTATGAAAATCTGCGATTTTGGAGGACGTCCTAAATAGATGGCCCCTTACCGAGAATAAAAAGACGTAATTTATCACTTACACAATGGAATGTTCTACCAATAAGTAAACTTTCAGCAAACAATCTACATACAGCTATAAATTCTGAATATTAAACAAATTTCGCTAATCGCTTGATAGAGACTCTCTAAAAGAGATTACCTCAAATGTTTTACACTAGGCTTTCATGATGTAGTTTTACGAAGAATTCATACCTCATATATTGTATGCCTTCCTCCGTTTCCAAATGTAACATTTTTTAACAAGCACCTATAAATTAACATACGAAATTTATATTACAATATTCATTTTTATAATTCATGTTATAAAGTAACATACGACTACCCACTGCAGGGACAAAAGGAAATCGCGGCATGTGCGGAATCGCGATTTTTCCTATTATTTGCAACAAATTTTATGTATAGTCTTATGTATAGTCTTTTAAAATAATCGCGATTTTCTTTTGTCCCAACCAACGTCTCACACTCAGGGCAGAGGAGGTAACGGACCATGGGCTACCTTCACAGTCCACAGTCGGGGACCTAATATTGCACTGTCTCTAGCTGCTCATCCTAAAAGGTTCCTGGCTATCAAGGAAAACATGCTCACTGAGGTTAGCACATCAGGGATTAGGATAAATTAATAGTTGATAAATTTAATTATCATTAATTGATAATTTATCAATAGTTGATAAATTGTCAATAGTTGATAAATTATCAATACCTAGTCGATAAATAATCAATAGTTGATAAATTATGAATAGTCGATAAATAATCAATAGTTGATAAATTATCAGTAGTTGATACATTATGAATAGTTGATACATTATGAATAGTTGATACATTATCAATAGTTGATGCATTATCAATAGTCGATAAATAATCAATAATTGATACATTATGAATAGTTGATACATTATCACTGACTTACTGACTTAAGTCGGCTTCTTGGTCCGAGCAACTACAATTCCTCGCCACACGTCGCGGTCAAGCATAACAGATCTTATCGCTTCAACACAGGAAAGGCTGGTGCCCTTCTTTAGCATGTCCAGAAACGTAAGGTGGGGCCTCCCCGGTCTCCTGTATCCATGCTGAGGGTCCCAGAACAGAAGTTGGTTTGCCAGAAGGTCGTCATGCCTGGCTACATGTCCAGCCAGTCTCATTCTTCTGGAGGCTATCATCGCTGATGGCTTGGGGATGTTGCCGTATGAATCACTGTTGTTGATGATTTGTGGCCAACGTATGTTCAAGGCCATCCGGAGCATTCTAGTGTAGCATCCATTGATCCGCTTAGTCATGGATTGGCTTATCGTCCAAGCTTCAGAGCCGTACAGGAGTACGGGCTCAACCGTTGCTCGAAAGACACGGATCTTTAAGTCCCTGCGCATTCCAGACTTCCAGGTTGTCTTTAACTGATGACAGGCCCCCCATGCCTTTGCTTTCCTAACATCAAAGTCCTTTTCCGCACTCATTATTCTGCTTCCAAGGTAGACAAAGTCATCTACTTGCTCTATCTCCTGCCCACTTGCTGCTTTAATGACGGTAGAGTCAGACTCAGAGAGATTGACTCTGATGTACTTCGTCTTACTCTCGTTGAGGTGAAGTCCAACGGAGTTAGCAGCCAGCTCCACACTGAGGAAAAGATCTTGCGCTTGCTCTGCGGTGTCTGTTGTCAGTGCAAGATCGTCAGCAAAGTCGACATCTGTCATCTTAACTGCTGGGTATCTCCTGCTTCTTCTGGGGTTGACAGTGAAGCCCAGATCTTTGCCTCTAAGTGCTGTTGTCATCACATAGTCAATGACAATCACGAAGAGGTAGGGCGCCAGTGTATCTCCCTGCATAACTCCAGCAAGTATAAGGAAAGCTTCAGTCAGACCATCCTCCGTGATGACTCGTGCCATGGTTTCCTTGTACATAGCATCTATCAGCCTAACAATGGGCTCTGGTATCCCATATGCCAGGAGTATCTTCATCAATATACCCCTATGAATGCTATCAAAGGCCTTCTTAAAATCGATGAACAAGAGAAGGGCGGTCAGGTTTTTGTCTCTAGCCCCCTCCAAGATCCTCCTTAGACACAGAATGTGGCTGGTGGTACTGCGTCCCTCCCGAAATCCGTTTTGGTTGATCCTCAGGATTTTCTCCATCGCTGGTTTGATTCTGTTAAGGATCATACGATTCAGGGTCTTACTAACAATGGACGTAAGAGCGATTCCTCTGTAGTTATCCACTTTAGTTAGATTACCTTTCTTTGGCACAGGCACGATGTTGAGTTGCCGCCATTGATCAGGGATTTTTCCATCAACCAGAGCGCTGTTACAGAACTCTAGAATCAGGTCGTCCATGTCCACTCTTTTGAGAATCTCTGGAGCTATGCCATCATCACCATAGGCCTTACCCTCCTTGATCTGCTTCCTCGCCTCCGCTAACTCCTCCCTGCAAAACAGACCAGTCTCTATATCCTGCTGGGGGTGGATGGTTTGGATAACTATTTCCTGGTCAGGTACAGATGGTGGTTGACCCAGGAGCTTAGTGAAGTGGTCCTTCCAGCTCTTCAATCTCCCCTCTGCACTACCTCCATCAACCAGGCTGCATGGCTTGCTTTTCCTGCCATTTATGTCATTAATAAGGTCCCAGCTTTCCTTATTCTTGCACCTGTCAGCAGCATCCTCAGCCCGCCTGATCCGAGAAACAAGAGTCTCCTCATCAACCTCTTTGTAGCTCACTGCAAGTGCATCCTTACACTCCTTAACTACCTCTCTACTCTCCTCTGTAGGATTCTCATGATATGCGTCTTTGGCCTGAAACAGAGTTCTCCTCCTCTCCGATACCCTAGGATCTTGGGAGGGGTTGTTACGTTGTCTTCTTGGGATGGGCTTAAGCAACTTATGATTGGTTGCTTTCACGGCATCCATAAGCTTTCCGTACTGAATCGTGGGATCGTTCTGCTCACTAGATTCTTCCTCCAGTAGCATAGAGAATCTGTTTTTCACCTCCACAGAATACAAGGCTTGCAACTCCTTATTCTCTTTGAGCAGTCTGTAGTCATATCTTACTACTCTAGGTGCATTCTGGCACTTTCGCAGGCTGAGTTTGACTGAACTAACTACTAGACGGTGGTCCGACCCAAGAGAGTTAAAAGAATTGGAGACAACAGTGTCCTTGACTGAGTTACGCCACTTCTTCCTTATCAGGATGTAATCAATCTGACTCTTGCTCAGTGTTCCGTCAGAGAGATACGTCCATAGTTTACCGGGACGTTTCTGGAATCGGTGGTTAGTTGCCTCAAGGTTTCCCTCCAACAAAGTATCCCTGAGAAGCGATCCGTTTCTGTTGGATACTCGATGCCAGTACCAACCTGAATCCTCCTCATTCAATCTGCTAAGATGGGCGTTAAGATCACCAACAACCATTAGCAGATGATGGGCTGGTACCTCTCCTAATGCAGATCTTAGTCCCTCGTGAAAGTCCTCTGCCTCTTCATTTGATGCTGCTTCAGTGGGACTGTACACCGTTATTACTGTAAGCCGTGGGTTTCCATCAAAGGATATGAGAAAAATTCGCTTCCCAAAAGATTTCATGAGACTCACTGCTTTGTAGGCCTGCTTGGTCAGCATAAACCCAACTCCACCAGTAGCAGCTTGTCGGGTGTTTCTCCAAGCAGGTGTGGTCACCAGGTGCACACCCTTCTCAAAACTCTGGATCTTGATCTCCTCCTCATGCACAATCCGGTGCTCTTGTACCCCTAAAACTGCAACTCTACTCTCAAGGAAGAGCGATGCTAACTTTATCCTCTTATACTGTTCCCTAACAGTACGAACGTTCAGTGTCCCGATGAACGTTTTCCTACTACACGACACAACGCTGCCACTATTACTGCTCTTCTTTTCCGGTTCTGTACTTATCCTGTTGTGTTGTGATGGGTACGACAGTACATCATCGCCTGGCCCTCCCAGATTGGGTTTTAAGCCAACCAAGTCATAAAACTGCCGACCCTCCACAAGATTCGTGTTAGGGGCTTTAACCCTAGTGCTGTTTAAATTCATCATATTTGTTTTTCAAATAGCTAAATGACCCCATGGAGTCCCCTCCATGGTGGCAAATGGTCATTTCCCAAAGCCACGCTACCGGAACATTTGGGTTTGAACCGCAGGAACATCAACTTGAGTTGAACTTTTTATCAGACTTTAACCAATCGAACTGTCTGCTCAGGGTAAATGATGTGGTGAGTTCTTCTTCTTCTTCTTCTTCTTCTCCGACACTACCCGAAGGTAGCCACTCCTGTCCCTGAGCTAGGGGGGCTAGGGTGTCAGCATAAGCTAAACTTTTGCAGGAGCTAGCCCTCTCCCTGACTGCCCGTTACCCCGGGTATGGGGGGTCATCCTTTCCACCAGAGCGTGGTCCAATCATTTGGGTCGTAGTGGAAAGTCAGAGGATATAATGACCAACACCTCCAGCTGATGCTCCGCACCTCTCTTCTTCAGAGGCTAGGAGTTCGAGAGACAACTGACGTTCCTATCTTGTCTCTCCGGGGGTCAGCTATCTACCCGTCGCCCATCCTGATTCTTGCCTGGAGTTCACCACCATCCATCGTCCAGTATCCAGTCTTCACCACGTGGAGGCATCAGGAGGACTTGTTGCAGAGAGGCTAAGGTCGACTTATTCGACTAGGTACTGACAGGGTGGCACTAGCGGGGTACCTCCGATTCACAGCCCTGGCTTTTATAGTGAGAGCACAGAACTGCTAGTCAGCGGTGATCTTTTTGATCACCTACGCATCTACAACCATTGGAAGACTAAAAATATACATTATCAATAGTTTATAAATTATCAATAGTTGATAAATTATCAATAGTTGATAAATTATCAATAGTTGATAAATTATCAATAGTTGATAAATTATCAATAGTTGATAAATTATCAACTATTGATAATTTATCAACTATTGATAAATTATCAATAGCATATATAATAATCATTTCGATTAATAAGGAACATTTAAAAAACCTTTAATATAAATAAAGCCTCGTATCTTAACAAGTAATAACTAATGTAACTCAGGGTACTGGTGGCAAGTTCTGTACGCTGATTGTCAAGCACGATCCTGGTGACGGGACTGTAACTCTTGGTGAGTGAGGTTTTCATTCAATGATCAATTTATTTCATAGTATAGACTATAGATTCGTGATGTCTAATTTTGCGTTTTAGGTGTGGGTCTATATGTTATGCTTCTTCTGTAAATTCACTACTTAGACTGTTGATGTAATTTCTGATTTAGGGAGGAGTTATTGCTCGTTCTATGACGTCATCATCATCTATGAGTATGACGTATCATTACTGGAAACACACATTCAATAAACTTCTTTTTGCTTATGTATGTTTCATTAACCTGCCCTTTAACGATTACTCCTTGTCCAAGATATATGGCACCGGTGTATTGTAGGGACTACCGGTGTAAGATCCAACAGCATCTTGTTCTCTTCATTGTGCTGATTCCGGGAAGCATTCTCTTTACGCTCTAATAATAATCATATTAAAAATCGAGAAATCGGTCATTTAAAAATGAGTAATTATAGGCCTGTTTATGATTGCAGCACCAAAATATATGGCGCTCCCACTAATTACTAAATCGCTTGATCATTGAAAGTAATTATAATTGATGTATTCTACTAGTCTTGATCGCTGATTCCAAATCACCCATCCCATGAAATAGTAGATATGCCGATATGGATCCTTGAAATGTTATAAACACGTGACATGATAGTACAGGGTGTTTCAAGATTTTTTGAAGGAGTAAATTAAATGAAATCGGTTTGGAAATACTTGTTAGGTCTAACATTTTTGTTATTTTTTGCAGAATTGTGTCAAAACCCATTTTTTTCACAATTCTACAATCTTGTGCAGAACACAAATTCTATTGCGTAGGGCTAATGCTATGGTTGTGGTAAGGGTTGTCATGGTTATGATTAACTTCCGGGTTATGGTTAGGTTCGTTCGGCTGCAAAACCGTTAATCCAAGCCACGTGATAATTATTGGGCTAGTGAAATAATATGAGTGTCAGTGTATAATTTATGTACATTGTACATCAGTAAGTAATTCAATAATAACCTTACGAAGTTAAAACACTGTTCAAAAGTTATTTGTTTTATTTTTATTTGGATTCGAATGTCAAAGTTCAAATTTAGGTCTTTAGATCGACAACTATGGTAACTATGGTAACTATGGCATGGCATAGTTGACTGTGACAGAAAGTCAGATAAAGATGACACAGGTTTTAGAATGATAAAACTCATTTAATTTTATCACAAACCGTACATTCAAAAAGGTTTAAAATTTTTACATAATTTTTAATCTTTAAATCTGCCTGGAGAATATTTCAACAGTCGCACTTTTTGTACGACAGAATTTCTTATTAGGTCTTATTTATAGCTGTTCGGTAATGTGATTAGAGTGGTATCAATTGTCAATACTGTGAAAATACACTTCTGACTGATAGGCAGGTATGGTTAAAGTTTAAACCCGTCCACAGTTATTGAAAATATAAACGTTAACTACCACTACCAGTTCGGTACCGGCTACTAGACTTCCCAAAATTCTAGTACGATCTACGAAGATTTCACTATAGTATGAGACCAGCTTCAAACTTAGCTCGACTTGGTTCTCTGGAGTCTGGCGCTTCAGCTGGCGATGTCAATTTCAATTGTCTTGAACTTCTCATCGCTGCTCCAGTTTTTTCTCACTCTTCCTCCCTGAGCTGGGACTGCCATGTCTGCTTCCCCCGGAATACCTGGTGTTAGCTGAGGAGGAGCGCCTCCTTAGTATCTCTTCTCTTCTGTTGGACTGCAGCTGTTCCAGCTCCTTATCAGAAACACCGTCACCTGCCGTTAGCTTCTTCCACAGGTTACTCAACCACATCTGCATCTCATCAGTTCGGGTAAAGTATACCACGGGGTTGAGAGCAGATTTCAGGGGCAGGAGAATGTAAGTGGAACACAAACTGAGGAAATCAGGAAGTGTGAAGCTGTCTCCGGAGAAGCCTGCCACTAACACCATAAGGTTCCCCACGTTGAAGACGCAGTAGAAGAAACACAGCCAGATTACAGTGTGGGTGGTGTGTTTCCGCTCCTCGTTATCGTGGTCTTCAGACTGGGCGGATTTCAGCTTTGACAAGGTGAGACAACACGTTCCCACAATAACAGCGAACATGCTAGCCAGGATGATGAACTGAAGGATGAACGCCACGGTGTAGCTCGTTCTGAATAAGTAAGGTCCGATCTCCAGAGATGAAGTCAGGACCGTGAAGAGGACGACTGATATAGCCATAGCAAAGGCGTCCAGCAAATAGGAAGTCCATATTGTATTTATAAACCGCGTAATGGCCATCATGCAGGTCAGAAAGCCAGTAACCTGAACGGAAGACATGAGGATCATAAATATGAACCAGTAGCCAGAAGGAATCTTGAACTCGTCAGGAAACAACATGAGTTTGCCGTGGATCAGGAAGAACATGCTTGAAACACAGACGAGCAGATCAAAGAAGTTGAGCATCTTGTAGACGTATCTGGTGCAGCTCTCTGCTGTTTGAAGCTGGTACTTCTGGCTCCGGAAATACCCCATGGTACATATGGTAGAGGCGATCCCAAAACTGGATATCACCCCGCTGGTGTAGGTGAGGATTATGTCCATTGTAGGGGTCCTGCTACTTAGATTCCCCATCCTGACTCAGCTTTCAAAGTGGACGTTTATTGAAAGTTGCGCAAAAACAATATGCAAGATAACTGTTATCCGGCGTTATAAATATATCAAAGGAAGAAAAATCAATCTCTCCACAGGGTTGTGTGCTCAGGATCACGAGCCAGAAAGGTTGCCGCTACTTGGCAACCACAATGCCAGTTTAATTGAGTCCCTTTTGTCCGGGCTGGGATGCAGTCAATAGCCAACTCCTGGTTTAACATAGTCTCTTTCTGTGGAGGAAGGTTGTTCGCATTGTGGAGTACTTAGACCATGTTATGCGCCCACGTGTTATGAGGTCACGTGGTATGTGCCCTCGTGTTATGATGTCACATGGGCCATATATGTGACCTAGACAATGAATCCTGCATTTAATCAAATAAAGCAACTTGAACAGGTAAATCCAATGGTATACGTTGATATCTGATTGTGATACGGATATGAAGTACAGAGCTGCTTGTTCCAGGAGATAAAGCAATACTATTTATTTGTTCAAACTCAATTAAAGCTTTGCTTGAAGCTTGAAGTACGGCTGCTTTTTGAAAATTGATGCAATTGTTCCTAGTCATTGGAGTATATTAGCATTTTAAACACTTAATTAAAAATACAATATGGCTATTAGTGAAGTCGGCATTTCATAAAAGCAACTAAAATCGACTTATTAACTTCTTTGATATTTTTTTGATTAACTGTTCCAATGTTGTACGGTCAATAAAGTTGATCATTGAAGCATTGGGAAACATGACGCAACGATCAACATGGAACAATGAAGAATCGTGAAAAATTGAATAGAAAGGTAAATAAGGCTCCAGTCTCCCCTGTGTTGACATGAAAATAAATTAGATGGCTACCAGATACGAATAAGAAAGAAAGGGCGTCTCCCGGCTTTCAATTAACTTTAAGTAGTTTCTTCCTCGCTGATTTCATCAATTTCCAGACAACAATTGTTGTCAATGGCACATCTGTTTCAAATTCAAGGTGAACAAACAGTTTAAATGCTAAGTTGAGGAACAGACATCCATAAAATGTGAAAGATACGAAACTGATAAAAAGTTTGAAAGATCATCAATGGAGTAATGGCCATGGTGTAAGTAAAACCTTCGTGGAATTTGGTTCGAGATAACAGATAATTTGAACCAAACCAGATCAAAATGGAAGTAACTCTGCAGTCGGGAGACCTTTCTCAGAAAAAAAAAAGAAAGTACCATTTAGTGTTTTTATGAGACCAAGGAGACCTTGCCATGCTCAAAAGAAAAAAGTAGTACCATCTAGGTTATAGCAACTTGTTTCATCTACTTTCGTTGTAATAAAGTGAGCTCAGAAAGCTCAGATCATTGCGTACCTACTAGTTCACCTAGACACCCCCCCCCCCCCCAGTATGAAAAAGTCTTGGAATTGATACCTGGCCTTCCTGAAAGAAGATACACGAGAGGATGGAGAAGGATACCTTTTTAAAAACGACTCTGCAAATTTGGCGAAAGCAGAATGTATTTCACAATTCCATTACACTGAACGAAACTAAATCGTACCACCAAAAACCATCCCTTCCACTGAACGTCGAGTTGAACGATCAAATAGTTTCATTTGAAGATCTCCATTGTTTAGCAGCCTGCCACTATTATGAATGTTCATTATTCGTCATTGGGCTGAAATTAAAACTCGTGGAAACATCCATTCCATTGTTTTCCATTTGCACACAAATTTTCTTACAGAAAAACGCTACTTCTAATAATAATATTCAAATGGGTAGAGAAATCCTCCATCTTCAAAACAATAAGCTAATTAAATTTCACGCCACAGTGAAATATTTTCTAAAAACTTAAATTATCTTCTTTTGATTGAGACTTTTAGGGAGCTACAGCAACAACGTCGTTCTAGCAACAACAAAAAACAAGCCATAATGATGAATCGTATGCCCCCATCTATATTGATATGTTTTTCGTTGGAGCAATCATGTATGTACAATCAGTGATATATATCGTTTGATAAAGTAGGTCGATACTTGGTAGGCCACATCTTCGAAGCATCTTATCAACTAGTTCCATGTAAAACATAAACAATTTGCAAATACACCAAACACTGTGCGTATGTCCGTTCTTGGACATACTATGTATGTTGAAATAAATTATGTTAATTATGTTGAAATAAATTATGTTGAAATAAAAATTATGTTGAAATAAATTATGTTGAAATAAATTATGTTGAAATAAATTATGTTGAAATAAATTATGTTAAAATTAATTATGTTGAAATTAATTATGTTGAAATTAATTATTTGCTGTACGTTTTAGTCTGAGTTGCCATTGCGTTCAGGACAAGTACGATAAATTACAATTTGACCAGAATTAATAATTCAAAATATCTTTTAAAATTTGTATATAAAATTCGGTTTTCACTGTATGTTTGTTTAAAACAAGTAATATGCAGAATGATTATTTTAATGCGGATAATTGTAATCAAGATAAGATAAAATACATGGTAGATGTGGATTCTCAACTAAAATACATGATACATGTGGATTCTCAACTAAAATACATGATAGATGTGGATTCTCAACTAAAATACATGATAGATGTGGATTCTCAACTAAAATACATGATAGATGTGGATTCTCAACTAAAATACATGATAGATGTGGATTCTCAACTAAAATACATGACAGATGTGGATTCTCAACTAAAATACATTATAGATGTGGATTCTCAACTAAAATACATGATAGATGTGGATTCTCAACTAAAATACATGATAGATGTGGATTCTCAACTATTCCCTGCTACTAGAGTATTATTTAGCGGTTTTTTTCGATTTCAGGATTTTAGGTTAAATTCGCAGTGGCAATGGCCGGAAGGGGCCTTTATAGTTATAAAGAACGTGATATTTGGCCCTCAGATTTAAAGGAGAATGCGTACATTTTGCCCTCAAAATATATTCTTTAAAGAAGAATGCACAATTTGTCGCGGAGAACTGAAAAAATTGCGATTTGTCACGGAGATTGGAAAAATCGAGATTCCGCAAGTGCCGCAATTTCCTTTTGACCTTGTTACAAGCGTTCCATAATACAAAATGTGCATCACCATTCACTTCTTCCCTCTGCTGAAAGTTAACAAAAGTACCTCACCACCCCACGAGAATCCACATCTATTAATCGTCTACACATTAATTCAGTCCAAATATTATAGGCACAGGCCAACATGTAAGTTCTACAGTTTCCTAAGTGTATCCTTTTTACCTTTAGTCCAGGTACTCCATGCCAACTTGTCGATTGCATTTTTCAAATCCATCTTGGGGGCAGTTATTGCAAGATCCTCTAATCCAATGTTAACTTTCATCTTTAGGATATCTTTTGTGCTGTATGCTACACCGCTGACCTTTATTCCCTGCACTTCTTGCTTGCCACCGGAAATTTTCACCATGACCGTCGAGCCACAATCCATTTCGAGGGGCACTTTCTCGAAGGGCTTCATGGCAGATATCCGGGTCTCCGGTCCAGTACCAACTTTGTATGCCACTTCTACTTTTTCTGGCCTTGAACTATCCACCCAGGATAATTCTATTTCACTTATAGCACAGATCTGCTTTAGATCGATCTCAAACCAGCTATCTTCGCTGTTTCCACACCATAAGGTCGACTTTGTTCCATCCACCAAAGCTTCCGGATCAGAACTTCCCGGGCTTGCTGTTACTGGTTTACCTTTCGAGACATTAATGATAACATCGAGATTAATCCCGAATACTTTAAAATGTCTTATCCGGATGTCTATGTTTGATTTAGATTTTTTTACATCAACCTTTATTTTAGTGGTTTTTATTTCCCATCCATCAAGATGGATCCAACGGTTTGCCTCAATTTTGTGATCTTCTTCCGTCCTTACACTCTTCACTAAAACATAATTGTTTTCCTCCGACATTGCATATATATCGTACTCTTCTGGCATTCCTTTCTTCGACCATTGCATCCTGATCTCAGTTATTGATGAAGGCTTCACAAGATCTATCTCAAAATCGCCTGTTTCTTTGTTGCAGTAGGCAATCTTATTCCTCTTACTGTCAGTTAGCTGTGCGGCAGTTTCCCCGAAGCATTCTGAAATGACATTCTTTTCCAGGGCAATGTCAAAAATATCTTTGTCCTTTTTCCGCTGTGCTAAAACGATTGGTAACAGTTCACTTATCACTGTTGCTTTCTGTAGACTCGGCTCCATAATCGCAACTTCGAGATCCACCCATGCAGCAATGTTGTAAGGGCACCTTGTTGTAGCATCTTCCAATATATTGAACCGATCCCCAGGGTTCGCTAGCATACCTAATATTCTCATCTTTTCCGACATTCTATAGTCCTTCAGATTCTTTTGGGCTTCATTCATAACTGGGAAGTAATATGCTCTCTTGTTCCACGTATATTGTACTCTTGGAGGCATATTGGATTCAGCCGTCCAGCCGGAAAGACTATTTCCGAGCTTCCAAGTTCCATTTCTGTACCACATGTATGCGCTATGGCCAGGCTGGTGAACATGAGCCGCCGGAACACCAAATGCCTGACAGAAACCTACACGGAAACTAGATACGGCACCACAGACCCCACCTATTTCATGGAACGTTTTGAGCGTTAGGGGCTGATAATAGTAGTAAACAGCCCCAGCAAAAATCCTTATTCCATCTTTGTTAGTATTGTCGTACGAAATCATATTCAACCCACCCATTCCTATCATTAAGGGGTCATCATAGCCCTCTCTTATATTCTCCCTTGCCCAAACTTGCTCCTCTTCACTCTGGTATGAGTCCACCACGTAGCGAAGATGCCAGGCAGATACCTCAAAAAATGGTTGGAGAAATTTCCCTTCTTGGCTCCATTTCATGTATGCCTGGTAGCGAGACACCCCATCCACTTCGTTTCTGCCCGTTGGTTTTCTACCTCTTCCTGTCATCACTAGTGTTGAATGTGTGAGGGCTGTTGCAACTGCTAGTCTCAGCCTTAAAGAGTCCTCTTTGATGCCAGGATCTATTTGAATCAGATGTCCCAGTATATACAAAGCTTTGCGGTATCGTTTGTCGTAGACATCACCTGAGGTCATTAACATTTCTAATGGTTCTCTATTTGATAAAATCCAGTTCAGTGTTTCGTCACCGAAGTGAAGAATTTGTCCAGTGTCTTGAATATTTTTCATAAGCCACCATTGGAAAATTGCCAGTGATCCCTCAGTTGAGTCAGCATACGATTTTATCTGCTGAAGAATTTTTCCATCTGCCTTTTTTTCGATTTCTTGTTTAAGTCCATTCAATCTTGCCTGAAACTCCATCAGTCCTGGTCGACATGTAATAACCTCAAAGTCAGCCCCGCAGCCTTTGCTAACCCAAATTACTCTCCCGTCAAACCCAAAGCTTTTCCACAATTGGCATTTTTTCTTCGATGTAATAGCTTTCGTCGTCATGCTTATAACTCCAATCATTCTTCTTTCAAAATATCCGCCTTTTTTCCGATTTTCTAGATGAACAATCGTACTGTGTGGCTCACAGCTACCTTCAGTGTCGTTTGTTGGTACCGAGTAGTCATCATCATCCTCGAAATCTGTCAAAGATTCTACCTCCCACATCCAAGCATCGTCCTCGGAATCTTCACCACCCAGGTAACTATCCTCGGTGTCATAATCCTCATCTTGCTCATACTCATCTTCAGGATCTTCTTTCTGGCTATAGATGGATGCGATGCAGCAGACTACTAATATTGCAGTCAGCTGACACAGTCGTCTCATCTTCTCAGCTTGTCTACAGGAGTATAAACAGTATAAACAGCGTACTGGAGGGTTCAAAAAAAGGTTAAATTTAATTGTGGTAAAGTTGCTTATATAATACGCGGATAAAGGTACGTGGGTGCTATATAGTTTGGTCTGCACTCTGCTATATAGTCTGCTACATAGTTTGGTTATAATAATGGAAACGTTTAGAAGTTCAGTTTAAGGTGCACCATTAACCCTGGCGGCTATAAGGCTTGTTCTCATAACTTTAATTGAGTACGAGCTTCTCCAAGTCCAAAGTCATTTGTCACTCAATATGTTCTTTGTTTCGTTTTTGCCAAAAAAACTTTCCATAAATTGGCATGGCTGAACTTTGACTATATTTTTGAGTCTCTGCATAAATTATGTTTAGTCGGGATTGTTAACTATGTCTAATCAACAGCCCCGACAAAAATGCTAAAAGATAATGATGTGCTCCTTGTTCGTCTGAGCTAAACTATTTATTATGACACTCAAAACACTTTTAATTACGAGTAAAACTGAGCTAAGTAGAGATAGTGTGATATTATTCTTTTGTTATACATTATATAAATTTATAATTAATTTATAATTAATTTTACGACGAAGTTGAGTACAAAGGAACGGCCACACCACTCATGATTAATTTTCCCTGCCACGAAAAGAGAAAAGGCATGATCATATCGCTCTCAAGTGGAGGCAAAATGAAGCGGACGCAACATATAACTATAAGTGAGGCTAAATGTTGCAAAATATGCGGCGGATTTTTTCAATTTAAGGTCGGTCTTTCTGTGTTGGTGAGCAGCTGCTCAAATGCATCATATCATGGGGTAGGTTTAATACTTTTTTTCTATAAGAACAAACGAGTAATTTTATAGATCGTTACAATTTATTTCTATTTCAGAGTCTGCCGAGTACCGCACCCAATATGTAGGAATACGTTCCAGTGGGGACTTTAAAGAGCCAGACCAGACAAGGCCAGGGTATAACGCCAAATTCTACGTCAACTAGTTGTAAGTTACCTTCTCTTTCTCTTTCTTAATCAGTTTATTTTTAAGTTTCTCGTCCCGGTTTGTTGGTTTCTTTATCACTAAACCATTTTTCTATTATAATTTATATTTCTGTACCAAAATCCTCAAAATGTACAGAAAAATATCGTCATCTGGTGGAGTTTCATGAGCATTACCCGAAATAAAACTTTTTTAGGAAATGAAAGTGCGATCAGATCACTTTTCTTGAATATTGATCCTCTGCCCCACGGTTTGCTCCTCAAGGAGTAGTTTCAGAACTGCTCCTTCTCTTGAATTCAGATATAATACGTTTTAAAGCAATTTACACGAGAGTATAATGATAATTATAACCAGTTTAATCTTGTTCAGCGTCATCGAAAATGTAGGGTTACAAGGTTTTCCCTTCGATTTTCATCCTTAAAAAAATCCTTCTATTTTCGATTCTCTGGGCGAGCTAACGCCCCGCTCATATCACTTACAAGTTAAAATGGAACTTTCACTTCAAAACATGTTTTGTGATTATTATTGTGCTGACTGATACCCTATCCAGCGCGTTTCTCATATGACTCCATCCTTATAACTCCATCCTTATGACTCCATCCTTATGACTCCATCCTTATGACTCCATCCTTATGACTCCATCCTTATGACTCCATCCTTATGACTCCATCCTTATGACTCCATCCTTATGACTCCATCCTTATGACTCCATCCTTATGACTCCATCCTTATGACTCCATCCTTATGACTCCATCCTTATGACTCCATCCTTATGACTCCATCCTTATGACTCCATCCTTATGACTGCATCCTTATGACTCCATCCTTATGACTCCATCCTTATGACTCCATCCTTATGACTCCATCCTTTGAGCTTAGATTACATCCTTTATATCCACTAAAGAGTAGTTTTAGTCACGCTGACTGCAGTATTTTTCTCTTGCATTTCTTAGTCCCGTGTAAAATAAAATGCGTCACATCACCGAATTCCAAGCAGTATCCTGATCAAATTTCTCTCATATCTTAACCCATTAGGGACGATAGGGTCGTTTACGACCCACCTTTTCTAGAGGCTATAGAGGACAAACCAAAATACTAAACGCCACGAATCTTTCGCACATATGCTCAAAATTTATTGGGCTACATTATTGACTTTCCAGTCGAGACCCAATTAATCACTAACAATTAAATAATTAGACTAATTAGTCGTCATAATTGGAAAATATTTAACTTAACTTCTTGCCTTGATTGGGACATTAAAACTTTATGTAGGCTTATTTTTTTGAAAACAAAATAGTTGCGGGCAACGATTTCCTTGGCACAAATGAAAAGCCCGTGATAATCAAATGTTCACAAACAGAGCTAGACGCTGTTTACTAACTGCGGTCGCATACGACCCACTCGTCCGGGTCGCAAACGACCCATCACGGTTTTTCGGCTATTACTTCTGAAACAAAGACGTTAGGATAAAATAAAAACTGTAGCATAAGTTAAAAACGTATGGTCAATACTGTGTGACTCTAACTTTTCAAAAATAGAGAATTTGGGTCATTAACGACCCACTCGGCTCACTTGCTTATTACTACATTTGTCCATGTAACTTCTTGAATTCAGCCTAAAACATGACATCATAAGTGCAAAATCGCCTCTCAGCAAGTGATTATCATCATAAACTGCGAAAAATCGGTTAAATGGGTCATTAGCGACCCACTAGGACCACAAAATTGATTAATTAAATATAATGTTGTCAAACTTTTACAAATATTAGTATAAAAACATATTATATCTTGGTCATTACTCCTGTACGTTGATTTAACTTCTTAAATCGATCAACTGGGTCAATAACGACCCACTCGGAAGTTGAACCACTTCATTAATTATCAGTATCATGCTGTTCCACCATCAAGAAAGACACTCGTAGGTCTTAATTCCACACAAACCACGGTGGCTGACAACTAGTCCTTCTGAGATCCAGGGCCAACTGAAGGGCAGTCATCACTCATCAAAGAGCTGCGAGAATAACACGACTGCATATGCCTGGAGTTGCGTCCTGACTATGGTGCGTGGAAATCTGTACCGAAAGGACCGTGGCCGTGTCGCAAAAGAAAAGGAGATCGGCCCTCGTTCCTAACTTGCTAGGTAATAGCCATGCTGTTGTTGTTGCTTATTAGATTCTGTTACCTTTTTCGTCAATTTCGAATCTTGGTAAACGACCTGCTACAACTCACCGCTTGAGACCCAGGGTCCCACGGTGATCAGATCATGTCACTCAAGAAAAATCCCCTGAACGAAGTTTACGAGATATCCTGTATCCTTGGGTAAATACTGAAAGAAGAGCGGTCAAATTGCATATTCTAATCCAACATGCCAATCTGTTTGACATTCCTAGAAAGTACAAGAATAACTAAACAACTGCTGCATTCAGATGGCTAAATCTACAGCTCTGTGAAGAAGGACAAGGAAAAAGTACCCCCCCCCCCCCATCTGGCTGGCGGTGCTGCAACCTGCAATCTCTCAGACAACTACTCCGTTGTGGGTAACAACCCCGCAACAACGAGGCAGCTTTCAAAACGAAACCAAGTATTACGTAATCGGCCGAGAGGGAGGGGGGTTTCCAAATGATTACGCTAGTGTAATTTTGACATAATAGCTATGTGGTGAGGGGCGGGGGGCGGGGCTAAAAATTGTCCAATAAGTGATTACGTAATATTATGTCAATGTGAACGGCCCCTAAGAAGTAAAGAAAGGCAGCTGCGAAATGAGTAGATGCAGCCATCTGAAATCTGAATCCAGCAGTTGTATAGTTCTTCTTGGACTTTTTAGGAATCGGGAAAAGATAGGCATGTTGTTTGTTGTCTCACGACATTACGGTCGTGTACTAACAGCTGATAAACTCACCTACCTATCAATCCAATTCTGTCCATTATTCGTCAGTGATTGGGTGACGTGATCTACAGATCACCTTGAGACTCCAGATCTCAGGAGGGCTAGTGGTCATCCACCCGTGGTTTGCGTGGAATTAAGACCTACAAGTGTCTTTCTTGATGGTGGAACAGCATGATACTGATAATTAATGACGTGGTTCAACTTCCGAGTGGGTCGTTATTGACCCAGTTGATCGATTTTAAAAGTTAAATCAACGTACAGGAGTAATGACCAAGATATAACATGTTTTTATACTAATATTTGTAATAGTTTGACAACATTATATTTAATTAATCAATTTTGTGGTCCTGGTGGGTCGCTAATGACCCATCTAACCGATTTTTCGCAGTTTATGATGATAATCACTTGCTGAGAGGCGAGTTTGCACTTATGATGTCATGTTTTAGGCTGAATTCAAGAAGTTACATGGACAAATGTAGTAATAAGCAAGTGAGCCGAGTGGGTCGTTAATGACCCAAATTCTCTATTTTTGAAAAGTTAGAGTCAGACAGTATTGACCATATGTTTTTAACTTATGCTACAGTTTTTATTTTATCCTAACGTCTCTGTTTCAGAAGTAATAGCCGAAAAACCGTGATGGGTCGTTTGCGACCCGGACGAGTGGGTCGTATGCGACCATAGCTGTATCTTTTAAAGTAAACGAGATACAGATTAGCTTATTTGGATATCTCATTTTTGCTGTAATGTGACCTAGTGTGTTAAACGGCATCAAAATCGGCAAACTTTAAAACTCGTCGTCCCTAATGGGTTAAAGTTAGTGGAGTGATGACCCTGTATTTTTATGAGGTAATAGTGTCATGTTCTGTTCTGATAACGATAAGGCTAAAAGTTTCAACTTGCACTTCTTCGTGGCAAACGTTCTTACCAACTACAAATACTTACTTACTTGGGTAACTTGGGTTAAGTTGGGTTCCGAGCTAGAGTGCTACCAGGCCAAGAATGTCTTGCATCTCCACCGCCAAGTAGTAGCGCGTCAGAGACACGTGCCACCGGCCCACTCCAGCATTGATTTCCTGTTCTGTCCAGTGTACCCAGGTGTTGGTGGAGTGTCAGGGAATTCATTGAGGAAGCATCAAGAGTAGGTTTGAAAGTGGTCAAGGTAAGGAGGGACTTGATGCTAGGAGGGACCACGTTGTACAGTGCAGTACTGTTGGAATAATATTTATATAGTTTTACTGATTTTTCTTAAATTCATTATATTCATTTTCAGAGACGCAGATATTTGCGACATCAATCACTTTCTGGATTAACATTCATGGCCATGAGTAGTAATTGCACCCTTGATTTTTGCTTTAAAATAATATCTTTTAATACTCTTATAAATTTTATTGTTTTAGCTGATTTTTTTTTCAACGAATCATCTGAAGACTCGTATTTTTTATTGCAATTAATGTGCATGTGATCTATTAGCCGTTTTGAGAATCAAAAGTATTTTAAGCATCAGGGCATGACACCAGTAGTGTTTGTTGTTTTTATCCACAGAAACGTAAATGATTTTTATTTTCATATGATTTAATAATAGTTATCAAACAGTATGTTTTTATTTTTGCTTTTAAAAGATTCATTTTTACCCATCTACACCGCTTGTTTCTCTTGCTAGAATTACCACTAACTATAAGCTTGTTACTGTTTTCCAAAAACTGTATAAATACATATTTCCATTTTAAAATTGTATCATTAGTAAGAATTATGTTTTTCTACTGTCCCCAGATCAATCAATTGCACGTCTTAAAGTTAAGATTTAAGCTAAATTAATCATTGTCATTAACTGGTAACTTAAACTACTAACTAATTAAAACTATTAACTATATAGCAAGATGTATGACCTGGTGCAGAACATGGGTCAAATCCCACCTTGTGATAGTTTCAAACAGGGTCATCAGAACGACGGATCAGGTCACTTGTGGTGTGTAATAGCTAACACTCCCCACGGACAGATCCAGCAAAGGTACGTGACCGTCAGATTTTTGAGGAGGAGCTTTTCTGCTGCAGAAAAGCTCCTCTTCAAAAATTACTATTATTTCTTTTTGAATTGAAATATAGTTTTGTTTTACTATACATTTATAGTAAACTGTAGCCGAATAGAGGCCGTATGGTGGCTGTATTAGAGGCCGTATAGTGGCCGTATGGTGGCTGTATTAGAGGCCGTATAGTGGCCGTATAGTGGTCGTATGGTGGCCATATAGTGGTCGTACAGTGGCCGTTTAGTGGCTGTATGGTGGCCGTATAGTGTCTGTATAGTGGCCGTATAGTGGCTGTATAATAGTGGCCGTATAGTGGCCGTATAGTGGCCGTATAGTGGCCGTATAGTGGTCGTATGGTGGCCATATAGTGGTCGTACAGTGGCCGTTTAGTGGCTGTATGGTGGCCGTATAGTGTCTGTATAGTGGCCGTATAGTGGCTGTATAATAGTGGCCGTATAGTGGCCGTATATTGGCCGTATAGTGGCCGTATAGTGGCCGTATAGTGGCCGTATAGTGGCAGTATGGTGGCCGTATAGTGGCTGTATAGTGGCCATATGGTGGCCGTATTGTGGATGTTTAGTGGCTGTATTAGGGTTCGTATTAAAGAGGCTGTAAAGTGAATAAAGTGCAAACCAAATCTGTTGATTGGGTGTGGCCTCTGTAATAGCAATACCCATGAACGTATAGTATATTGTGTAATTAATTTTTGCTCTAATGAATTACTTTTAACATTTTTATGTGAGCTATTAATGAAAAATTGGCAGGTTCAGCCGACATCGAATAAATTCTTTATACTTTTATAACAATCTTGCCATATTTCTCAAAGCACGTTTAGTTTCATTAACAATTTCATGAAAACCCTACAATCTCATGAAAATAATTCAAAACACATGAGAAAAACTTTATTATCACAGGAACAGAGAAATTCACTGATATTCAGACAGTATGCCAATAATTTATAATGATTGCATAATTATAAGTTCATCAGAGCTATGCCCGACTACATATTACGCACCACATCGAATGAACTTATGAGATGACACTGCAAGTACATAACACCTCATATGCCTAGAACGAACTTATTAAGATGACCACTTCTAGAACTGTGTTCGCTGGGCAATATATCTTTATTTCTTAATAAATTTTGCATGTGCTGAGAATTTTCGTTAGAGTTATTTAAACTTCTTCTGGTCTAATCAAGTCTTGTTAAGCAGCTAGACTTAGTGGGAGTAGCTATATTTAGACACCTCATAGGATGGCATTACTTAATGATGTGCATTGGAACACAATAGATTAATAGATTGGAATCTGCAACCATGGTTACAGAGCTGCTTCCCTTGAACATTTGTACATTTCTTTAGTTTTCTCAACAAAGTGAACCCTAGTATTCTCCTATTTTCTTGGTATGAATCTTGTGTATCGCTATTTTTCGCAGTTTAGTCTCCAATCTTGAATCTATAAGTAGCTTGGTTCTATAAATAGTTTGGTTCTAAATCTGTTAATAGTTTACCAACTGCTACTGGTTGTAGTTCTGACAGTTTCACTAATTTACCACCTGCTAACCTGCTTGTTTGTATAATTAGCTTGGTGATAAAGTTCTGATAGTTTTAATACTTCACTAATTTATCACCTACCCGCCAGTCATTTCTCGTTCTCTTCCTACGATGTCCCGGAGCCTACTGCTGATCACGCTGTGCCTCATTTTATTAATGCTGGTTAATCCAGGTGACTAGGTTACTAGGTTACTAGGTTACTAGGTTACTATGTTACTAGGTTACTAGGTAAATAGGTTACTAGGTTACTAGGTTACTAGGTTACTAGGTTACTAGGTTACTAGGTTACTAGGTTACTAGGTTACTATGTTACTAGGTTACTAGGTTACTAGGTTACTAGGTTACTAGGTTACTAGGTTACTAGGTTACTAGGTTACTAGGTTACTAGGTTACTAGGTTACTAGGTTACTAGGTTACTTGGTTACTATAGTTAATCCAAGTGACTTTATTTAGTTCATTTACTTATTACGTAAGTCAGCCTAAGGGGTAGAGAGTTTGGAATAGCTATAATTTAAAAATGACCAAAATCTGGTTTATGTAATATGTGAACTATCCCCTTAAATTTCTGACGCAAATTTTGCACTTTCAGGATACCTCCTTTAATTTGATATTGCTTAATTAATAATGTAATCGGAATATTAATTATTCAATTAGTGTCAAATTAATATTTTCCTTCAAGATGTATCATTCGGCAAAAGTTTATCAGCTTCCTATTTTGTTTCTATGAATAATTTTACAATTCACACTGACAAGCAGTTTTTCCTTTCAGGACTAGCAAAGAAAAACAAAAAAAGGAGAAACCAAAACAGATATGATGTATGAAATTTTAAGCTTGATAAGTAATCCTTCAATATTCCAGTGTACTATATATAAGCTGGTTTATTCACTTTGCCACAATGAACCATTATAAATCAAAATGTTAAAGCTTTAAAGACATCACTTTTCAAATCAAAACATCCGCAAAAAATTTAGTCCAGTTTGCATTCGTTAAACGAACATCATGATCTCTTTATGGATTATCGCAAGTTTATTAATCAAGCTTCAATTACGAAATAAGATGTAATCTCCACAGAATCTGACAAGCTGCTCAGGACATCAACTACGGGGCATGAACTGCGAGTGTCTAGCTTCTAACTATAACATGAGGGGGTGTCCTGATGATTTAAAAAAAGGTAATATACTTTCTGTATACAAAATGGTAACCTGGTAACCTTGTAAACTTGTAACCTTGTAACTCGGTAACCTGGTAACATGGTAACCTTGTAACCTTGTAACCTGGTAACCTGGTAACCTCATGGTATTGAATCCTCCTTCTCCCGCCTAGGTTCCAAACAGTGCATCCACTATGAAACCTACTGCAAAAGCTCCAAATTATCAGCAGCAAAACAGGGTAAAATGTGTTGTCAAGCTATCCTTTGCAATATCAACCTTAAAAACTGTTGATTTGACGAAGTTGGGAATATAAACGGTAGTGGAAGAACTGTGGAAGTACTACCAATACCATAACTTCATAATGTAACAATAGCAGATGTTGAGCTTACTGATCACGTAATTTATTGACAATAATTTTAGCCGCTTTGGAATTTCTTGGAAGAAAAATTACATAATCGTGATCAATGAATTTATCCACAATAGCATTTTGACGATTTCATAAACGTGCGATTTTTAAAAGTGTTCATTTAACAAATATATACTTTGTAAATGTAATATTAGAAATAGTGTTTGAAATGTTGTTTATCTAATGTATATGAAAAAGTTTACACCGTGTTGACTGTTGACGTATTGCAGAAAGATTGCATATTGCAACAAACATAACGAAGACACACGGTAAAATTGTATTTTAACTTATCCCGCGGCGCGCGCAGGATACTGATAAGTAGATAACAATCCAAAGTAGTAAACTTGTATCAATCAGACGTCTAGGACCCCGCATTTACAGCAAGTTTTTTGACCTGGTAACCTGGTAACCTGGTAACCTGGTAACCTGGTAACCTGGTAACCTGGTAACCTGGTAACCTGATAACCTGATAACCTGGTAACCTGGTAACCTGGTAACCTGGTAACCTGGTAACCTGGTAACCTGGTAACCTGGTAACCTGGTAACCTGGTAACCTGGTAACCTGGTAACCTGGTAACCTGGTAACAATCAGACGTCTAGGACCCCGCATTTACAGCAAGTTTGTGTCGTGGAACTGTTTTCATTCTGACACTGTTTACAGGTCCAAGAGTAGGATGGTGGCCCTGAAGCAAATATTTGTATATAATTAATTACACCAGCAAATAAATCGTGTATAAACATATTTTCTGATTTATTGATTCTATGGCAGCTAAACTTAAAGGGTTGGAAGAAAACTAAATAATCGGCATTGTCATCATTAGGAAGCCAAACATGAAGCGTTTTCTCCTTATCAATCACTAAGAAAATTACACGACAAACTAAGATAAAAGATCATTACTTGGTTGTGGAGTAGAAGATGAAGAGGATCCTGGAGCAATAGAAGTAGAGGGTCGTGGAGCAGAAGAAGAAGATGACTGAGGGGCAAAATGTTGTCTGGAATTAGTCGGTCTTCTTGATCTGCACTCGGCGCAATCTGAGAAGTATTTGGTTCAATGTCATTGTGTCTGTGAATAAACAAGCGAAGGAATGAAGGGTATTGAGTCAAGGAAAGTGTAAGGCCAAGGGGTTATCCGTTATGGAAACTCACTGTTTCCACCGTCAGTATTGATTCTTCCACACCCAATACATATCCACTGGGTAACCTGGGAAGATAAGCATGATTCCCAAAACAATTAGACGAACCAGATGTAAAATTTTCAGATGAGACCCTAGCGTTCATTTTAATGTCCGTTCAAACAATGTCCGACAAGGTAGTTAAATTAAACACATTAACTGAATGCCTTTGATCAAGCGTTCATTTTTATGTCTGTTGAAAATTATGCCTGTTCACGCATTGTCCGGTAAAATAACGTCCGATAAGGAATATGACATATCAGCTTATTAGGCACTACGTCATCAGTGCACCTACCTGAACAGGTGTTGGACGCTTGGTCCTACACATCA